GTTATCGAAATAACGTATGTACAAACGCTGTCGAACGAAGCAATTGTCGATGTTTCCAAGGTCCTACAACTGCTAAATATAGCAATATTTCTAGCTGATGTTTGTCGATGTTTCCAAGGTCCTAATACTGCTAAATATAGCAATATTTCTAGTTGATGTTTGTTGGTGTTTACGCCGCAATACCCCAGCTATATGAAAGTGGTCTGAAGATCGAGCCTGGCCCAGACAATCCCGTGATTGATATCATGAACAGCAATCTACGATCAGACATCAACAAACAGCTGCGTCGGCCATTACATCGCGTCCCTGATGTTTTTTTTCAGCTGAGTCGGCCACCCGGTCCATTACATCGCGTCCCTGATGTTTTTTTCAGCTGAGTCGGCCACCCGAGCCATTACACCGCGTCCCTGATGTTTTTTTTCAGCTGGGTCGGCCACCCGGTCCATTACATCGCGTCCCTGATGTTTTTTTTCAGCTGAGTCGGCCACCCGGTCCATTACATCGCGTCCCTGATGTTTTTTTTCAGCTGAGTCGGCCACCCCATTACATCGGTCCATTACATCGCGTCCCTGATGTTTTCAGCTGAGTCGGCCACCCGGTCCATTACATCGCGTCCCTGATGTTTTTCAGCTGAGTCGGCCACCCGGTCCATTACATCGCGTCCCTGATGTTTTTTTTCAGCTGGGTCGGCCACCCGAGCCATTACATCGCGTCCCTGATGGGTTTTTTCAGCCGAGTCGGCCACCCGGTCCATTACATCGCGTCCCTGATGTTTTTATTCAGCTGAGTCGGCCACCCGGTCCATTACATCGCGTCCCTGATGTTTTTTTCAGCTGAGTCGGCCAGTCAGTCCATTACATGGCGTCCCTGATGGGTTTTTTCAGCCGAGTCGGCCACCCGGTCCATTACATCGCGTCCCTGATATTTTTCAACATTGAGTCGCTAGGTGGCTGAAGAAATGTTTATCTAGTGTTTAATTATAGTTCAGTCACGATCGATATCGATCTGGTATACATGATAGGATCAGACTTCAAGCATGACCATTTGCTTTTGTTTACAACACACCTTCGAGACACAATATTACACGGTCTGTGTGGTCGAATAGATGCCAAAGGAAACCCAAGCCATTGCACGTGACATGATGATGGAGTATGCTGTTCAGAGTGGACCTGGATCACGATGTATGTTTGTGTTTTTGTTTGAGTGAGTGAGAGTGAGAGTGAAAGTGAGAGTGAGAGAGAGATTGAGTGAGAGAGTGAGAGTGAGAGAGAGAGAGAGAGAGAGAGAGAGAGATTGAAGTGAGATGAGAGAGAGAGAGAGAGAGTGAGATTGAGAGTGAGAGAGAAAGAGAGAGAGTGAGAGTGAGAGTGAGAGAGAGAGATTGAGAGTGAGAGAGAGATTGAGTGAGAGTGAGAGAGAGATTGAGAGAGAGAGAGAGAGAGAGAGAGAGAGAGAGAGAGTGAGTGAGATTGAGAGTGAGAGAGAGATTGAGTGAGGGTAAGAGAGAGTGAGAGTGAGATTGACAGTGAGAGAGAGTGAGAGCGAAAGAGAGAGCGTGAGATTGTCCTTGAAAGCACCCGACTTCACGTAAACTTGCACCCACTCAAGTCAGCCGTACTACATCTTCCCCCATTCAGACACAGAAGGGACGTGAGGAAGCCCAGTGGTTAAAGCGTTCGCTCGTCACGCCGTAGGCCAGGGTTCAATTTCCAACATGGGTACAATCTGTGAAGCCCATTCGTGATGTCTCCGTCATGATACTGCTGGAATATTGCTGAAAGCGGCGTAAAACTAAACTCACTCCGACACAGAATGCAGTGCCGATCTGTTCCGATGTCAGGTAGTTTGAGAGACATGGTAAGTTGTGTTTGAGTGACTGTATTCAACATTTATAGGGATGTCATCGGTCTGGTAACTCGGCAACACATTTACGTAAAACACACAAAGACTACTTCCGTGTTGTGTTTGTTAGATTTACTCGACACCGTGAAGATTAAAGGCAGGTCAGTCCTGTGTAATCCTGGCTCATGGTGACGAGGTGTGTGTTCTCCCATATCAGCTGACATTACGCCGAGTGTTACTGGGAAGGCACCTGTGTAACATTTGATATATGGGATTGCCAGCTGCCTCATCCCGGAAGGATTTGTCACTGGAGTACACGTGACTGTTGCCAAATATAGGTCTTACGTCATTGCGATGTAAATTACCTTGACATCCCGTATGGGTGGAAATAAGACATTGATATCCCACTGCTGATTAATGACACGATACGACTGAGATGAGTGCTCTCTCTCTCTCTCTCTCTCTCTCTCTCTCTCTCTCTCTCTCTCTCTCTCTCTCTCTCTCTCTCTCTCTCTCTCTCTCTCTCTCTCTCTCTCTCTCTCTCTCTCTCTCACACACACACACACACTTGTCCACGTTATAATCACATACAGTCATTCCCCTTGTCGCAAACTGTGAGTAGTTCGATGATCAAGAGGACTTCGACTTAAAGAGGTTTCACTGAATATACACTGAATGACGTCATAGTACCCATTGTACGCCCATGCTATCAACCATCTTGGATAATCTTCACTGGATCAGATTATATCCAACATCACTACAACATCAGCTCATTGTGACGAGGTGCATCTCACTGAGTGCTTGCCGTGGACAATGGTCTGTGTGAAATCAACATGATCAAGTGTGGTTTTGGGTACAAAATGACAGGTCTGCAGCGCCAAGATTTTAAACATCGTCCCCATGTGGAATTCGAACCTGGATCTCGACGTTGCTAGCGACCACTCAAACCACTAGGTTACCTCAGGACCGACATACAATTGCACACTGTAAAATATAGCACAGGTGAAATGAAGGAATTCCTTCCCTAGTGACAGTGAGGTTCGGAAAGTTTACAAAGCAACAAGCTCAAAACCATGCAGTGAAAGCGGCCACGGTTCTGTAAGACATAACTGGGCGTGGCTCCTCTAACCTCGAAAGGCTCGCCGTTCAACCTCTTTAACCACGGTGTGTCAACTTCTAATTGTCTTAGTGTTTGACCAAGTGGTCTTTGTTCTTGATTTCCCACCTGTGGTTACTGACGCAGAATGTAACGAGAGGCGTTACCGTCTACACCGATCTCCATAGAACTTTGCATGGTAACACGGCATTGACACTTACGGTTTCTTCACAACGAGGTAAAGTTTAAAAACAAATCCTCCTAAATTGAGACATATGAACGTTCCATTGAGAACGATAACAGAACTGTGCTACAGAGGTTAGGTGTGTGGAATGTTGTCATGATGTCCCGGGCAGTCAACGACGTGTGTGATGGTAATGTCGTCCCATGAAAACTGTGGCTCGACTTTAGTTGTGAGACGAGATAAGTGATAACCATGTTAATACTTGTTGTGCTATATCTTAACCACCTGCTCACAAACATGTCGCTGATATTGTGACGGACAGACTGATCTCGACTTACTAGGTAGCCATGGTAACTTGATGAATATGCCTACCTGTATGACACTAGAGGTGTACAATGCCTACCTGTATGACAATAGATGTGCAATATGCCCACCTGTATGACAACACAGGTGTACAGTGCCCACCTGTATGACACTGGAGGTGCTACAATGCCTACCTGTATGACACTGGAGGTGTACAATGCCTACCTGTATGACAACACAGGTGTACAATGATTACCTGTATGACAATACAGGTGTTCAATGATTACCTGTATGACAAAAAGGTGCGATATGCCCACCTGTATGACAACACAGGTGTACAATGATTACCTGTATGACAATAGATGTGCAATATGCCTACCTGTATGACAACACAGGTGGACAATGCCCATGTGTATGACAACACAGGTGTACAATGCCCACCTGTATGACAACACAGGTGTACAATGATTACCCGTTTGACAATAGATATGTAAAATGCCTTCCTGTATGACAACACAGGTGGACAATGATTACCTGTATGACAACACAGGTGTACAATGCCTACGTGTATGACAACACAGGTGTTCAATGATTACCTGTATGACAATAAATGTGCAATATGCCTACCTGTATGACAAAACAGGTGTACAATGATTAGCTGTATGACAATAGATGTGCAATATGCCCACCTGTATGACAACACAGGCTCGCAATGCCCACCTGTATGACAAACAATGTGCAATATGCCAACCTGTATGACAACACAGGTGTACAATGACAACACAGGTGTACAATGCCCACCTGTATAACAACACAGGTGTTCAATGATTACCTGTTTGACAATAGATCTGCAATATGCCTACCTGTATGACAACACAGGTGTACAGTGCCCACCTGCATGACAATAGATCTGCAATATGACTACCCGTATGACAACACAGGTGTACAATGCCCACCTGTATGACAATAGATGTGCAACATGCCTACCTGTATGACAATAGATGTGCAACATGCCTACCTGTATGACAACACAGGTGTACAATGATTACCTGTATGACAATAGATGTGTATATTTCTTCCTGTATGACAACACATGTGTATAATGATTACCTGCAAGACAATAGATGTGTAATTCCTCCTACCTGTATGACAACACAGGTGTATAATGATTACCTGTATGACAATAGATGTGTATATTCCTACCTGTATGACAACACAGGTGTATAATGACCACCTGTATGACAATAGATGTGCAATATGCCTACCTGTATGACAACACAGGTGTACAATGCCTACCTGTATGACAATAGATGTGCATATATACCTACCTGTATGACAACACAGGTGTATAAGTGCCCACCTGTATGACAAAACAATGTGCAATATTCCAACCTGTATGACAACACAGGTGTATAATGATTACCTGTATGACAATAGATGTGTATATTCCTACCTGTATGACAACACAGGTGTATAATGATTACCTGTATGACAATAGATGTGTATATTCCTACCTGTATGACAACACAGGTGTATAATGATTACCTGTATGACAATAGATGTGAATATTCCTACCTGTATCTGATACTTCTTGTTGGGATTATTCAGGGCATCGAGGTTCATCATGGCCCCCTTCTTCAACTCACTGATGCTCTTCCCCACGTGCGTCTTACAGAAACACTCCTTGTCTTTGCTGCCATTCTTGTTGTTCCGGTAGAAGGTCTGTTTGGTGAGCGGCACCCCACAGATCCGACACCGGAAACACTGCTTGTGGAATAAAACTCCCACATCCAGCTGATCCTCTGGAAACACCTGCTTGTTACACCGAAAACAGGGGTCGACGGGATCCGGCTCTGCCGCCCGTTCGTACTTGAATTCATACAGTGTAGCTTTCTCGTAAGTAAAGGAGTACTTATATGTCTTATTCTCGTCCTCCGACTCGTGCACCAACACCCGACCCTCCTCGGGCTCCGGGAAGGGGGCTGACATGACGGGGGTGATCCTGGGGTGATCCTTTGGGCGGTAATCCGAAACTGAATAAAATCACAAACACTAGTACACTCCGATGACAGGCTTGTTCTCCGACGTTCTCGATCTGTGACACGCTCAACTCTGTTGTGGCTGGGAACAGTGACCTACATTACCTGGGCGTGAATAGCACACGTACAGAGCATTTACAAATTCAAATAAGGCCAAATATGGTTACCATGAAAGGGAGGCAACTGCTGTGGTATTGAATGAGGTGTTGTTAATGCATATCTGCGTCGGTTGGCCCTGATCGTGCGTGGACAATGTCGCAGGTAATGACAAAGTAACTTTCAGTCAGGTATGCAGAAAACGTGACAACGCGCAGAGGACGCCTTTCGTTCCGTGAAGTTGCTCCCCCATAGAAGACGTTAATGGCAGTGTTTATAGCCATCATTGTCTACACCGACATGGTACATCTGTAGCCACCGTTTTGATAGTGAAATTAATTTAACCTTTAAATAATGCCCCCAAAATGAAACTGTAAACAGAATAAATTCTGAAATCGCCAGCACGTCATTGTAACACATAAACAATAAATGAATGAGTGATATGGCACACAATTAAAGATAATTCATTCATTATCACTACATAATTAATCCATCCTCACATTACCAGGAACCAATATTGTCGATTCTCAATACCAGGAACCAGAATAACCCCGGCATTCCCGCTACGCGTGATTAATAATGCGATAATGTTCCCTGTATGAACATCCCCTGTGAACAAGGTGGAGAAAATGGAAGCACGGGTCATCCCGTTATCTAAGCCGCCGCAATTCAGATTTGTTCCGTCAGGAACGTCAGGAATGCACGGTCGCTGGTTTGAATCCCGGATTCACCTTCTTAACGATGCTTGGTTTTCAAGCACATTTCCAGTCTTCAAGCAGGGGCGTAGGAACGGTTTTCAGGGGCCTAATTAAAGTATTGATAATCAAAATGAAATTGAAATGGTAAGGTAGATATTGTTTCGTCTTAAAAAGTGGGGCTAAGCCCTCCCCACCCCCACCCCGTTCCTACGCCCCTGTCAAGAGTTTCACCAGAGTGGCAAATGTCTAGGACAGGCAAATGTCTAAGACACTTTAGGGTGTTCTACGCTCTCTCGCTCATATAATGACTCACTCTTTCACTCACGCTAGGGGCGATGGGGTAGCTTAGTGGTTAATGCAATCGCTCGTCACGCCAAAGACCCGGGTTCGTTTCCATACATTCGTACAATGTGTGAAGCCCTATTCTGGTGTCCCTCGCCGTGATATTGCTGGAATATTGCTCAAAGCGGCGTAAAACTACACTCACTCACTCACGCTATTTTCTAATGACGCGTGCATGTTCTTCATACATATCACCCACACCATGTTTAGCACGGTTTAACTAGAGAATGTTTTCTTCGGACACCCCCTAAGAAATATTACAAGTGATGGTATTATTGTAAAGGTTTGAGCTAGTTCACCCTCGATAATCTCCAGGGTATACGTTCCGATAAATCTCCATTAGTGAAGACGTATCGGAACGTATACCCAAGAGTGAGTGAGTGAGTGACTTTGGTTTTACGCCGCTTTTAGCAATATTTCAGCAATAGCACGGCGGGGGACCCCAGAAATGGGCTTCAGTACACCCAAGAGATTATCGAGGATGGTGATAGTTATGTCAGTGAGACCAAACAATATTGTATCCTTATCACCATAAAAAGGCATAGGTTATGAACATTCCGTAGGTCTGGCGATTCTCAAAGCACAAATATGGTCATATACTGGCCATGGTCGAGACATATCTGAAATTCGAACTCTGAACCAGCGGATCCTAGTAGCTAAGGGACCAAACTCTGCTCCGTATATAATTTCCACTTGCCGTCTGGATAGCTGTGTTGTCATTTAGAGATCTTGGTCAACGGGAACCCTCCAGATCGTCCCGCGTGTCTAAATGTCGTTGTGGATCGCCACCTCTCTTCACTGAAACCTTCGAATCAGTCACGACTTGTTCAGGAACAAAAGAAGACATAAGACTTTTATATGACGCTTCAAGCAATTTGTCTTGCATCGAACTAATGCAGCGAATGGCGGGAGTCAGTCACGAGTTGCCTGCCCCGTTGATGTCTCCTGCGGGATAGAAACGTTTTTCTTGCATCACGGCGACATACTGCGCCACGGGCTTAGTATTTTCGGCTAAAATGAGACATATCAGTCATCCTGAAGTTCAAAACATCTTTAGGGGCGTTGGGGTAGGCTATTGGTTAAAGCGTTCGCTCGTCACGCTGATGACACGGGTTCGATTCCCCATATGGGTACAATGTGCGAAGCCCATTTCTGGTGTCCCCCGTCGTGATATTGCTTGAATATTGATAAAAACGGCGTAAAACCCAACTCTCTCACTCGCTCGAGGTATTTTTAAGTTAGGAATTGTACATCAATTGATGTTTCACGCGTTGTTGATACCGGAATGCCGTTCATGTCGCTGATGTATGGATTTAGGATAGTTTGACGATGCATTGATTAAGTCATCCTCATGCATCCATGGTAATAGGTCTCCATTATAGTGGGATTAATACCCTTGTACATTCGCAAACAGGTGATGATGTGACTCCGCTGTGGATGGAGTGATCATCTCTCATGTAACCATAGTGATGCCGTGTTATGCCATACTGGGTTAGTGAGTAGATATACCTTTGTACCGCCTTTAGCAACGTCAAAGCGTGAGGAGTCAACGCTGTAGCTACTAGACTAACCAAACATCTCTCTGATGTTATTGAATCGTGGCAACGTGGTTGTCGCTGCCTCGTAGTGTTATAGCTTTGTCAGGTGTATTTTAGTGTAAATATATTATTTTAATCATATAATTATTCTCTCCTTTTAGCTATATTATTTCTAGGCAGTTTAAGGTTTAAGCTTTAGAGCTTGGCCTGTCTCACTAATTGCCCAAGCCATGACGCTTCTCGGCTGATTGGTGTCACTAACTCCATGCACAATTTCACTCATTCTGCACTGACTCTTGGACAACTTGGACAGACACACAGTGTAACATTAAGGTTAATATTTATTTCATTGAAGTAATATTGCATTTCATCCTTGCAGTGTATTTATAGTAAACGCATATCTATTTACTATCATTTAAATAGGTATTATATTGTATAGCATGTAAGTACCTTTTAACATATTTACAACGTTTCAGTTTCATTTGAATTACAAAGTGTACATATTTTATCTTCTTTTTAATTTTTATATCTGTCGCTTTCAATCAATAAATCGTGAGCTAAACATCATTGCTTATATTACACATGGTAAGCATACTTCATTGAACAGATCATTTTTAAAGTTTGAATAATAAAAACATTTACTTGACATAGATATTTTCTCACACCATGTTTGAAGATATATGTCTTTAAGTCTTATGGTTAACGACTGCGTGAATGACGTATGAGATTCTACATATTGTGCATTCCAAACATTTCCGAAGCCAATAGAGAATAAGAAGTTCTTAACATGAGATGTCCGATTTCATTGTCCATTTCCATCCTACAAAAACATCACATTATAACATTATTTCGGTAATCGATTCTTTCGAAATGTATTCTTTCTATTTGACGAAAGTCTACCAATCCACAGCTTTCTGCTTAATAAGTCAAAATTGGGTTTATTTTCGTATTAAAAATTTGGGAAAAGGTTTTGTTACTAATATCTCCAAGTGTACTTATTGTCTTCATAATACCGAGACGTGCTTTTTGCGAAATAAATAAATAACTAAACAAATAACTAAATAAGTAAGTAAATAAAAAAAAAATTAAATAAAATAAATAAATAAATAAATAAACACTTGGGTATTTGCAGCGACGTTACGATGTTATGCCATATACTAGACACAAATGTGTATCGATAACCACGTAAGCTTCGTTGTTTCAAGTGTGTCCACTGAGTCGTATTCAGAAAATCTTAGAACAATCATTGTATATATTAGAACATAGAACAGATAGAAGACACAATGCACGACTATCATGTTAACCACAAAAGTGTGCGCAATAGTCACTGTTTTCCATAGAACCCTTTATGGGCCTCTTCAACGATACGTCATCAGGGCACTTTTCCGGAAATGAAAGGGAGGTAAATCCTGTTGATTGTTTGTTGATGGAGTTCGTAGGTTTTGTGGTACTGATGGTGTTTCTCGCTCTCGTCGGCGGGTACATCGTGACCTCGCTGCTTCTCTTGAGGTTCCCGAACCTCATTCACAAGAAAAAGAAACTTAAATTCAGATGTCGACACATAAGTCACCGAGGAGGTACGTAAAACTGTCAAATCATGGTGTGATAGTCATTCATGGTTACTTAGACTGGTCGACCCGACTGCTTGGCAGTAAGTATCAGCTGACAACAGCTTTTACGCGAATATTTCCGTATTTTTGACTCAGTCGAGGTTGTTTTAAATACTATAGTGCTATGACTGTGTGACAATCGGTTATTGACATTGGTTAGTTATTGGTTTAGCTTTACATGTGCAATTTTGTAAATTTTGCCGTTTAGAATATGCTCGTTGAGTTTCAATGATCAGTTCATCTATTGATCGAAGGCTTATCATTGTCTGCTTTCATATGACCAGAATCAAGTGTACAGATAAACAATTCTAGATGATTCATAACACCAGATATTTCAACCAACTGAAAATGACAAACCTGTTCCTAAATATCGCGTCTCATCTAAACTGATGCACGATTTGGCTGATTTGTGCACTAATTGGATAATCCATACAAATCTGGACTATCCACATTCAAATATAGAGGAACCTCATTCAGTTATTTTCCTTTTTGTCCAAAACCGAATTTGCGCAAGAAAGAACAATATTTTCATCATCATTCATTCACAGCACTTAAAATTCACATATTCAAGCGTACATTTTGACCACTTTAGTTCATGCTAAGTTCATGGAAGTTGGCTGATGGAAGAAGAATTAAGTTTGACACAGTCATGGACTGTAATACCCAACTTATTCTTCTATGAAACACAATACAAACAATGCGAATGCTGTTAAATAAAAACTGTCAAATCAATAGTTTTCGTCAAGGCTTATGCTTTTCAGAATCGATTGGAAGTACTAAACAGATAAACAGATATTTCTGAATTGAAGCTGTTGTTTGATGTAAACATTTCAGCTGATTCAGGGTTACCACGGCATACCGTATCAAACAACATTTCTGAGTCACTGCAGATAGAAGTCAATAATGTTTAAATTATCCTATCAATCTTCTTTCTATATGGGTATGAGTTCAGGGGGTATCTGACATAATGTGTCTGCCAAAACCTGCAAGGCATGGTTCCCAGTTCCATTTTCCTAAGATAAGAATGAAGAGTGTCATTCATGTCATGTCCAGTCGATATTCTGGATAATGGGTGATGTCATGTCGATATTCTGGATAATGGGTGATGTCATGTCGATATTCTGGATAATGGGTGATGTCATGTCGATATTCTGGATAATGGATGATGTCGTGTCGATATTCTGGATAATGGATGATGTGTCGATATTCTGGATAATGGGTGATGTCATGTTGATATTCTGGATAATGGGTGATGTCATGTGGATATTCTGGATAATGGGTGATGTCATGTCGATATTCTGGATAATGGATGATGTGTAATGGGGTCATGTCAATATTCTGGATAATGGGTGATGTCATGTCGATATTCTGGATAATGGGTGATGTCATGTGGATATTCTGGATAATGGGTAATGTCATGTCGATCTTCTGGATAATGGGTGATGTCATGTCGATATTCTGGATAATGGGTGATGTCATGTCGATATTCTGGATAATGGATGATGTGTCAATATTCTGGATAATGGGTGATGTCATGTCAATATTCTGGATAATGGATAATGTCATGTATATATTCTGGATAATGGGTGATGTCATGTAGATATTCTGGTTATTGGATGATGTCATGTGGATATTCTGGATAATGGGTGATGTCATGGGCAGGAGTGTCAGTTGCATATGATTATTTGACATTTGATTATGGGTAAGAAAGAAAATAACTACAAACTCAGAATTACAGTTTATCTTTGCTAAGGAAATTCATGTCACAGATTCTTCGGGAAAGAGTAGCTGTAGTTCCTTGTAGTTTGTTAGTAATTCTCATTTTATGTGTGATGATATTTTTGTATTTGTTGATGGACTGGCACTAGATTTTCGAAGCTCTCTTAGCTTAAGATTTTGAAGCTCTCTTAAGCTAAGATAGTGGTAAAGTGCCATACATTAACATTAACTTACGACTGTCTTAGCGCTAAGATAGTTGTGGTAAGTGCCAAGCACCAAGATAGTGGTAAGTGCCATATTGGCTAATAACCTTTTAACTTAGACATTAACATCTTCTTACGAAGATCTTCGCACTAAGAGAGCCTCGAGAATCTAGGCCCTGGGATATCCCTGAGGTCACAACAAGCCTCCTTCATTGCTGATGTGTTATCATAACGACGCTGTGTGGGTGTGGGAGAATAAGACACGATGCCATTATCGACGCTGTTGTTTAAGTCATTATCCCCTTTGCCCTCATAAGCATTATTAGCACAATGCATGATTATCATTTAGAAATGGGTTATGTCATCACGGGCTCTGGGGGATTCTGTGAACAACAATTGAGAATTAGCTAGCTGTTGTGAGAGACCTTGATCATCAGTGGCCCTCTTCAACAGCAATGCTGTGTGCTGTCAGCTGTTGTGTGCTATTGTTGTGTCAGGCGTACGATGGACACTGGCTGTTAATGTGGCTAAGGGGGTGACAGGCCCCCTGCTCCAAGGTGTGTTCCAGCTACTGGTGTCTTGAGGCCAGATCACTGCAGTACACTGAGTACCAGTATTGTGACATATTCCCGCCACTGTTCATGTCAGCGTGACAGTGTGTGTTGTTGTAAACACAACCTTGTCATTACCATGATTACAGCACACCTGTTGCCAGAGATGTGTACAGACGTACATTCGATATGATCTCACAAATACACGACATGGATCAATCAGTCTGTGAACGACCATTCAGGTTAAGCTAATATCTAAATATGGATAACTTGCTGTGTACACACAATCAACATTTGACCTTTCAGAGTAAGTGGAGCATGTCATTACTTGTGGTGTGACTCAGCACTTCTCTGTAGAACTCGACCAGGTTGATAACAATCCCATATCCCCCCGATATATCTCACCTGTCCGTTACCTGCACTAACAGTTCCTGAATCTCCGTACTTCATCCCCAATATCGCTGATATCATTATCAGCTGTGAATTCCACTGATGTCACTATCGGCACTAATTCCACTGATGTCACTATCAGCACTAGTTCCACTGATGTCACTATCAGCACTGATTCCACTGAAGTCACTATCAGCACTAGTTCCATTGAAATCATTATCAGCTGTCAATTCTCTCATTTTGCTATCAGTTCTTAATTCCATTGAAATCATTATTAGCTCTCAATCCTCTCATATCATTATCAGCTTGTAATTCTAGTGAAATCATTATAAGCTGTCTATTCTCTATCTTTATCAGCTCTCCTGCCTGGCGCTCGGCTTTAATGGGTACAAGGACTGGTCGGCTCGGAGTCTGTATAATGTGTCTGAGTGGGGTATTCATGCTTTACTGCGGCATGGTATCTCAGTTGGCTAGCACTATAAAACCAGCTTCAGTCTGGGCTAGTACAAGCAGCCGCACATACACATACACACACATGCACATCGTCATATGAGCGAAATATTCTCAAGCACGACGCAAAACCCAATTTCACCTCACCTCACCTTTATCAGCTCTCATTTCTCTGATATCATTATCACTCCTTAATTCTCTCATATCATTCTCTCATATCATTATCAGCTCTCAGTTCTACTGATATCATTGTCTACTCTCAATGCTGTCATTATCAATTCTTAATTTCCCAGATATTACCGGTATTTTCGGTTCCATGTGACCCTGATATCTTCATCAGTCCCAGTTGTCTCAGCTGTCAGTATTGATTCCTAGTAGCCCTGATATCATGCATCATGGAGATAAGATAAGCTTAATTATTGCTGGACTTTCACGTTGTGAACAGAGTGAGTGAGGGAGTGAGTATTGTCTTATGTGGCTTTTAGCAATATTCCAGCAATATCACGGCACGGAAACCAGAAATGGACTTCACCCATTGTATCCATATGGGGAATCAAACTCGGGTCTTCTGCGTGATGAGCGAAAACTTGAACCACTAGGCTACCCCACCATCCCAGAACAGACAGCAATAATGTACTTTCCCTAGCCTATAGGCTGTGGGTACTTAACTTTTAATAAATATACTTATCATTAAATAAAAGCTTGGCCTCTTTTACACCATGCCTGATCTTAACAACATGCTTTGTGGCTAGTATGGTTACTGTACCCACGAACTCACGTCCAGGGTCTACTTGAAATAACTTGGGCCATGTCAACATGTCAAGGGTCCACGTTTATATATGTGGTCAAAGGAATTAGCCACTTCAGTTGAATCTTTTGTGGTTAATGGTTCGGCCTTTTTGTATCAACTGGCTTCGTCCACTACAGTTAAAGCATGTTTATATTGTGTGTGTTACCTGATGATGCAGAAGAGAGAAGAGGTTGGCAGGATGAACATCATGAATTGTGGAATTTGCCATATTGTATGTTTGTTTAACCAATGCTTAGCAACATGTTCAGATACCTCAGCCTCTGTAGCTTATGTTGTACTGCTCCTTTACCTTTCCAATATTCCTGTGAGCTGTAGGAAATGTTATCTTTTATTAACTGATATTGGTGTCCCTTTAATACAACAATTTAGACTGATGTTTACATGTGTGCATAACAATCAAAACGAAAGAAGAAATTGAAAAAAGCCGCTAGTTCCATCAATGAAAGTTTCCAAATGATGTTCGTTCACTCATACTCCATTGTTTACAGGGATGAGTGAGTGAGTGAGTTTAGTTTTACGCCGCTGTTAGCAATATTCCAGCAATGTCACGGCTGGGGACACCAGAAATGGGCTTCACACATTGTACTCATATGGGGAATCAAACCTGGGTCCTTGGCATGACGAGCAAATGCTTTATCCACTAGGCTACCCCACCGCCCCTTGTCTATAGGGGCTACCCCACCCCACCCTTGTCTATAGGGGCTACCCCACCTCCCCTTGTCTATAGGGGCTACCCCACCTCCCTTCTCTATAGGGGCTACCCACCTCCCCTTTGTCTTGTCTACCCCAGGGGTCTAGGGGCTACCCCACCTCCCCTTGTCTATAGGGGCTACCCCACAGCTCCTTGTCTATAGGGGCTACCCCACCTCCCCTTGTCTATAGGGGCTACCCCACCTCCCCCTGTCTATAGGGGCTACCCCACACCCCTTGTCTATAGGGGCTACCCCACAGCCCCCTTTGTCTATAGGGGCTGTCCCCACTGGGGCTACCCCCTTGTCTATAGGGGCTACCCCACCTCCCCTTGTCTATAGGGGCTACCCCACCTCCCCTTGTCTATAGGGGCTACCCCACCTCCCCTTGTCTATAGGGGCTACCCCACCTCCCCTTGTCTATAGGGGCTACCCCACAGCCCCTTGTCTATAGGGTTTACCCCACACCCCTTGTCTATAGGGGCTACCCTACCTCCCCTTGTCTATAGGGTTTACCCCACGGCCCCTTGTCTATAGGGTTTACCCCACGGCCCCTTGTCTATAGGGGCTACCCCACCTCCCCTTGTCTATAGGGGCTACCCCACCTCCCCTTGTCTATAGGGGCTACCCTACCTCCCCTTGTCTATAGGGGCTACCCCACAGCCCCTTGTCTATAGGGCCACCCCACAGCCCCTTGTCTATAGGGTTTCCCCCCACAGCCCCTTGTCTATATAGGCTTACCCCACCTCCTTGTGTCTATAGGGGCTGCACCCCACAGCCCTTGTCTATAGGGGCTACCCCTCCCCCCTTGTCTATAGGGGCTGCCACCTCCCTTGTCTATAGGGGCTTACCCCACCCCTTGTCTATACCCCCATTCTTTCCTCTGGGGCTACCCCACCTCCCCCTTGTCTATAGGGGCTACCCCACCTCCCCTTGTCTATAGGGGCTACCTCCCCCTCCCCCTGTCTAGGGGCTACCCCACCTCCCCTGTCTATAGGGGCTACCCCACCTCCCCTTGTCTATAGGGGCTACCCCCACCTCCCCTTGTCTATAGGGGCTACCCCACCTCCCCTTGTCTATAGGGCCACCCCACCTCCCCTTGTCTATAGGGTCTACCCCACCCCCTTGTCTATAGGGGCTACCCCACCTCCCCTTGTCTATAGGGGCCCCACCTCCCCCTTGTCTATAGGGCTACCCCACCACCTCCCTTGTCTATAGGGGCCCCCACAGCCCCTTGTCTATAGGGGCTACCCCACCTCCCCTGTCTATAGGGTCTACCCCACAGCCCTTGTCTATAGGGCTACCCACCTCCCCCTTGTCTATAGGGGTTCTGCACCCCACCTCCCTTGTCTATAGGGCTACCCCACAGCCCCTTGTCTATAGGGGCTACCCCACCACCCTTTGTCTATAGGGGCTACCCCACCTCCCCTTGTCTATAGGGCCTACCCCACTGCCCCTTGTCTCTAGGGGCTACCCCACCTCCCCTTGTCTCTAGGGGCATCTCGGTATAAATTTGTGTGAAGGACATGAAATGATGTTCCATCAAATTGTTGCCATTGGCTCTGATAGCTCCACTAAAGTGAGAGATTTATGGTTATTTTGTCAGATTCGGTTCTACAGCCTGTAACTATTGTCCAGAATACACCATGTTCCCCTTTTTGGAGGTTGCATGATGAGGAACACAGTTTGAATGTCATTTTCCTACTGACTGGAATGATGTTTGAAGTTATTTCCCTTTCTCACTCACTCGCTCACTGACTCACTCACTCGCTCACTGACTCGCTCACTCGCTCACTGACTCACTGACTCACTCACTCGCTCATTGACTCGCTCACTCGCTCACTTATTCACTCACCACTCACTCACTGACTCACTCACTGACTCGCTCACTCGCTCACTGACTCACTCACCTGCTCACTGACTCACTCACTTACTCACTCACCACTCACTCACCACTCACTCACTCAATGTGTTCTTCTTCCAGGTGCGGGGGAGAACCTAGAGAACACAATGGCAGCGTTCCAGCAGTGAGTATCAGCTTCCTACTTGAAGACTGTCACCATGTGCTATTGTGTAGACTTGTGTCACGAACCCCGTCAGATCTTTCATACTGTAGGCCATTCAGAGGGGTGATAATGATTTTTATGGAGAAGCATGCACAATGACACCCCCCACCCCCACCCACACACACACACCCTAAAGTTTATGTACAAAGTGACCCTCCCTGCATGTCATGTACAAAATCAATGACACATACCCCCACCCCCAGTACATGTGTACAAAATTAATGACCTCCTACCTCCCCCAAACTGGGTGATCCCCCTTGAATCATCATCATCCCCTCCACCCACCCCCATCCATTGATTATGAACGGTCCCTAAACATCCTAAACCTGCATCACCTCTGCATTTCTTCACACAGTAATCTGATTATATTTTATTTTTCAGTCATTTGCTGCATTTCTTCATATTATTGCTGATACACAAATTAATGAAATGTCTACACACCGTGTGAACATCATCCGAACATTGTTTAAACAGGGCCTGCAGGTTGAACATTGTATGTTGAAAGTCCTCTGATTGTGTGCATATCACTTGTGCAATGTCTGCACACCCTCCAACCCAGGTTCATGTGTTGTTGGGACAGCCAACATGTACCCAGGGGAAGTACTTCTCTCGTCCTGCAATGTCTTCTCACAAATACTCTTCATGTCCTTGAAGGCCTTTCCCAACAGTCTCACTCTCAGGCTTTTAAAGTACTGATATTTCCCTCACTTGGTCTGTTAAGTGTAGAGGACAGGAGCTTTGTTAGAACAGCTTCTGTATTTAGTGATCACAGGTTTGCAGTGGTAAGCCAATGGTCACAGATTGTCTTAATGGGCTGCTAACACCTTAGCCCCTGGTTCTACCAATTTGATGCATACTATATGCAACATTTTTGTAGTAAAGCACCAATTACTACTTTTATTGGTGTCCCATCCTTGAATCAAAACCCACACTCAGAGTCAGACACTTAATTGCCGGCTCACAAAGTCCACCCGTCCTTATACCTGCCGTCCGGTCCTCCCTCCTACTATATTGCCCGTCCTCATACCTGCCCTTGAGCCTTACTGCTCTTCCACCTGTCCTCTTGTTTGGCTGGCTCCTGTCCTCCTGTCCTCACACCTACCGTCCCCGTCCTCCCTCCTACTATATTGCCCGCCTCCTCCTGTCCTCTTGCTTGGCTGGCCTTCCTGTCCTCCCGTCCTTATACCTGCCGTCCTGTCCTCCCTCCTAGTCCCCTACCTGCACTGCCACTCTACCTCACTCACTCTTGAACCTGCACCATGTAGAAATATTCCAGACAGTGATGATGTATTGATTAGTCTAGTGGGGACCAGGCCTAAAGGTTAGGCTGACATTATGTAAATTACTTATTCATGATCTATGATGACATTTCTTGAGCTATCCTGGGATGTTTCTACAGATGCACAGGGATACTTTGGCATAGCCTGATGAGGTCTTTGCAAAAAGATTTTTCAATCAACAGTTTTTGTTTTAACTTTTCCTTGTGCCGAAAGAGAATCCATGTTATTTTGTTCTCTATGATGCAGCATCTATTCCTGCTACTGGAGCTGCACGATAATGGACAGAAAATACATCAAAGACAGTTCTGTGGTTCCTTGTTACCGAATTTGTCTTTTCCTATCAGAATTTAATAAGGTATTCAGAGATACCAGACATTTTGGGTTTGATGGAACGATTATTTTACATCATATTACAAATATTCTGTCTTAAATATTGCCAGTAATGTACACTGATGTTTTACATTGCTTATAATTGTGTTCATATAAGTGTTTAATCACTGTAATTAATGATTGAGTTTTGTTCATTGAATTTTTGCCTCATCCGACTGAGAAATGATATACATTGCCTGGCAGTATGACAATGCTTTGGGTGGAAAAATCAAAATTACCGAAACAGCAAACAAACCATAGAGCAGCTAGACAGACCAATATTAGACCTTAGAACAGCTAGACAGACCAATATTAGACCATAGAGCAGCTAGACAGACCAATATTAGACCATAGAACAGCTAGACAGACCAATATTAGACCATAGAACAGCTAGACAGACCAATATTAGACCATAGAACAGCTAGACAGACCAATATTAGACCATAGAACAGCTAGACAGACCAATATTAGACCATAGAACAGCTAGACAGACCAATATTAGACCATAGAACAGCTAGACAGACCATTTTTAGACCATAGAACAGCTAGATAAACCATCATTAAACCGTAGAGCATCTAATATGTGTGCCAGAATTTGACAATTATGCCAGTTTATATAGTTAGACCATTGTGTGGGCAAGTGAAGCTTAGTGCTTTAATTACACCCAGTGCCAATATTGCAAATATGTAAGCAAAGCACAATTATTATGTGCCCCCTAGAATATTAGATGCCAATATTTGATCTTGTGACATTATTGGAAACATCCCTAATGTTAGACCCAAGTAACAGTTTTAGATCAGTATTAGACCCAAGGGCAAATATTAGACCCAAGTGACAGTGTTAGACGTAGTGGCAATACAAATTCTATGGAACAATGGTATTCACATGATTAACTGGTCTTAAACAAGACGTAGTGTTGAGAAGTTTATACTGGAACTCTTTATCAGAGAAGTCTGATGTTTTGTATTCCAGTGCGATGTCACGGAACACAGAGATGCTGGAACTCGACTGTCATGTGACACGAGATGGTCAGGTGGTCGTGTCACATGACGAGTCCCTGGAACGAGCATGTGGATACAGTGGCAAGATCTCTAGCATGGATTATAAGGTGATTCAAATATATTGTGTGGTGTGAATTATATAATTTGCTCAGATGTATCATGTCTATTGTGATACATTCAAGTCACCTATATATGATCATCCTGAGTTAGAGCTGGTCCCCAAAACTTGTGTTTGCTGTATCCATATGGATTGCATTATCTGAATGTCTTCACAATATTGATCACTAGATTTTCTGATCCTGTCGTCATGTGGAAAGAATATTGCTGAGAGCAGCATTGAACAACCTTTGAGCGACCTATGACCTTCCAATCAAATGCGAGAAGGCCGATCGGAATTAACCAATCAGACAACAGCTACTATTGAGTAGGACTGCACGGTATTAACGGTATACCGGTATATTGCAATACGCTTTTCAAACGATGCATATCGCAATATGTTTTCTGAGAACCGGTATAATGGGTAAAGAAAATATATAAAGTTTTTATGATTATCTTTATGGGTTTAATCAAATCTACACAGACTTTCATTAACAACAGATGTTTTACTTCGTTAGTCAACGGCAAAACAGCATACTGTAAAACTATAAAAAAAATATTTTAAAAATAAAATCCCTGACTATGCAATTTAAGTTTGAAATTGCTGTTATCAGAACCATAACATATGTTTTTAGGGACTTATGATGTAGAAACTTGGATCGACATGTACAATTAGTGTCACTCATTGTTAAACACTTAAGTTCCCAGTATATATCGCAATACGGGTACCTGAATCGCAATATATCGCAATACGTATCGCAATGCGGGTACCTGAATCCCAATATATCGCAATACGTATCGCGATACGGGTACCTGAATCGGAATATATTGCAAAAAGATTTATTTGCCAATACCCAGCCCTACTATTTAGGGTTCGGCGGGACTTACAAATTGGCAACACAAGATGAAATTGACAGTGGGCACGCTTTGGGGTTTCTGATGACATGGTTACCATTTCCGCGAGATGACATCCTAGAATAAAAGACAAAATGCTATCTTCAGCAACTGTTTACTCACTGTTGTGAATAATATGTGTGTCACTCCATGTGTATCACTCCAAAGCGAATCGTGCTCAAAATCGTTCCAGTACAAATGTTTTCGAGGTAAAGTGAGTGAGTGAGTGAGTTTAGTTTTACGCCGCACTCAGCAATATTCCAGCTATATGGCGGCGGTCTGTAAATAATCAAGTCTGGACCAGACAATCCAGTGATCAACAGCATGAGCATCGATCTGCGCAATTGGGAACCGATGACATGTGTCAACCAAGTCAGCGAAACTGACCACCCAATCCCGTTAGTCGCCTCTTACGACAAGATAGTCGCCTTTTTATGGCAAGCACATGGGTTGCTGAAGACCTATTCTACCCCCGGATCTTCACGGGTCTTTCGAGGTAAAAGTTCAAACGGTATGTATGAATGTTAACTTTTGCGATTTGGTAAGCTGTGTTCTGATTGGTCAGTTAATAAGGTTAGCTCAGGCGACCTAGGGTCTGTTAGACTAGGGTTTGTTAGACTCATTATAGCAGTGTAACGGATAATATGGACCCTAAGTTTACTTAGACTGCATTAAACATCGAACAAATAAACACATCACCATTATTTCATTGATAAGATGGTTACATGTTTCCTTCTCTACCTAGGATCTCCCTCCTCTGAAACCCTGTTTGAATGTGGACTTCAGCTCTGGTGAGTTGACATCCCAACTGTCATAAAATCAAGTACAAGAAGTACATAGATCTAGACTACCAATTGTCAGACTACCATATTTGTGGGCGCTGATGATCTTGAGTGAAATCTGGGTGAAATCAAATGGCTAAAACATCTGAATGCAAGCATTCAAAATCTTGTAACATTATTTAAATAAGTTAATTATGTTACCGAGTTACATGTGTAGATGATCCCCGCTGATGGCATTTGTCATGAAGATGCTTGTTATGGAGAATATTTAGAATTTCTTCATCATGTGTTTTAGACCGATGTTTTCCCAAGGTTTTCGTTACTACAGAGTTCCTCTTCTTTCCTCCATCACCATGGATACAATTGGCTGTTAAATAAAAATTATGTAATGAAGTCATTTAATTTAAACTCATGTAAGTCAGGTCAAAATAGAATGTTATCAGTCTTAGATTGGAGTATTCACACGGCAGGTACATTTGCTACAATGTACAAGGGTAGATGCAGGATTGATTACATATTTACATTTTAAACTGATTGAAGTTAAGGGAACACTACCACTGTTAACATTAGTGTGTAAAGCTGTTACATAACACTGTTAATCGTTACGTACTTGCTGCCTGTGTGATGTTGCTGAGGGCTGATTGGTGCTGCCACTCTCCGACCTCCCTGTAGCAGGAACCAGGCTGTCTCTTGATTGGCTGCACATGAATAGCGTGTTGCCTGCCTAGCAGTATATGTAGGGCATGGATGAATGTAGGATAATGTGAGATATAGCATTACTACTGTGGTTGAGAGTGACACCTAGTGGTGACCCCTGATTGTCCAGGTCACGAGATCCAGGGAGGAGAAGATCGTCAGATTCCACTACTGAAGGACGTGTTCGACGCCTTCCCTAACTTGGTCATCAACATCGACATCAAAGTAGACGATGATGAGCTCATCACTAAGGTAACCGGCAGACTTGGTACATATTTCAGTGTTCTCATCGCCGGGGACCTTACTGCTTCTATTAGATGTAGTGACATCCTTCATTCTTTAAGTTCAACTTTCAGTTTACAACCCTTCCATCTTGCCATTTTCTCAGTTTTAAACCAAGGGCATGTAACTTCAGTTTGAAGATATCATGTAACTTCAGTTTGAAGATATCATGTAAGTTTGTGTTTGTGACATTCATTCGTGTTTATACCATGTCTTGAAAATAGTATTTATTTTATCTGAATATTTCAATTGAGTGAGTGAGTGGTTTTAGCAATATTCCCACACTATCATGGCTGTGGACACACATTGTACCCATGTAGGGAATCGTACCCAGGTCTATGGCGTGACGAGTGAACTACTAGGCTACCCAGCTGGCCCCTTCAATAAGACTCTCCATAGGAAGTCCGTAGTGGTTTAAACCAGGTTTGATATACTTCTACCTAAATACTGCATCATATATATGCAATCCCAAACTGAAGTGAAACAAGAAGTAGAAGGTTTCTGATGGTGGGAGTGGGTGCCTATCACCTATAGTGTGGCTCATGCTTGATGAAAGACGCCGGATGGGGTATTGGATGGGTACAATGTCAGTTTGGTATGGATAATATTTAACTGTCTGACAACAGGATGCCGGAGTGCAAGCTGATGTTGAAGTCTTACATGTATGGACGGAATAACTTGTGTTTTCTGCTCCTGTTAGGCGGTGGCGAAGCCAAGTGGTTAATGCGTTTGCTCGTCACACCGTTCGCTCGTCACGCCAAAGGCCCAGGTTCGAATCCTTGCATGGGTACAGTGTGTGAAGCCCATTTCTAGTGTCCCCTTCCATGATATTGCTGGAATATTCTGTCATTGGTGATGATGACATTGATGTGTTTCCTTCAATGTAGGTGTCGGAGCTGGTGCGGGACTATAAGAGGGAGTCGATCACTGGCTGGGGCAACCAGTGACAAGGTGGAGTCCAAGCTACACAAACAGGTACACGGCCATCACAGCTGTGAACACATTATGGATGTGAAAATACAGAACACTCAACAAGTAAACTGTAACCATTCTCTTGTCTGGAGAGAAGTCTGTTAAATGGTGTTTTGTCACTTTTCTGCATCTTCAGTGACCCCAATTTTAATGTGAATGTTGAAAAAATTGTTTTTGTGATCAATATGTTGTAATAAAATACACAATGCCATTTTAGAAAGTGGTCAAATGTAACATATGTTATATCTGGGATTACACTTTCTTAGTAAAGTACAGATTCTAGTACTTTTGGGGTTGAGTCCCATCCGGGATTTGAACCCACACCTTCAGAGTCAAGCACCTAATCGCCAGCACACAAAGTCAGACGCATAGACCGCTCAGCCACCGCTGCTTCCACAAAAATGGAATTCGGACACCTGGTAGTCTAGACTGAGGACTTTGTGTACCCCTATATAACATATGTTACATTTGACCACTTTCTAACATGGCATTGTGTATTTCATAGCTTTCGGCCGTGGGAGCCGTGCCAACTAACACTTATCAGAGGGGTACACAAAGTCCTCAGTCTAGACTACCAGTTGTCCGACTTCCATTTTTGTGGAAGCCGCGGTGGCTGAGCGGTCTATGCGTCTGACTTTGTGTGCTGGCGATTAGGTGCTTGACTCTGAAGGTGTGGGTTCGAATCCCGGATGGGACTCAACCCCAAAAGTACTAGAATCTGTATTTTACTAAGTTAGTGTAATCCCAAATATAACATATGTTAAATATGTTGTGATGTTATATTAAAAAGAAACCCATGTTTTAAACACCTAGTACAGTCTGCCATGACATCCGACATCAACACTGTTCTGAGGGGCCATATGTTTTAAACACCTAGTACAGTATGCCATGACATCTGACATCAACACTATTCTGAGGGGCGATAAATACAATTCATTCAATAGCTCGTTATAATTGACAAGTAGATCGTCTTGAAAAGTTATGTACAGAATCTCTTGTAAAAGAATAACGTAGACACGGCAGTTTTTTTGTTTGTGTTTTCCCAGAATCCAGAGATCCCGCTGATTTTCTCCATGAGGAGGGTCGTCCTGCTTCTCTTCTATTTCTACTCGGGGTTACTTCCCTTTATTCCACTGAAGGAATCTCTGCTGGAGGTCATCATGCCAAGCATTCTCTTGGAGTGAGTACTTATCAGAGTTGTCTCCCTTTTTCTGAACACACAAGAGTTGTCTCCCTTCTGCTGAACACATCACAGTTGTCTGTCTTCTGCTGTACACAACAGAGTTGTCTTCCTTATGCCTAAGGCACTAGAGTTGTCGCCCTTGTGCTCAGCACATCAGAGTTGTCTGCCCTCTGTACTCATATTGTGTGATCCTTTCAGTGTCCTCACAAATGACTGCCTCAGTGGTCCAGTGGATCGATCCCTGCTTCTTCCCCGAGTGGAATATTTTACAGAATGCCACTCGGGGTCAGAAATGTATTAATCGTGCAGAAAACACTTTGTCTTGGATTCATTCAGAATTTGGCATCATTTAGCCTGGAGCAGGGACTCGGTTTTCGAAGCTCTCTTAGTGCTAAGATAGTCGTAAGTTAATGTATGGTACTTACAGCTATCTTAGCGCTAAGAGAGCTTCGACAATCTAGGTCCTGAATTTTAACATGTTAAAACCGTATTTTAACTCTGTGAAAAACCAAACATTGGATAAAATATACTGTTCCAAGTATACCAAACTGTTTATGTATTTAGGAGAACAAAGCCTCAGACACAAATCATCTTTTAAACACTTTTTATCTGAGTAATGTTTTAATGAAATCAGTTGCTGGAATATGTGCTGAATCATCAGTATTTGGCTGCAGAATTTACCAAGATGTATCAGACAATTCTACTTTTTAGGACTGCGGGGATCTAGCATTCCTGTTCATAAAATAACCAGTAGATACGGACGCATGTTTCTTGTTGCTACCCTGTCGAAAAATGTAAACAAGATTTGTTTGATTTGGAGTTCCACCGGATATTGTGTCTGTCTTGTCCAGAGTTATTGATTGTCAGTTGTCACCGGATATTGTTGACGTCTGATGTTCCTGGGGTATAATAATAACAATAATGATAAGAGTATTTTATAACGCCTCGTCCCCATCACTCAGGGACATGCTCTAGGCGCATACCATATATATTCAGGTTATATGTACAGGAAAGTTGGCGTTCATAGATCTTTCTTGGAGAGATAAGTTTTAAGCTTGGACTTAAAGACTGCTAGTGATAGGGAGTATCTATACTTTGATAGGGTGTCTATACTTACGATACACCCTATGCTCATCTATGCGATACGTGATAGGAGCACGTGATAGGAGATTTTTAGGTCACTGCTATAGATACGATACGTATACTTATCACGATAGGGATATCTATACTTATCGCTAGTTTTCATAGCATTACCTTGCTAGTGATAGGGAGTCTATACTTACTGCTTGTGATAGAGTATCTGATTGGGGAGCATCTAAATAGTCTAGCCAATCACAAAAGCTGTTAGTTTCCAACTTATTTTTAGGTAAAGCTAGCTACATCTATTTATCGGAGCCGGTCTGGTATAATTTTACTATCAAGACTTTGACGGAGATGGATATAGCATAAAAATTTGAATCGATAAAGTTTTAAAATAGGGAGGAATCGATACTTACTGCTAGTGATAGGCAGTATCTATACTTACTGTATTGCATATCGTATCGTGATAGTAAAATGTACCTGATGCATCGATACATTCTGCTAGTGATAGGATATCGCGACTACCCCTACTGATAGGAAGTGCTGCTTGTTTCTGTTCCAGTGAAGCCAAGACACCGATAAAACTTTCCAAAAAACAGAGGTTTGCCATCCGAGTTGTTGAAGCGTGAGTATTTCTTATGAGCAGTTAAGAAGACATTTAAGTATTTAAATTCTTTGCATGTTACATGACTAGGAGGGCTTGTTTTAGTTACTTTCCGGGACATTCAGTTAGCCATTTTACTATCTAGTTTAGGGGATTGGAGGGTCCAGTTTTCAAAAGTTGTGCATTTGACTACTATTGAGAGTGACACAAAACCCGACTCACATGTGAGTCAGTGTGACGATGGCTGTAGTTTGTGTGAGTTCTCATACTACAATGTACAATGTTTTACTTTGTAGCCTCAAGCAGCCTATTGTTAATTTTATGAATTGGTTAAAGCAATATGTTCATAAATGAACACAATCTCGGATAAAAAAGAATACCACATAACTAAGAATCTGTCTCTGTTTTAGGCTGATGATGAGACCAGTGCTGTTTAAACACCTGGAGAGACGAGGTATACAGGTAGGTGGATTATGGAGACCAGTGCTGTTTAAACACCTGGAGAGACGAGGTATACAGGTAGGTGGATTATGGAGACCAGTGCTGTTTAAACACCTGGAGAGACGAGGTATACAGGTAGGTGGATTATTGAGACCAGTGCTGTTTAAACACCTGGAGAGACGAGGTATACAGGTAGGTGGATTATGGAGACCAGTGCTGTTTAAACACCTGGAGAGACGAGGTATACAGGTAGGTGGATTATGGAGACCAGTGCTGTTTAAACACCTGGAGAGACATGGTATATACAGGTGGATTATGGAGACAGAGCTGTTTAAACACCTGGAGAGACGAGGTATACAGGTAGGTGGATTATGGAGACCAGTGCTGTTTAAACACCTGGAGAGACGAGGTATACAGGTAGGTGGATTATGGAGACCAGAGCTGTTTAAACACCTGGAGAGACGAGGTATACAGGTAGGTGGATTATGGAGACAGAGCTGTTTAAACACCTGGAGAGACGAGGTATACAGGTAGGTGGATTATGGAGACCAGTGCTGTTTAAACACCTGGAGAGACGAGGTATACAGGTAGGTGGATTATGGAGACCAGTGCTGTTTAAACACCTGGAGAGACAGAGGTATACAGGTAGGTGGATTATGGAGACAGAGCTGTTTAAACACCTGGAGAGACGAGGTATACAGGTAGGTGGATTATGGAGACCAGTGCTGTTTAAACACCTGGAGAGACGAGGTATACAGGTAGGTGGATTATGGAGACCAGTGCTGTTTAAACACCTGGAGAGACGAGGTATACAGGTAGGTGGATTATGGAGACCAGTGCTGTTTAAACACCTGGGGAGGCAGAGGTATACAGGTAGGTGGATTATGGAGACCAGTGCTGTTTAAACACCTGGAGAGACGAGGTATACAGGTAGGTGGATTATGGAGACCAGTGCTGTTTAAACACCTGGAGAGACGAGGAGGTATACAGGTAGGTGGATTATGGAGACAGAGCTGTTTAAACACCTGGAGAGGCGAGGTTTACAGGTAGGTGGATTATGGAGACCAGTGCTGTTTAAACACCTGGGGAGACGAGGTATACAGGTAGGTGGATTATGGAGACCAGTGCTGTTTAAAACACCTGGAGAGATGAGGTATACAGGTAGGTGGATTATGGAGACAGAGCTGTTTAAACACCTGGAGAGACGAGGTATACAGGTAGGTGGATTATGGAGACCAGTGCTGTTTAAACACCTGGAGAGACGAGGTATACAGGTAGGTGGATTATGGAGACCAGTGCTGTTTAAACACCTGGAGAGACGAGGTATACAGGTAGGTGGATTATGGAGACAGTGCTGTTTAAACACCTGGAGAGACGAGGTATACAGGTAGGTGGATTATGGAGACCAGTGCTGTTTAAACACCTGGAGAGACGAGGTATACAGGTAGGTGGATTATGGAGACAGAGCTGTTTAAACACCTGGAGAGACGAGGTATACAGGTAGGTGGATTATGGAGACAGAGCTGTTTAAACACCTGGAGAGACGAGGTATACAGGTAGGTGGATTATGGAGACCAGTGCTGTTTAAACACCTGGAGAGACGAGGTATACAGGTAGGTGGATTATTGAGACAGAGCTGTTTAAACACCTGGGGAGACGAGGTATACAGGTAGGTGGATTATGGAGACCAGTGCTGTTTAACCACCTGGAGAGACGAGGTATACAGGTAGGTGGATTATGGAGACCAGAGCTGTTTAAACACCTGGAGAGACAAGGTATACAGGTAGGTGGATTATTGAGACAGAGCTGTTTAAAACACCTGGGGAGACAGAGGTATACAGGTAGGTGGATTATGGAGACAGTGCTGTTTAAACACCTGGAGAGACGAGGTATACAGGTAGGTGGATTATGGAGACCAGTGCTGTTTAAACACCTGGAGAGACGAGGTATACAGGTAGGTGGATTATGGAGACCAGTGCTGTTTAAACACCTGGAGAGACAAGGTATACAGGTAGGTGGATTATGGAGACAGAGCTGTTTAAACACCTGGGGAGACGAGGTATACAGGTAGGTGGATTATGGAGACCAGTGCTGTTTAAACACCTGGAGAGCAGAGAGGTATACAGGTAGGTGGATTATGGAGACCAGAGCTGTTTAAACACCTGGGGAGAGACGAGGTATACAGGTAGGTGGATTATGGAGACAGTGCTGTTTAAACACCTGGAGAGACGAGGTATACAGGTAGGTGGATTATGGAGACCAGAGCTGTTTAAACACCTGGAGAGACGAGGTATACAGGTAGGTGGATTATGGAGACTAGTATTGTTTAAACACCTGGAGAGACAGAGGTATACAGGTAGGTGGATTATGGAGACCAGTGCTGTTTAAACACCTGGGGAGACGAGGTATACAGGTAGGTGGATTATGGAGACAGTGCTGTTTAAACACCTGGAGAGACGAGGTATACAGGTAGGTGGATTATGGAGACCAGTGCTGTTTAAACACCTGGAGAGACGAGGTATACAGGTAGGTGGATTATGGAGATCAGAGCTGTTTAAACACCTGGAGAGACGAGGTATACAGGTAGGTGGACTTATTATTGAGACCAGTGCTGTTTAAACACCTGGGGAGACGAGGTATACAGGTAGGTGGATTGTGGAGACTAGTATGGTTTAAACACCTGGAGAGACGAGGTATACAGGTAGGTGGATTATGGAGACCAGTGCTGTTTAAACACCTGGAGAGACGAGGTATACAGGTAGGTGGATTGTGGAGACTAGTATGGTTTAAACACCTGGAGAGACGAGGTATACAGGTAGGTGGATTGTGGAGACTAGTATGGTTTAAACACCTGGAGAGACGAGGTATACAGGTAGGTGGATTGTGGAGACTAGTATGGTTTAAACACCTGGAGAGACGAGGTATACAGGTAGGTGGATTGTGGAGACTAGTATGGTTTAAACACCTGGAGAGACGAGGTATACAGGTAGGTGGATTGTTGAGACAGAGCTGTTTTTAAACACCTGGAGAGACGAGGTATACAGGTAGGTGGATTGTTATTGAGACTAGTATGGTTTAAACACCTGGGGAGACGAGGGTATACAGGTAGGTGGATTGTGGAGACTAGAGCTGGTTTAAACACCTGGAGAGACGAGGTATACAGGTAGGTGGATTGTGGAGACAGAGTATGGTTTAAACACCTGGAGAGACGAGGTATACAGGTAGGTGGATTGTGGAGACTAGTATGGTTTAAACACCTGGAGAGACGAGGTATACAGGTAGGTGGATTGTGGAGACTAGTATGGTTTAAACACCTGGAGAGACGAGGTATACAGGTAGGTGGATTGTGGAGACTAGTATGGTTTAACCACCTGGAGAGACGAGGTATACAGGTAGGTGGATTGTGGAGACTAGTATGGTTTAAACACCTGGAGAGATGCGGTACTGAGATTGGTGAATTATTGGAGTGAGTGAGTGAGTGAGTTTAGTTTTACGCTTTTAGCAATATTCCAGCAATATCACGGCAGGGGACACCAGAAATGGGCTTCACACATTGTACCCATGTGGGGAATCGAACCCGGTCTTCGGGAGTGGAAGAGCTAAACGCTTTAACCATTAGGCTACCCCAATCACATCACGTGAATTATTGGAGACCAGTGTGGTTGAAAATGATGTTTGAAAGAAAGGGGAGATTATCTTCATCATAGCTAGAAGCTTCAGCAAAACCTCCCATGGACATTGCCCTCATTCGATGATTCCTGGCAACCGGAAACCAGCAACTGTCAACTGTCAGCTGATACTAGTGGTACAAGGGGATATAGTGTATGGCGTCAACCGTCAGCTGATACTAGTGGTACAAGGGGATATAGTGTATGGCGTCAACTGTCAGCTGATACTAGTGGTACAAGGGGATATAGTGTATGGCGTCAACTCAACTGTCAGCTGATACTAGTGGTACAAGGGGATATAGTGTATGGCGTCAACTGTCAGCTGATACTAGTGGTACAAGGGGATATAGTGTATGGCGTCAACTGTCAGCTGATACTAGTGGTACAAGGGGATATAGTGTATGGCGTCAACTGTCAGCTGATACTAGTGGTACAAGGGGATATAGTGTATGGCGTCAACTGTCAGCTGATACTAGTGGTACAAGGGGATATAGTGTATGACGTCATCGGTGACTTGGTTGATAACTGGTTAGTGTCCTTGACATTGATGATGTCAATCACTGGATGATGTGGTCTAGATTTGATGATGTTCAGACTGCCATCATACACCTGGACTAGATCTGTATTACAAACAAACCAATAAGTCCACATTTTGTTTCAGACATATCTCTGGGTACTGAACACAGAGGAGGAGTTTGAGCGAGCATTTAAACTTGGTGTGCATGGCGTCATGACCGACTTCCCTACAAAGTTGGCGGACTTCCTGGATGCCCACCCGCAGTACCGGCAATAGACTCTCTTTGACCATCCTCCTTAAACCTGAACAATGTCATCGACCTCTCGGCGACGTGCAGTCAGTGTGCTTTTCTGGAATTATGATGATGTATTTCTGCTACTGGGTCAGCATTACCATTGACCAACGCTTCAGAAGTTTGGAGTCGGAGAAAACATTATTTCTTTACAATTTCTAAGAATACAAAAATTCAGAAATAGAATGTGTGGTAAGGGAGGTAACTCTTTGACCAAACATGTACTGAAAGCTCAGTGCGGCATGATTTCTAATGTTTCATAAATCTTCATATGTTGTGACAAAACTGCTTTGCTATTTTTTAATTTGATTTCCAATCAGAAAATTGTTTAAATATGTTGTTACTTAAGAAAACGTGTTTGGTCCATGTGTAAGGTTGTAATATATATTGTCTTAATAGCCTTACTAAGTCATGGTGAAATGCTTTAAGTAAGAACCAGTCATGTTCAAGTTAATTGAAATCATATCGGGGACACAGTCACATGACTTTTCCCATTGACTGAATAATCAGTTACCGAGGTTACAATCTTTCATTAATGCTTAACATGTTGAATTGCCAATATAAAGCTGAATTATGCCACTGACAGCTGTTGAAATGTGCCTATGGGTTGATGAGTTACCATGGTTACAGGCTAAGTTGATGAGTTACCATGGTTACAGGCTAAGTTGATCAGTTACCATGGTTACAGGCTAAGATATTTGCCTACTCAAAGGGCACCTAGGCTCTTCCATTTATGTTTTCTTTCAAGCATAAGGCTAGCTTAAAGTCCGCAATATCAGACCCACTAATGAGAAGCTAAATGTACGACCCTGTCTTTGATAGCATTATTATTGGTATGTTTGTTTCACTTATGTTTCAAGATCAATATTTTTTTAAAGAGAATTAGCATCAAATCAACTTTGAATATTTTTGACATATATATTTGGGTCCTGCATGTTTTGTATTGGACATGGAATCTGTAAACACAAGAAAACATTGATGGTCTTGCTTTTGGAGATGATTATATCTCAACTATTGTGAAGAAAGTAGCACCTGGTCAGATGATTATATCTCAACTATTGTGAAGAAAGTAGCACCTCGTCAGGTGTGCTTGTATGGCCTCGTGGTTGTTTGGGCATCCTTGTTGTGGTGTATGTGTGGGTGTGTGCGAGTGTTCGCGTGTATGTGTGTGTGCGCACTGATGCATATGTGTATGTTTACGTGCATGTGAGTGCGTGCAAGCGTGTGTGCATGCCTGTGTTTGTACTTGCTTATGTCTGCGTCTGTTTGCGTGTGAAGATATGTTTGTCGTTTTGGAGAATCCTATTGGGTGTTCCAGACCAGATTCTGCTCACTGGTCACAAGTGTGACAGTCATGATAGTGACTGTAAAGTAATATATTTTTTGTGCCATATTGTCAGGGTATTCATCTATTATGTGTCCGTGTTGGAGGGGAATATTAGTAGACAGTGTTGTCTTAAACTATTTTATTCACTGATCTTGTATTTAATGATTTCACATATCAGTTTTATACAAAATTATTTCTGGTTAACCTTAGTATTTAACTGTCAGATATAACACGTAACAGGAGTGTTTCTGTCTATCTCGGTGTATCAGCGTTATGTCGGGAAACACAAAGTGATGCAAATGTTGGTGATGCAGACATTTACCCCAAACCCACAGACACAAGCAGGGTGCAGACAAAGCTAGAAACATGGCCCAGGTTGGGTAACTTGGCTACCTACGTCTGTCAGTTGTTACGTGTGTGAGGACTGACCTATCTAGGATGCCCCACCTTACATTGCACCGAAGGAGACAGTGTCTACTGTAGGATGGACATCCCACAAGTAAAGCCAGCAGCTGGTGCTGAAACACCCAGGTTTACAATCACAGAGGGCAGCATGATAATACTGGAATATTGCTCAAAGCGGCATAAAACCCAACTCACTCACTCACTCACAGAAGGCAGTACAGGGGGTCATACATGGCAGCAGCCATAAAGGGAGGTAACTGCAAGTTCATATCTGCCATGGTTACTGCCACACTGTGATCATTCTGGAGCTTGCTACTGCCACCCAACTCTATGTTATCGCTCACAGTAAGGTCACACTATGATGTGTGATGTGAGAATGGAAGTCAACATTTGGCATAAGGTGTACTGGTTCATTTATGGTGGGAACATCCTAACATTGTCAAAGTTGTGTCAGTGGCAGAAACGGGGAGAGAAATTAAACACAAGTATACTGTCACGAAATATTTGTCTGTAGATCATTTCATACCAAGTAGCATATCCTTACATCAGCATTGTTCTGCTCATAGTTTCAACCCCCACATTGTATCCATGTCACAGTTACACCCATTGTGTTACTAAGTAACATTCATGCCAGTCTGGATCAAAGCTTTTTGGTCTGCTCGCTTGATTTATTTAGTAGAATTTGTGTTATTTTTGTACTGGAGCTGAAAGACTAAAATATGTTTAACAAACTCTTGCTTCAGACTGGTGGCTGAGGTTGTGAGTTGTAAGACGTTATCATTTAATCATGTTTATACTGAGTGGGTAGTCTAGTGGTTTGACTGTTAGCTCATGGTGCCTGGGTTTGTTTCCAAACAGGGTAAAATATAGGTAGCCAGTTGTGTTGTACAGCATAGCGATGTTGGTGCAGTGTTGAACAATCAGTGTGAGTGAGTTTAGCAATATCACTGCAGGCAACACCAGAAATGGGCTTCACACATTGTACCCATGTGGGGAATCGAACCCGGGTCTTCCGTGTGACGAGAGAACACTTTAACCACTAGGCTACCCCACCACCCCTAGTGTTGAACAAAGCAACCATAAAACAACATCGTCTGTTACCATGGCTACTGCTAACCATCTATGTTTTGACAAAGAGGCTGGCTTACTGTCTTTTTCTTTATTTTTTTTACAATGAGTAACAGATGTGCACACTCTGCCACTATGTTGTCTTGAAATATCATTGATAAATGATCTCCCTTTTAGTCAGTATATTCACTGTATGTATTGATCAAATTAGGTAGAATCTCATTTTAATATACATTAGCTGTTGATCTGAAAGTCTGCCATTTTCCCAAGTATTCAACATGTGTTGTTTCAGTATTCAACATGTGTTGTTTCAGTATTCAACATGTGTTGTTTCAGTATTCAACATGTGTTGTTTCAGTATTCAACATGTGTTGTTTCAGTATTCAACATGTGTTGTTTCAGTATTCAACATGTGTTGTTTCATTATTCAACATGTGTTGTTTCAGTATTCAACATGTGTTGTTTCAGACATGTCTAATGTGCTTGTGCACAGGGAACATGGTAGATTGTCCAGTGAGTTCAATATTACGTATTGGTATATCAGTGTTTATCTTACCATCATGTAAAATGCTTTAATTTCATTGGTCAATGACGCTTTAACAAGTTTCCGTGTCACCAGGAGGGTGACAACTGGAAAAAATATTACCCGCTGCGACGGTAACGACCAAACTCTCCGCCCAGAAGCTGTCGCTAACAATCGTAATGTCATAATATGACGCATGCAGTGCACAGAGTTTGAAAACCATTCAATTAGCTGTTTTTGAGTTCAATTTGTACACATTTATTTTAAAAGACTTTCACTGCTTTATTTCAACTGTTTTATGCATTGTTGCACACTCAACTTAAACTTAATTAACCATTTTTAAAGCAGTTTTAAGCTTGTCAGAATATGTTTCACTGAATTCAGAAATCCAGTGGAGAGACAGATGCCATTTTGTTTACATGTCATAAAGTCGGTAGTGAGCTTATTGATCTTCAAACTAAACTAAAATGATGTTTTGTACATTTAACATGGCGGTAAGATAAATACGTTGTATGCTTCTCCCTGGGGTAATACAGTCTGATGTATGCCTTGTTTGTAGCAGTGTCTAGCCTCGCCGTCTGGCTCGGGTGACACTGCTACAAAGAGGCGTACATCAGACAACTTATGTACAGAGGACATGTAAGTGTACTGGGACACTCGAGACACCAGAAGGGATACAACCAGATTATGACACCAGATGGACATGAACTCAAGTGTACTGGGACACCAGATGTACTGGGGACACCAGATGTACTGGGACACCAGATGTACTGGGACACCAGATGTACTGGGACACCAGATGTACTGGGGACACCAGACGTACTGGGGACACCAGATGTACTGGGACACCAGATGTACTGGGACACCAGATGTACTGGGAAACCAGATGTACTGGGGACACCAGATGTACTGGGGACACCAGATGTACTGGCAAACCAGATGTACTGGGAACACCAGATGTACTGGGGACACAAGATGTACTGGCACCAGATGTACTGGGGACACCAGATGTACTGGGACACCAGATGTACTGGCACACCAGATGTACTGGGCACACCAGATGTACTGGGGACACAAGATGTACTGGGACACCAGATGTACTGGCACACCAGATGTACTGGGGACACAAGATGTACTGGCACACCAGATGTACTGGGACACCAGATGTACTGGCACACCAGATGTACTGGCACACCAGATGTACTGGGGACACAAGATGTACTGGGACACCAGATGTACTGGGCACACCAGATGTACTGGGGACACAAGATGTACTGGGAGATGTACTGGGCACAGAGTGAGTGAGATGTAGTTTAATTTTAAGCCACACTCAGCAATATTCCAGCTATATGGTACTGGGGGCCTGGGACACCAGATGGCCTGTAAAGATGATCACCAGATGTCTGGGACCAGATAATCCAGTGATCAAAACATGAGACATCGAACTACTCAATGGGGGACACCAGATGACATGAGACACCAGATGTACTGGGGACACCAGATGTGATGTACTGGGCACAATGTCAGGAGACTGAGCCTGACCACCCAAGATCCCGAGTGAGTTTAATTTTAAGCCACACTCAGCCTTCCAGCTATAAGGCAGCGGTGGCCTGTAAATGATCAAATCTGGACCAGATAATGAAGTGATCAAAAACATAACTACTCAATGGGGATCTTCACTGTGTCAACAAAGTCAGCAAGCCTGACCACCCGATCCCGTTAGAAACAAGCATTTTACTGTGATCAATTCTAACCCGGCTTCACGGATCGGGGCTAATTTCAGTGCTTGGCTTAATTCAAGACAAAAGAAAACTCTTTGTTCTGGAAAGCAACAATTCCTTGTGACCTGATGTGAAATCATGTTTACTTCTCGATACAGTGTGTCACTACATGTCTTTGGTCAGGTTCAGCTACTTGGTTGATTGTGTGTTCATGATATCAACCCCCGGTTTGCCCAGATTTACCATGAAATGCCTGTAATATTGCTGACTGTGGCTGAAGACAATGAAGAAACACTATAATGTGATCTGTATTCATTATTTTGAGAAGATTTAATTGTATTTAATATTCACAAACCGATTCACAAGCAACAAAACCCTGAGATGCTATCCACTAAATCACCATTCTGACAAGATGTCCTTTGTTATATTTACTTTTTTATAAATGCTGTTTCAATGGGGTCATTTCTGTGTTGATGTTACTGTTGAAAGATGAGAGATATATAGCTTAGAGAGTAAGTCCTGTGTATGTTAGGTCCTATATTGTATATCAGTGTTATTTTTCTGTATTTCTTTCTGAATGTATTTATTTGGTGGATGTGATTGGACTTTTTGTCATCCATGTAACATTCTTGTAACATTAACAACTGATTGTAATCTGAAGAAAGATTTCACTGTTATGACTTTTTGTCCTGGTGGTAAGGGATGTCAATGATTTAAATTAATGTCAAGACAGTTCACTTGGTATGATGTGTGTATTTTTACAATGTTAATTTATGGCAATTAAATGTTTTCTGCATCATCAGTCAAGTATATATCAGTACCTCTTTTCATGTATATTACAATATTAAATTTTACTTTGGAAACTTGTGATATTGTATACTCCCTGCTGTGATATTGCAGGAATCCTGCTAAACCGTGTAGCACGAGACTCACTCATTCACTCACTCACTCGCTTATACTGTATGTTTCTGTAGGATGAGGAAATTCTATTTATTGATCTTCTGAGTGATCATTTATTTGGGGAGTTCTTGCTGATATAGATGCTGCTTTAAACCATGTGGTATTGTTTTCAAGTAATGTAATGTTTTGTCATGTAATGGGTGATATAGATGGCTGAATGCTTGTAGTTTTACACCTTAAAGAAGAAACATAGCTGGTACGATCAGTTGTCCCAGTTTGTGCTAACTTTAGGGGCATGGTGGGTGAAGATGGAGTAGTGAGCGACATCATGTCAGTCTGACCCAGCTGAGTTGATAGATGTTCATGACGTCGGCCACTGTGTGTCTTGTCCTGACAGGACAGGTGAAGAAGTAGGAGCATTGCTCCGTGTGGAGCATCCTAGATACATGAGTATGGCAACTCAACACCTGATCTGGGTGGGGTAGCCCAGTGGGTAAAGTGTTCGCATGTCACGCCGAAGGCCTGGGTTTGATTCCCCATATGGTTGTAATGTGTGAAGCCCATCTCTGTTGTCTCCTGCCATGATATTTCTGGTATATTGCTAACAGTGGCGTAAACGATGGAGTGAACGATTGAGTTTAGTGTGGCTGTTTGAGGCACTGTCCTCCAACTGATATTATACAACACAACCCATGATCCAATTACCACATTGATGTTTTCATTGTGCAAGAAAACAGTTTTCCAATGACAGATTGTTTAGAGGTATATGTCCAAGATATTTTTATGGATTAAACTTCTTAATTAAAAAGAAATTAAAAAGAAGTTTAATCCGTAAATATATGTTGGACATCAATGTACAACTTCTAAATGCCACTGAAAGACATAGAGGTATATGGTTTATAGCAGTGTTACCTGTGTTGTATGTAGTTGTACCATCCAGGGCCCCACTTCACAAAGCTCTCGTAGCCCTACGATTATCGTATGTCAATGTTACAGTATAGGAGGTACGAATTCTACGAGAAAAGTTACGAGATCTTTGGCTTACGAGAGTTTTGTGAAACAGGACCCGGGGAAACATCTGTCTCACTGGTCTAAGGGTACGAGTGTTACTGTGATGGCTCAGGGTACTGTGAGTGAAGAGATTTTATGTTTGTCTTGCATGATATTACAAGAGTACTACTACAGGCTTTGGAGAACTGGACTCACTCTACCAGCAAGAAGCAGCAATATTGCTGATGCGGCAGAAAGCAATATTTACTCACTCATGCTGGTTACTGGGGCGGTGGGGTAGCCTGATGGTTAAAGTGTCAGCTCGTCACGCTGAAGACCTGGGTTCAATTCCCCACATGGGTACAATGTGTGAAGCCCATTTCTGGTGTCCCTTGCTGTGATATTGCTGGAATGTTGCTAAATGCAATGAAAGCCATACTCAATCCTTCTTACACACAACCCCCTGTTTTGTCACAAGTTTGGTAGTGTTGGGAATCGGAAACCAAATCCACTATCGATTATCGGAGGACTTGTGGTGAATGATTATCGATTATAATCGAAATATATACACTTTTAATGTAATCACCAATTTTAAGGGTTTTTTCCCAGGTTTTTTCTTGTTAATGTTTTTTATAACTAGTACTGTGATGCAATAGATGTAAAATATATTCATAGACAGGCTACAGTAATATTTACTGTAGTGATGAATATGAGTGAGTGAGTGAGTTTGGTTTTACTCCACTTTTAGAGCAATATTCCAGCAACATCACGGCGGGGGACAGAAGAAATGGGCTTCACACATTTTACCCACCTGGGGAATCAAACCCAAATCTGCGGCGTGATGAGCCAATGCTTTACCCACTAGGCTACCCCACCGCCCTGTGAGGAATATGAAACTATGATACAACGCCCATAGCTTTACGCTGTTGAGTGCATGTTTGTGAATATTCGTCAAATTTCATGGTTAGTTTATTTCATTCAAGTGTGTTATATTAAAACAACAAAATTCTTATTAATCGAAAATATGTTTTTTACAATCGATAATTATTTTAAATCCTTCTTTCAGTCGATTTTCGATTATTTTCGATCATCTGAACACCACTAATGTTTGGAAGGGCTCACCTTAAGTAACTATTTACAATAGTTAGTGCAGACTTCTGATAAATTTGATTCATTTTATATTGACATGAGCAGTTACCTTGGAAACGGTACTGTGTTGTGACTGGAAGCATACAATGTTATCATGATGGAAGCTTTGAAGATGAGTTTTGTGTTTTATATTAGCTGTCCATGGTTGCCATGGTTACGTTGTTAGTGTATATATTTTGTGTGGTTTCATTTACTGTTATTTATAAGATTTGGTTTGTATGTACAGAATTTGTGTTGTATATTTTGTATGTGTTGCTGAATTTCTTATGTGGCTTTAGGTATATGAGTTACAGCCTTCCTGCGTTCAAAACATTCCACACAATGACTGAAAATTTAAATCACAAAATTCAAATGTTGGGTTTGAGATAAATCCAGCCAGGTTCAATGATGGATGGTGGACCTGCAAGTAAGTACAGATGTACTCAAGCACACAAGTAACTCTGATTGTGTTCCTAGGCAACTGACAGATGTTACTCGTAACGATTACTGGAGATAATAATAATAGTGTTCTGTGTACAAAAACTCCTGTCAGGATGTACCAGGTGATGTTTTAGTGAGTATTGGGGTCCAAATGAAAGTGGCACCTGAAATGTTCCCTCCTTTTCAAAGTGATGTATTTGTCATATGGGAAATGAAGGAAACCAAATACTTTACACAACCTTGTGTAAGATATACACCTATTATTAATCAAAATTAGAAAATGATAATTCAAGAAAAATTATGTTTTTTAAAGTTAGGAATATCTAGAAACCCACCGGTGTTGACAAACAGCACACTTAGATCTTCAAACAAAGACACATCATTGTAGACCTCTACGTGGAGAGTTGAGTGTACGGGATGTTGAGGTGTGGCACCTGTATATCTGTTAGTGTATGTATGTGCGACAATTTTGTTGATGCTCACTGACCTTGAGGCCTAGGTTGGAGTTTGAATCCCAAATACTATGGGGGATGGTTTGTCACCACAAACCCAAGCTCAAGGCAGTCTTGTCTACTCCCCACTTTGTTCATCATCTTTAAATTAGTTGACTTGCTTGGATAAAACTGAGGTGCTGTTCCCTGTGGTATTAAACCCATCTATCTCACTCACTCACTCACTCACTCACTCACTCACTCACTCACTCACTCACTCACTCACTCAGTGAACATCTTACATAGGATCATCAAAGTTTCAATTACTGAAAATGAAAATTGGAATGTTGAATCTGCTGTTCCATATCACTGACAAACTTGGTTACAATGACACCCTGTCAGTCTTGGGCTGACAAACCTAGATACAATGACACCCTGTCAGTCTTGGGCTGACAAACCTAGATACAATGACACCCTGTCAGTCTTGGGCTGACAAACCTAGATACAATGACACCCTGTCAGTCTTGGGCTGACAAACCTAGATACAATGACACCCTGTCAGTCTTGGGCTGACAAAATGACACCCTGTCAGTCTTGGGCTGACAAACCTAGATACAATGACACCCTGTCAGTCTTGGGCTGACAAACCTAGATACAGTGACACCCCTGTCAGTCCTGGGCTGACAAACCTAGTCTTGGGGGCTGACAAACCTAGATACAATGACACCCTGTCAGTCTTGGGCTGACAAACCTAGATACAATGACACCCTGTCAGTCTTGGGCTGACAAACCTAGATACAATGACACCCTGTCAGTCTTGGGCTGACAAACCTAGATACAATGACACCCTGTCAGTCTTGGGCTGACAAACCTAGATACAATGGCACCAGGTGTCTAGTGTTGGGTACGGATGTTGGTATTCTGAGAATCACCACTTACCATGTGGTACACTTTGTTATACAAAATTGATCTTACTACCTTCCAAGGATTCAGTTATCCAGATGTTTGGATGTTATCACTGGAAACGCTAGTCTGGATTATCAGGGTTTCATTACCAAGTTTCATGAGAGTGTGCACAATGTATTGTGTCGTTTGTATTGCATTACAACATGTGTTATGTACACTGTGCTGTATAACCCAAGTGTATAACCTCTCTGTATAACCCAGGTGTATGTTTTATTATTTGTGACTTCTTGCTTTATGGTTTCGATGTAATTACTTGTATTTGTAAACGTTTCTACCTTGATAAAGGTGTTGTGAGTTTGTCATTTGTCTTGTAGTTTTAGCTACATCAACATCAATACTGGGTTTAGTTCCTTGCCAGCTGTACGGGAAGATCCGGGTTAGAATTAGTCTTCAGCAACCCATGCTTGTCGTAAGATGCAAATAGACGGGATCGGGTGGTCGGTCAGGCTCGCTAAATTGGTTGACACATGTCATCGTATCCTAGTTGTGCAGATTGATGCTCATGCTGTTGGTCACTGGATTGTCTGGACTCAATTAATTACAGATGCTGCCATATACAAGTTAAGGTGCAGCGTTAAACAACAAAGCAACAACAACCGTGCCAGTTGTGCTGGTTGTCTGTGGTGACATGATAGGTGGACAGCTTGCCATCTCATCCACGTCTCCTTGCTCATACCATAGGAATGTGACATTCACAAACTGAAAGACGAGAGGGGAACGCTCAGACCAGTTGTTGGCTACTCAAGCTCAAGTTTTTACTCTACAAACAAGTCATTACCAAAAGTATATTGATCTTTCCTCACATTGCCTTTTCCTTTCCTAAACATTACTCATTTCTGGTGTCCCCCGCCGTGATGTTGCTGGAATATTGCTAAAAACGGCGTAAAACCAAACTCAGTCAGTCAGTCCTAAACATTACTCTGTTGAAAAAGTCGCCATTTCCTAACGTGGGCATTACTTTGGGAGGATCCTTTACCTTGCAAGGACCTGCAGTGGTTAGGTGAAGCTTTGCATGTTTAGTTCATGTTCTTCGTCTATCCATCAGTGGGCCACGTCGTCACGTGGCCGTTCACATCAGTACATATATTGTAAAGGGAGAACTGCCTCTGTGTGTACAGGTCACAGATGTCTTAGGAAGTAAAAGAAATCTCAGACCTTCACTTCGTGCACTGCTGGCGTTATTACCTGACTGGATGGAGTGTTCCTGAGCCTCTTGGCCTGAGGAAGGTCCATGGTGCGATAATCTCGGTCATGTCATACCGAGACGTCAGAAGATGCAGTGTACTTGTTTGAGTGGAATGACGTTAGAATTTACGTTATGTGATGCATGGTACCTCAGTGTGCTAGCACCGTGAATCAGTCTAAAACACACGAACGCCAACCATAGGAGAGTCCATATCAACAACAGAATGCACTGCATGTCCACATATATTTCCCAGCAGTCTTATCACGTCTGTCACGTGCGTCGTTACGTGACGTGCATAGCTGCTCGGGACAGCTTCCAACTTCATCATTCCCTGCACACCTAATATATTTGACCCAAATACAAACTGACTGAATAGCAACGTACAGATGATCAGAGTTTCATCAGGAGCCCACACATTTTTGGTTGCCTGCCGCTGCTGTTGATTTGGTTGTGAACAATGGCGTAATCCAAGATGGCGGCCAACCTGGCAGACGACACCGGGTTGCTGGTGACTGTGTGTATTGTGTCTGTTACTGGATTCTTCTTCCTGTGTTTCGTGGTGTTGTCTGTCGCCTGCAGCCTCTACCCCAACGTATGTCACAAGCGGAAGTCCCTTGGGAAGTTTCGGGGAAGAGTCTGCAGTTTCAGGGGAGGTAACCTGAGTCTCCTTCTTCACCATAACGTCAGTTCTTTTACATCATCAAATTAATCAACATTTAACAGTAAATTTTCAAGTCTCTAGGTAACAGAACACCTGGGGTGTCTTGATAGATATGGGTTTGTGTACGTGAATGACGATGTCTTACATTTGGGTTATTTGAATGAAGTGCAAAATATTGCTTATGTTTCTGTGCAACGATGTCGCGGTTCTCAGGTGACGCATGCAAAAGTTACATTTATAAACTATTTCCTCCCTCAGTCATCAAATGATAAGGAAATAGTTTCTGGATCCTAGCATCTGTGTCTCTCATTGTAGAAAGTATCTTAAGGTATACAGTTTCGGAACAAACGGTTTACTGTGTGTTACAAGCTAGAAACTATCCATATCACATGATATGTCCCCTGTCAAGTTTGAAAAGTGTGATATCTGTTGCACGACACGACATTGTGGCTCATGTCAGCGGAATGGGGTCCCTTCAGTATTACACTACATGTGTGAATATAATACGGTAATCAATCAACTAATGGCTCTTGGTGACAATATATGGTGAAATGGTGAAAATATTACATTATCAATGTTTTTTGTTCAAGTCCGACATTATTCTCCATGCAGCTGGCGCAGGTTGCCGCTGACTTAATGGAGACATTGTCTATGTATGCCACGTGTAGCGGTCACGTGACTGACGTTTGATGACAACAGCGGATGTGACGTGAATACACTGTGAATACACCGTGAAGAAGATTTTCTTATGCGTATTCGGATGATTGAAATACATGTATAAGGACAGCCGATGTATTGAGTTCTTTGGAAGGCATATAGAAGTGACGAAGTTGATATCTAGTAAACGATGTATTCGTGAAATGACACAGGCAGAAAATATTCAGTGACTGCTGTCTAACTTCTCGTCATCTCAAGACACCAACACCAACACCATCCGTTGGTAACTACTCGCCTCTTTCCGTGGCCTACAAGACGCCATCCGGCTTGCCGGAATGTCACGAGTAGTTACGAATGCTACAAGAAGACTCGTACCTGTATAGTACGTCATTATTGCCAAGAACCGTGGCAAGCCAATCAAATCGCGCGTGGCAAAAAGTGAAATGAGGTCAAATACTTTCTTTGCGATTAGCGAGTTTTGTTATTGTTTCCGTGGTTATAAAATTATCTTGTTAGTGATATTTGTTAACCACATAAGAAACTTACTTAAAGTGACTTTCGTGTTGTATTATACATTTCTTGGAGTAGCCATGTCTGGAAATTCAGAGTTATCTTTCCTGGGAAATAGTCCTAGACTATTTTCATCTCTGTGCCCGTTTGCGCTAAGACAAGGCCCAGTCGTCAACATGGACACGAGAGAGGTACGAGTCACCATCCGGCTTGCCGGAATGACACGAGTAGTTACGAATGCACCAACATCAACACCAGCGCTAACTCCATCAACACCAACAGCAGCAGGTCGTGGTTCAAACCCCAGATTCACACTGTTATACTCCATTGGTCCATCAGCACTAGGAGCCCTTGTCCTGGGGTTAGGCTGCTCAACCACTATCACATTCTCCCGTACTAAACATAGAGCCGTCTTGGAAGTATTTTTGATATCTAATCACTATCAGGCTGGATAACCGAGTCTCATCCCTCTGTTTCTCCTCAGGAGGTGGTGAGGCTCTGGAGGGGTCCCTCTCTGCTTTCAAACAGTAAGTACAGTGCTTTTAATAAACTTCTAGGAAAGATCAAACACGCACTTAATGCTGGATTTCACCAAAATATACTCATAGAAACGAATAAGGGAACACATGAAAGTACAAGTGTTCCTTTATTTATTTCCAGAATTTCATTCACAGTTCAATACATACCTTGTGAAGAAACTGAAAAAGAATAAAGGAACACTTGTACTTTCACGAGTTCCCTTATTTGTTTCCATGAGTATATAATGGAATGTGATGAATCTGAAACCAGTTCTCGAAACACCTTTCCCAAAATACAGTTGTGATACCTGTATTAAGTACAACAGCATCGAGTGACCCTTTCTTTGTGTTTTTTTTCAGTCGAAGCAACCATTAATTTATAAAATCATGGGTGTGCACTTGCGCTTGTCCGGTAGTGTATGTCTGTGTTTACACGTGGGGTGTGTGTGTCCACAGTGACAAACCAAACATGGTTCTTTGGGGAAGTTGCTGACAGAACGTGACAGTAGTAGTCTATTCACCGTCTTTGATACGTCGTTTATCGCCTCCTTCTTATACACACTGACCCTCATTAATCCGGAAACCCCACATTCCGGACGGAAACTCTTGAGAACGCTTACACTTAAAGAACGAGTAAACTTTTGTTTTTGTACTCTTTTAATCATTACATATAAAAGGCGTGTGGTTAATCTTAAGAAAATGAAAGACGTGTGGTTAGATCCGAGGTAGAATAGGTCTTCAGCAACCCATGCTTGCTACAAATAGCGACTATGCTTGTCGTAAGAGGCGACTAACGGGATCGGGTGGTCAGGCTCGCTCACTTGGTAGGCACATGTCATCGGTTCCCAATTGCACAGATCGATGTTCATGCTGTTGAACACTGGATTGTCTGGTCCAGACTCGATTATTTACATATAACTGGAATATTGCTGAGTGCGGCGTAAGAGTTAACTCACTCACTCACTCACTTACTAGTCTTAACAAAGAGATATTGTTCATGTGATTCCTTAACCGGGCGCCCTCAATTTCCCCTGAGATGCCGTTATCCAGAATACCGAGGTGGATACAGGGACTGTCCGGAGAGCAGAACGTAGATGGTTCGATTCCTGGCTGGGGTGGTATCGAAAGACTTGAAATGACGAAACTTGTTGTTTCCCTGCCTGGTGCTCGTCATCAAGGGTATAAAACAAAGACGGTTGGGGTTATGCTTAATGTGTCTGAGTTGGGAGACCATGGTAAACTGCGGCATCTTAGAGCACGTGCAGTATAAATCCAGCACCAGGTTACGCTGGTGCAAACATGGGCGTCGCTTATATATTGCATCAATGTTCACTGGGACATTCATTAAACCCAGATGGACCTCACATTATACACTGAGTCAGTCCACTTGATGCCATTCCACGTGGTGTTGGGATGTTTACTCTCATTTGGAAGGATGTGTGTTTCAATACCCAGCACCCATGTCAGATCAACTTTTGCCATACAATACCCAGCACCCATGTCAGATCAACTTTTGCCATACAATACCCAGCACCCATGTCAGATCAACTTTCGCCATACAATACCCAGCACCCATGTCAGATCAACTTTCGCCATATAATACCCAGCACCCATGTCAGATCAAATTTTCCCGTATAGTACCCAGCACCCATGTCAGATCATCTTTCGCCATATAATACCCAGCACCCATGTCAGATCAACTTTCGCCATATAATACCCAGCACCCATGTCAGATCAACTTTTCCCGTACAATACCCAGCACCCATGTCAGATCAACTTTCGCCATACAATACCCAGCACCCACGTCAGATCAACTTTCGCCGTACAATACCCAGCACCCACGTCAGATCAACTTTTGCCATACAATACCCAGCACCCACGTCAGATCAACTTTCGCCGTACAATACGCAGCACCCACGTCAGATCAACTTTCGCCGTACAATACCCAGCAGCCACGTCAGATCAACTTTTGCCATACAATCAGACCTTTCAGCACCCACCCACGTCAGATCAACTTTCGCCGCAGCCACGTCAGATCAACTTTCGCCAGTACAATACCCAGCACCCACGTCAGATCAACTTTACAATACCCAGCACAAATACCCAGCACTCACGTCAGATCAACTTTAACGCCGTACAATACCCAGCACCCACGTGTCAGATCAACTTTAGCCATACAATACCCAGCACCGATGTCAGATCAACTTTAGCCGTACAATACCCAGCACCGATGTCAGATCAACTTTTCCCGTACCATACAATGTCTGATCAGCTTTAACTACATGTCAGCATCATGTCAGATCAACTTTAACCGTACAATACCCAGCACCCATGTCAGATCAACTTTAGCCATACAATACCCAGCACCGATGTCAGATCAACTTTAGCCGTACAATACCCAGCACCCATGTCAGATCAACTTTTCCCGTACAATACCCAGCACCCATGTCTGATCAACTTTAGCCATACAATACCCAGCACCCATGTCAGATCAACTTTAACCGTACAATACCCAGCACCCATGTCAGATCAACTTTAGCCATACAATACCCAGCACCGATGTCAGATCAACTTTAGCCGTACAATACCCAGCACCCATGTCAGATCAACTTTTCCCGTACAATACCCAGCACCCATGTCTGATCAACTTTTCCCGTACAATACCCAGCACCCATGTCTGATCAACTTTAACCGTACAATATCCAGCACCCATGTCAGATCAACTTTAGCCATACAATACCCAGCACCTATGTCAGATCAACTTTAGCCGTACAATACCCAGCACCTATGCCAGATCAACTTTTCCCGTACAATACCCAGCAGCCATGTCAGATATTTTAGCCGTACAGAACATAGGGTATATATGCACCTGGTTTACGAGCTGACATGACAGACAGAAGGTATTGATTAGTGTTCATTCAAGGAGCGCAAGGTTTTTGGCAGAACACACCGCTAGTTTATGTATATATATATATTAGTTCCATCTCACACTGCAATGTAATTTTGATCTGTGACAGTTCTTCCTCGCTCGGAGCAGACTTCTTCTTCACTGTCAGGAGGACGAGAGATGGTGAGATTATCGTTTACCCAGACGAGACTTTGAAGCGGTGTTGTGGCACCCCATGGAAAATAACAGACTCATTATACAGGGTAGGTTCGCTTGTCAACATACACATACATCCTTGTCACGTGTTAGATATATATCTATTTCTCCATTTTTCTTAGAATATAACATATTACCTGTTAGTGCACGAGGATAAGGCACAGTTAATTTCATTCATGCAGGACGATATGCCGTTCCCATAGAAACCAATGAATTCTTTTGAAGGTGAAAATTGCTGTTCGTTTTAAACGCATGCTATAGCTGCGTAGTTGAATATCAACCGGGAATTCACAGCCCATTCTTCACATGCGTTTTGTGGACGAGCAGAAAACTGAAGCAGCAATAGGTTATTTAGTGAAATAATAGTGAAATTATACATAAATTATACATAAATTATACATAAATTATACATAAATCATAAAACACTTGAAAGGAAAACAAAACGCCCACCTGTTCGTCGTCCAGTAGGCGCCATGAACTGACGTATTCTGCGGATGCCTATTATCACCTGCTACCCAGCCAAACTGGAGTGCCTCGTGGAAAACCACGGAACCCCTTGAATTCTCATATCTAATCTGATTGTACTTACATAAAACCTTTCACCTTGCAAATTCGTATATTCGTAAATTTATTTGCCAATGAATATGTGTGATTATGTACTTCAGTATAAGACAAATGCATGTATGTATTACTTTCGCTTCAGTGAAGTTCACCTATTGTACTCAAAACAGCCACGACTCATATATACTTTTCCAGACAAACGGCATCCAAGCAAGATTACTACTCCTCTCCATGTTTACCCTATAAGCTCTACACTTGTGAATGTGGCGTCATTCACCTGATGCTCAGTTAATGACTAAGTCTTTATCACAAGTATGTATTTGGGGTGACAGCACTCGGATTACCTGGACTATGCAAAATATCTCAACAAAGTACACAACTGTGGGTGTCAGGGATATATAGCAATCAGTGGCTCTCATTGGGCATTTCATATGTCTTATAGAATTATTATATCTAAGATTGGGTTAGAAAAAGTGTTGATAATAAATGTGAAGCGGTCATAAAGTTCCGAGTCCCGTACTGGGATTCGAACCACGGACCTGATCCGAAATCGGCAAGGTAAGGATGCCATCTGTATGATGCTTACGGGATTATTCTCTTTGGTCATATGGACAAGGCGTCCGACTGCGGATCAGAAGGGCCATTGATCGAATTCCAGCACAGGATTATGAACTTACTTTAATGGTCGCTACAAATGTATAACATGTTATCTATTATTCACGTTGGCACCCAGAAGTAGGTGAGTGAGTTTATTTTAACGCCGCACTCTGGGCGCACAGAAGATGACTATTTGAGCTACAAAAACTTGTCATATAACGTGATGATTAATTAATCACTGTTAGCATGAACGGTGGATTTGTCAAAAGTGTGTATATATATAAATGTGTGTGTGTTCGTGCGTGCGTGCGTGCGTGCGTGCGTGCGTGCGTGTGTGTGTGTGTGTGTGTGTCGGTATTTGAGCGTCAGTTTACCGTTACAGGTACTGCCGTGGCTCAGGCCTCCCTTCTTCCTGCGGTATCAGAAAGGTGAGCCACTGTTTCCACGCGAGTGACCAGCTCTGCTCACACAGCCTCCCTGTCCATCAGGTCGACACAGGACGAGGTGTTAAATGGAGTCTTGCCTTGAAGAACATTAACAAACACCGGACTTAATATATAAACTGAGACTATTTTATTTAGTAATTGATTTTTGCTTTTCATATATGAAAATAGAAATATCTAACATGACCTACAATGTCTGTGACAGGATTCGCATCCCGGGGACGGCCGGAACCCATTCCAACTCTTAGTGAAATATTTGAGAGGTTTCCTAAATCCGCCGTATTCATCAACGTAAAATGTGACGATGTGGATCACGCGTTGATTGACGGGGTGAGTTGCAATAAGTGTTTTTGTTTTATCATGACACCCAACCAAGAATTTTATTCTAATTTATATGTACCATGAAGAAAGGCTTTTTACTTCATATTTCCATTTTACCAATTCTCGCACCTTGAGCAGGCTAAACATATATTGTTTATTAACTCCCTCTAGCCAACCAGGGGCGGTGGGGTAGCCTGATGGTTAAAGCGTTGGCTCGTCACGCCGAAGGCCCGGGTTCGATTCCCCACATGGGCACAATGTGTTAAGCCCATTTCTGGTGTCCCCCGCCGTGATATTGCTGGAATATTGCTAAAAGCGGCGTAAAACTAAACTCAGTCAGTCAGTCAGTCTAGCCAACCAAGAATAAAACTTACCTCAGTCAATACCTGGACCAGTCATAGGAAAGCCTTTCTCCACCTACACTAAACGTTAGATACTGTTGTATACTCCCCGGGGAGTTCAGAATGATATTTGAGTGCACACTGAACCTAAGACCGTAATAATGTAGCTACATGACCTCCACGTGTATGCCATACTTCGACGTTCTACCTGTTGTAAACGTGTGTGTGTATATAATATGAGTTTATGTGTGTATGAATCTGAGTTTGTGTATGTATGTGTGTAGTGCATCTGTGTGTATATAAGCGCATGTGCTCGTGCGTGTGCGTGTGCGTGTGCGTGTGCGTGTATGTATAGATTTCATTCATTTTATATCCTTGCTTTCCCTATATTATACTATCACCCGAAGCACTCTGCCTTTAGTCATGCGTTTAATATATAAAACCCAACATTACTATCTGATTCCGAACACCGATGCTATGTTTCTATGGAAGCAATCCGGAAATCAGGTAATTTGAATGCAAGTGCTACCGTCGGTCTATCCTAGGCGTGTAAGTATGTCGTTTGCGCCTTTTTTAAAATATCCAACCATATCTCCAGAAATGAGCTTCACTTATTGTACCCATGTGAGGAATCGAACATAGATCCTCAACGTGAGAGGCGGGTAGTTTGACCACTGGACTAACCCACCTCCACCTCCTCGCCTTAAAACTGTCCCCATCTGTTGCTGCGTTCAAATCACATCTTAAAACGCATCTCTTTTCATTGCACTATTAACTCTATTCATTGCACTATTCAAACATTATTATTATTTTGTAGCGCTTTGAGCACCAGCTTAGTGGTTGGATTTAGCGCTATATAAATTTCCATTATGATTATTATTATTATCCTAGATATGACAGATATGACGTTCTAGGTATGACAAATATGACGTTCTAGATGACAGATATGACGTCCTAGATGTGACAGATATGACGTCCTATATATGATAGATATGACGTCCTATATATATGGCAGAAATGACGTCCTAGATGTGACAAGTATGACGTGCTAGATATGACAGATATGACGTCATAGATGTGACAGATATGACGTCTTGTGTATATTGGGACGTCATTTCCTCTACTCAGATCGCCAAGCTGGTTGTGAAACATAAACGTGAGACGACGACCGCCTGGGGGAGCCACAACACTAAGCTGATCAACGCCCTCTACAACAAGGTCTGTGTTTCCGTCCAGTCACCAGTACCTCGTGTTCAGAGCTTGTCCGTTTCCCAGATGCTTGAGAATACGTTTAGACATCCAACTCCAATCTAGAATGATTGGACAAGTCAAGACTGCCTTATCTCTGAAAAAGAGACTTGTTCTGGGCTCCCCTTTGGGTTTCAGTATATTAAAGATATGTAAGATCACTATATGGCTGTGATTATTACAGGCAACCATTCCCCAACTGTGATTTGTCTAGCCGGCGCCTATTTAAATAGCCTGCGTGATCACCAGATGCCGATAAGTGCTGAACACACCTCCAACAGTCGAGATAAACACATTAACTGTTTCCCTAATTCGCAAACTTTGTTAGAGTGCTGTTAGCCTTTTAATTTCCGTCCCACATGTTTTCATATCCACCCATTCAATTCCTTTTATCTCATCAACACAGCGGAGAAGAATTAACAAGTTTCCCTTTCGTAATCTGCACTCAATGGTTGTCGTGAAAATACTCCAAGAATTAACCCTGTTTGTGCCAGTCTTATGTTCATGTTGAATTCTAATTTAAATCCCAGTGTCAGTGTTTCGACTTCGGGAGTGAGTGACTTTGGTTTTACTCCGTTTTTAGCAATATTCCAGCAATATTACTGCGGGGGACACCAGAAATTGGCTTCACACATTGTATCCATGTGGGGAATCGAACCCGGGTCTTCGGCGTGACGAGCGAACGCTTTGACCACTCGGTTAACCCACCGCCCGCTTTCGACTTCGGGATAAAACATTCATTCTAAAGTATTTTCTTTGATGTTTTTCGCCGCGCAGCAATACCCGGGCCGCTATATGGTATCGGTCTGTAAACCATCTGGCCAGACAATCAAGTGATTGACAGTACGAGCACCGATGTATACAACTGGGATACATTGGCCTGCATCTTGACCCCGTTAGGAGCCTCCCTACGACCGGTATAGGTCAAGTGTGAAGACCTAGGGCCTCCATTCTAACCCACATCTTATAAAACGTTACCAGGAGGGTAATGAAGCTCGATACAGTTTCTTGATGACATCATTAGGGGTTTATATTTCCAGAACCCCTTCATCCCGTTGTGGGTGAACCGTCACCGGCGCTATCTGTTCCTTGTGCTGTTCTACCTGGGTCTCCTACCCTTCACGCCTATCAGGGAGACGGTGTTCCTCACCCCCATGCCGCTACTGATGCTGGAGTGAGTCTGTGTGTAGCTTGATCAGCCCCCCTAGTCCGGAAACCCCCGGGAGATTGTTAGACGTCTTCGTATATACTAAGTTCAACTTTAATAATAATTTGTCAAAGCAGAAATGGGTAAAGTAGTACGATTGAAATACCTCGTAGTTAGATAGTCTACTTGACATGATTCCAGTTAATATTTTACTGTGCAGGTGACCGAACGAAAACCTTTTATCAAATAAGTATAATATTTACAGTTGTAAAATCATAACATGATCACCACCTACACCATCGATCATCACGATCATCATCATCGTCGTCGTCATCACGATCATCATCATAGTCGTCATCATCACCATCATCATCATCGCCATTGTCATCATCACCACCACCATCGTCGTCGTCGTCATCACGATCATCGTCGTCGTCGTCATCACCGTTATCATCGTCATCGTCGTCATCATCAGGATCATCATCGTCGTCGTCGTCATCACCGTTATCGTCGTCGTCATCATCATCATCATCGCCATTGTCATTATCATCATCGTGGTCGGCTTCGTCGTCGTCATTATTATTGCTGTAGTAGTACCCGTGTGTGTATCTGTTGTTACTGTTGCAGCCCCCAGCGCGGCTTCCAGGTGGGGTACCTGCGGGGCTGGAAAACATGGATCATTGACAAGTAAGTGAGTGACTTGACGCTGCTGTGTGTAGGTTTTCTCTCTCATGACGGCGTCAGTGACGACAATGTGTGTTGTGATACCACCAGGGGGCGCTAGAGTTGGCGCACTGACTGTCACGGTTCAATGAAGCAATAGTCACTCAACCGGAGCCTAGATAAGCTGAAGACGGTGTTTGGTCGTGACTCATCCGCTCTCTCTTTCAGACTGATGATGAGCAGTGGATTGTTCAAGCATCTCAAGGCCAGAGGGATACCGGTGAGTAGTAGCATCTCAAGGCCAGAGGGATACCGGTGAGTAGTACAGACCCGTGAAGATCCGGTGAGTAGTAGCATCTCAAGGCCAGAGGGATACCGGTGAGTAGTAGCATATATATCAACACTGGTACAGACCCGTGAAGATCTGGGTTAGAATTGGCCGTCAGCAAACCCATGCTTGTCGTCAGAGGCGACTAACGGGATCGGGTGGTCAGGCTCGCTGACCTGGTTGACACATGTTATTGTATCCTAATCGCGCAGATTGATGCTCATGCAGATGATCACTGCTTTGTCTGTTCCAGACTCGATTATTTACAGAACGCCGCATGTAGCTGGAATATTGCCAAGTGCGGCCTTAAACATCAAAACCCACCCCCACACAAAAAAAACCCCAAAACAAACCAAAAAAAAACCCCGAAACCAACAACAAATAAGAAAAACCACAAAAAACCCACAACGCTGGTACATTCGGTACCATTCCGAAAATACATTTACACAACCTTTGTTGACACTGGAGAAACCATTCCTTGATGCTCGTTTTCTCGATGGACATTCGGGACATCTCGTGACTCTACGGAATGTTATCTTTGTGCGTCCCTTAAACCATTGTCATCTTTTCGAATCCAAATTCCATTCGGTTGTGAGTCTCGGTCTGTTCAGGATGGTACAGACCTACATCACCTCCAGATATGTTACCAAGTCGCAAAGTACCAAGATTCAAGGCGACGTTAGACACAATACTACAAGGTTCAAATATGCGACGTTATACACATATACTACACTCTGTTATCGTAGGCACTTTGGCGGTCAATAAAATGATATGGCTTTTATCATGGAATATAGCCATGACGGAAGTTTGTGGATGGCCGGTGCTGGACATTGTGGATGGGGTGCTGAAGGGATGACCATACATGTATCGTGATACAGTACAGGCTGCCTGATAGTCAGTATTATATAGATATTGCATTCGTGTTGTAAGAGGACTTGACCCTCGGACAGCGGCTAGACAGGTGGGCTGTCGATCGCCTCTGTGATGTCTGACCGCTGCTGTACTATCATGTAATTGCATATTTAGACCACAAATAAAGTGTGGTGGGCCCAATGATGGACTTCTGTGTTTGAAGAGACAATATCCCAAAACCTTAACCAACTCGGGACACTTGCTTCTGTAGTTCTGTTCTGAACAGACACCTTGTTCTATTTCAGACATACGTCTACTGTCTGAATGAACCGCATGAGTTTGACCGCGCGTTCCAGCTGGGGGCGACCGGCGTCATCACCGACTTCCCCTCCCGACTGAAGGACCACTTGGACCGACTGGACGCCGAGAAGAAGGACCGTGAGATGGAGTAGAACCGTGGACCATCTGTGATGTTGTGTCATGAATCAATGGCTTTTCTTAGACATTGTATCTTGTATCTTTTGGCCTCTCTGAGATACTGTATATGAGATGGTATATTATGGATCATATTGACTCCTCTGAGATACTGGATATCAGGGACTTGACACCATTTCTGAGATACACTGCAGTGACTCTTAATATGCGCTAGGAACTTTTGTACCATAGGATCACATTGCTCTGTACCATGATACATGACGTGTTGAGCGACTGTACCATGATACACGACATGTTGAGCGACTGTACCATGATACATGACGTGTTGAGCGACTGTACCATGATACATGACGTGTTGAGCGACTGTACCATGATACACCTTTGCTCAGTTCGTATTCCATATTCAGCCTATAACTGTTATTGTATTGTACCACGATATTCTATAGTCAGTAACATTGGTAGTTTTGTATTCTGCAAATATATAAAATTACATACGTGAAAGTTTGTAATGAAGTCTGTTTCTTTGACATCTGTAGCGCGACAAGCTGCATACGCTACACGTAAAATGTCCTGCTGAGCTGAAATAGTTCACTGGGCTTTTTGCGAGTCTTCAGCACATACTGTGTGTGATGTCAGAGCAGTCTAGGTAGAACTGAAGACCAAACAAGGGTGTAGTAGTTCACTTACAGATGGGCGACCAGCTGGTTCAAACCTAACCCTTTGTCAGGATCAGATAGTCCTGGGTTCGAATCTTGGTTACGATCCTTGGTCTGTCGTCTCTACTGCTCGGTGTTTTCACTAAAGTAACAAATGTCCAGTACGTGCTGCACGTGTATGTTCTGGTTGTGTTCTCGTTGAACTTCCAAGTGAAATGAAAATGTCTTCACCCAGCTGGTGAGTGTACCAAACAGTGTTCTAAGATGGGAATGAAAGTAACTAATTGTTTAAGCAATAAGTACCTTGTATTGAGTAAGTGCCCAATAAATTGTTTGCAAATATGGCTTTAAATCCGGTTCTATAATATCTCGTCCATTGCACGATTCCGATTATATCGTTACCATGTGTTTATGACTCAGAAATCTGAAAACCGAGGATCGGCCGCTGGAAAAGTTTGGCGACCTGGTACGGACTTGATATTGTATCAATCACATTGTACGTTACAAAAATACACTTAGTAAGCGCAAAAAACACATAACAACTGTAACCAGTGAGCTAGATGAATTGTGATCCATTGTATGACCACTTAAAACAGGGGCACTTATATGATCATATAACTCTCTCTTGTATGGTCATATAACTCTCTCTTGTGTGATCATATAACTCTCTTGTATGATCATATAACTCTCTCTTGTATGATCATATAACTTTCTCTTGTATGATCATATAACTCTCTCTTGTTTGATCATATAACTGTCTCTTGTATGATCATATAACTCTCTCTTGTATGATCATATAACTCTCTCTTGTATGATCATATAACTCTCTCTTATATGATCATATAACTCTCTCTATGATATGATCATATAATCTAACTCTCTTTGATCATATGATCATATAACTCTCTCTTGTATGATCATATAACTCTCTCTTATATGATCATATAACTCTCTCTTGTATGATCATATAACTCTCTCTTATATGATCATATAACTCTCTCTTATATGATCATATAACTCTCTCTTATATGATCATATAACTTTCTCTCTTGTATGATCATATAACTCTCTTAATATGATCATAGCTCTCTTATATGATCTTGATCATATAACTCTCTCTTATATGATCATATAACTCTCTCTTATATGATCATATAACATATAACTCTCTCTTATATGATCATATAACTCTCTCTTATCATATAACTCTCTCTTATATGATCATATAACTCTTATATGTATCATATATAACTCTTATTGTATGATCATATAACTCTCTCTTGTATGATCATATATCTCTCTCTTATATGATCATATAACTCTCTCTTGTATGATCATATAACTCTCTTTATGATCATATAACTCTCTCTTGTATGATCATATAATACTTCTCTCTTATATGATCATATAACTCTCTTGTATGATCATATAACTCTCTCTTGTATGATCATATAACTCTCTCTTGTATGATCATATAACTCTCTCTTTATATGATCATATAACTCTCTCTTGTATGATCATATAACTCTCTCTTATATGATCATATAACTCTCTCTTGTATGATCATATAACTCTCTCTTGTATGATCATATAACTCTCTCTTGTATGATCATATAACTCTCTCTTGTATGATCATATAACTCTCTCTTGTATGATCATATAATTCTCTCTTATATGATCATATAACTCTCTCTTGTATGATCATATAACTCTCTCTCGTATGATCATATAATCTCTCTCTTGTATGATCATATAACTCTCTGTTATATGATCTCTCTCTTGTATGATCATATAACTCTCTCTTATATGATCATATAACTCTCTCTTATATGATCATATAACTCTCTCTTGTATGATCATATATGATCATTATAACTCATATAACTCTCTTGTATGATCATATAACTCTCTCTTGTATGATCATATATAACTCTCTCTTGTATGATCATATAACTCTCTCTTATATGATCATATAACTCTCTCTTATGATCATATAACTCTCTCTTGTATGATCATATCACCTCTCTCTTATATGATCATATAACTCTCTCTTGTATGATCATATAACTCTCTATACTCTTCTATGATCATATAACTCTCTCTTATATGATATAACTCTCTTGTATGATCATATAACTCTCTTATATGATCATATAACTCTCTCTTGTATGATCATATAACTCTCTCTTGTATGATCATATAACTCTCTCTTTGTATGATCATATATCTCTCTTGTATGATCATATAACTCTCTCTTGTATATCATATATCTCTATAACTCATATAACTCTCTCTGTATGATCATATAACTCTCTTATATGATCATATAACTCTCTCTTGTATGATCATATAACTCTCTTGTATGATCATATATCTCTTGTATGATCATATCTCTTATATGATCTCTCTTGTTGATCATATCATATCTCTCTCTGTATGATCATATAACTTTCTCTCTTATATGATCATATAACTTGTATCTCATCTTGTATGATATAACTCTCTCTTATATGATCATATAACTCTCTCTTGTATGATCATATAACTCTCTCTTATATGATCATATAACTCTCTCTTATATGATGATCATATAACTCTCTCTTTGTATGATCATATAACTCTCTCTCTATGTATGATCATATAACTCTCTTGTATGATCATATAACTCTCTCTTGTATGATCATCTAACTCTCTTGTATGATCATATATACTCTCTCTTGTGATCATATATGATCTTATAACTCTCTCTTAATGATCATATAACTCTCTCTTATATGATCATATAACTCTCTCTTATGATCATATAACTCTCTCATATAGCTCTCTTATATGATCATATATCTCTTTTGTATGATCACTAACTCTCTTGATCATATGATCATATAACTCTCTCTGTATGATCTCTCTATATCATATCTCTCTCTTGTATATATGATCATATAACTCTCTCTTGTATGATCATATAACTCTCTCTTGTATGATCATATAACTCTCTCTTGTATGATCATATATGATCATATAACTCTCTTTGTATGATCATATAACTCTCTCTTGTATGATCATATAACTCTCTCTTATATGATCATATAACTCTCTTTGTATGATCATATAACTCTCTCTTTGTATGATCATATAACTCTCTTTGTATGATCATATATAACTCTCTCTATGAACTCTCTATATGATCATATCTCTCTTTCTATGATCATATAACTCTCTCTTGTATGATCATATAACTCTCTCTTGTATGATCATATAACTCTCTCTTGTATGATCATATAACTCTCTCTTGTATGATCATATAACTCTCTCTTGTATGATCATATAACTTTCTCTCTTGTATGATCATATAACTCTCTCTTGTATGATCATATCACTCTCTCTTGTATGGTCAAATAACTCTCTCTTGTATGATCATATAACTCTCTCTTGGTCTTGGTCTTGTTGGTGCAATTAAAGAGGTATGAATATACCAGTAAAATAAGTAATATAACAGTTGTAACACGGCGGTTTGACTACTACTACTACTGCTACTACTACTACTACTACTACTACCACTACTACCACTACTACCACCACTACTACGACTACTACTACCACTACTTCTACTACTACTACTACGACTACGACTACTACCACTACTACTACGACTACGACTACTACCACTACTACTGCCCACTACTTCTACTACTACGACTACTACTACGACTCCTACTACCACTACTACTACTACTACTACCACTACTACTACTACCACTACTACTACTACTAGTACCACTACTACTACTACTACTACGACTACTACTACGACTACGACTACGACTGCGACTACTACTACTACTACGACAACTAGTACTACTACTACTACTACGACTACTACTACTAATGCTACAACGTTCCCTATCCACATGACTTGCACAATGTGAAGCCTTTCCTGATGTACCCTGCCCTATCGTATTGAAAACAAATGGCGTTGACGACCAGCATATATATTGGTTGTCGGGAAAGTATTATCTATAGCCCGCAACGCCGTAATGAAACCTTACATCGTCAGTTGTTGCGGATCTGAAACAGCTTGTGGTTAAATGTTTGGGAACTGAAATTCACAACGGAAATTTATCATCAACCAAATTCTCACAACAGCTATAATTTTAGTAACCGAAATTCAGTTATTCGGTTATTTAGCACCTATATTAAAAGTTGCGAACTTTTGAGCAACCTAAAGTGGAAACTTAACTGTGAAGCAGGGCTGCCGTTGATAAAGTTCTACATATGTTTTAGATGCGATGCACGTGTCTCTGTAGACACAACAAACTCAGCCTGTGTTCCTGTATCAGCAACGCGCTCTCATATATCCAATAATTCCCTCCTTCATCAACACATCCTCCCTCCTCCACACACACTTACTTAGCACCCCCCCACACACACCCCACACCCCCCCTTCTCTCTCTCATCCGGGGGTTGGTGTAAATAATTAACTCCGAGTGTTCAAATAGTTAAAACTTCCTGAAGACGGTCGGCGAGGGTGAGGGAGTTGATGATTGATGCAGACAGCGTGGACGACGTGATCTACGTCGGCTGGTCAGTTGAAGTGTTATGTTAACAACAGCCTGTACAAATCAGAGTATCATTGAAGTTTGGAAGTTGAAGTTCCTAGAATCACTTTAGACCGGCATTTGCTTGATATCGCCATGTGCAGGTACGGTGGAGATAATGTGGTCCTTATATATCAGTGCTACAGTAAACCTATAACCCTGCCTCGGGTCAATACCGCAGTCTACAGGGCTCGGCTGACATCAGTTGAACTGCGCCTCCAAGCTGACACGGGGATCAATGCTGGCAAGTGCAGAGAACAATGTACTATATGATGTACTTCACGGTTTCCTTGGTGCAACAAGTGGATGTTTGTGCACGTGTGAGTGAGTGAGTGAGTGCTATACGACTACAAAAGAAGAATGAACCTCCATGTTTTGGTTATTTCGGCGGATAATCGAGGCCGACAATCTGACCGTAACTCAGAGAGAGTGTGGGTACGAATCCAGGATTGACTCAACCCAAAAAAAAGTACAAGAATCTGTACTTTACTAAGAAAGTGTGATCCCAAATATAACGTGATACATTTGGCCACTTTCTAATTGACATTGTGTATTCATAAAGCGTTACAGTAAGTAATCCGACAACTCAAGAAATTCTACTTAAACGTATATTACATTGTTAAGGTGTAGGATAATACTGTTATTAGCCCAGGTTACTATCGCCATAACATCACAGGTCAACACACTGGTGGTTCTAGCTGACCTACACTTGCAGTATCCTGTATGTAACTACATATAGATATATGGAGGCATCACCGTGATGGGTCTTCTAGTTAAGTTTGACCCTACTCAGTCACACTGCTGAACCAGCTGACCTTGTTCTACACTTCGGCGAGGAAGTATTTACAAATATGCCGTTTTAATAACCCTCGGGTCTTCCTGGCTGAATCACGTGGTCTGCACAGCCGATGCGTTCATGGAATCTCCTAACACTATCCTTAGCGATCCCTTGCGTGATGTAACAACGACGACCACACCTAGAGCGCTGTTTGTAAGTATACGTGATCTAGTATTATTAAGTCAAAATCGAAGTGAAGAAGTTGCTACTTTATTGGAACACCTATGTCAGATATGTCAGTGAGTATAAGTATATAAGTAATTGATGCATGTACTTACAGCCACGCATGTACCAGACACGCTTGACCTACCATGACGAAGATACCTATAAATCAATAATTTGCTGGCTCTATTTTGGGTTGGATATTCATCCCATGCTACTGCAATGGAAACTGACTCAACGAACACTCAACCCCTGACAAAACAAACCCATGTCCGTTTGTATTTCACCTGGGTTTGATAATGCAGGGAGGCCGAAGGATCGATTTTCTTTGTTCGATATACAAAGGACAACCTCGAGCAGACGACAACTAGAGCAGACGACAACTGGAGCAGAAGCAATTTCTCCGTAGTCATGTGAGTTCTACTGTATCGTGTACTCATTAACACACATAGTTTGTCGATAATCAACACAAGGTTCAGTTTCTAACAGTGCGGGTCGGCTTTCTTGCCGAGACTCGGTTTAATGATCAGTAACCCTTGTGAAACATTCTCTATAGTATTTGTTTTCCTTGGCATTTTTGCTATGTGTCTGAGGTAGCGTGGTGACTGAAGTATGGATGACATGAGGTGAGGTGAGGTGAAATTGGGGTTAACGTCGTGCTTGAGAATATTTCGCTCATATGACGACGTGCATGCTTGTGTATGTGGATGTGCGGCCGCTTGTACTAGCCCAGACTTAAGCTGGTTTTATAGTGCTAGCCCACTGAGATACCATGCCGCAGTGAAGCACTCAGACACATTATACTGACTCCGAGCCGACCAGTCCTTGTTGTACCCATAAATGCCGAGCGCCAGGCAGGGACAAACAAGTACCACATTTTAACGTCTTTTGGTATGACGTGGCCGGGGATCGAACCCGCGACCTTCCGCTCTCCGGGCGGACGCTCTAACCACTACACCACGGAGGCGGTCTGGATGACATGAGCGCCGGTTTGAAAGGTATGAAGTGGTATTTTCGATTATGTTTCTGTTTGAACATAGACAATAGAACACATAGATAAGATATTAATTTGACTGTACCGTGGGAGGATACGATTATTTAAAAGGGATTCAATCGTGAACGTCAGCTAAAGAAAGAGAACAGAATCGATATCTAAATAAGATTAAACATGATGTACGGCAAACACAGACAGGAATTAGTATTGAAGTTCACACGTGTTGTAGTCGTAGAAAATATTACTGAAACCAATTTCCAGGAGAAAACTGCAATCGGACCCTGCAACTTTAAGCCAATGATGGAGATGGGACACATTCCGATATCTGTCGCGGAGATGTCTGTTCAGTAATTCCATGTTTAAATTACGCTCCGGCATTTAATGCTGAATGTGGTAGTTGAGGATACACAGGCAAGAAGATGTTCTAGCACAGTTGGTCTTGTTGGTGCGATTAAAGAGGTATGAATATACCAGTAAAATAAGGTCTTGTTGGTGCGATTAAAGAGGTATGAATATACCAGTAAAATAAGGTCTTGTTGGTGCGATTAAAGAGGTATGAATATACCAGTTAAATAAGGTCTTGTTGGTGCGATTAAAGAGGTATGAATATACCAGTAAAATAAGGTCTTGTTGGTATTACAGTTGAAACACGGCGGTCTTGAAGCCATTTCAAAATACCAATCAAATAGAGCGGTTGAAACACGTTTGAAACCACTGAGCGATGGTACCAGCACTGAGTAGGTGACTGCTGTTTTAGGTCACGATTGGTAATATTACTTATCATATCACTCACTCGAGAAAGCAGACAAGAATAAGCCATAAGTTTCATTCATCAGCCTGACGCACTGATGTGTATGAATGGCCTCAGAAAGCCAACAGAGCTTATTACAGCAGCCTGTCAGAATAGCCAGGTCTCATTCACCCATGACACAGATACAAAGGGACAGGAACACATTCTTGTATATGAATGTCACGTTTGTCAAGTGTATTTATAGATCACTACAAGAACAACGCAGGATTATATTTGTCGTACAGGTAATATTCTCTTAATGTTCCCTTTCAGAAAACCGACAATACCAGCCACCAAGATGGCCGAATGGACACTTCCGGTATCCTTGACCTTGGGTGTCGTTATTCCGATACTCATCTACATAACTCTGTCAGTTGTGTTTTTCCTGAAACCAAACTTAATTCACAAAAGAAAGAAGCATTACGGCTTTAACCAGCGACACCTGAGTCATCGTGGAGGTAATTACACCGGCGACATATGATATGCTACATGGGAGCACTTCACTAATCTCTATTTTTTTCTCGAAGTTTGACGTCGTACCAGCTGTATAACAATGTCCTGTGAATAATGGGCCTGTACCATTTGTGAGTTTGTCTTGTCGTGTATCTGGATTAAATTGTTGCTGTGGTAATCGTCGCCACCGTCTCTCCCTCCTTTTGACACGCAGTATGTGCTGTGATATGATTATTGTTGAAACCGGGCGTACACTCAGCCCACTCTTGACAATGTCGACATATATAGATATAACTTAAAAACACCATTTTATACTCTACGTGGTAAGATGTATTTCAGAGGAGTAAATGTTATCACGTTATTTTCAGGCGGTGGCGAGAAGCTGGAGGGGACTATGTCCGCATTCACCAAGTAGGTATAGTAGAACCTCGTTAATCCGAGTTTGACCATTCACTGATTATGTATGGTGGATCTGATTAATCAATACATACCATGTATGGTAGAACGTCGTTATTCTGGACGGTATTATTCACCAGTCAGTGAGTGAGTGAGTTACCTTTTAACGTCACCTCGGCAATATTTCAGCCATATTATCATTAATCTGGACGGAATCATTCAATAAGTATGTACGTATAGTAAAACACCGTTGCGATGGGCGTTGCTTGTTTTTATTGAGGCTGCCCAAAATGAAGGCATTTCCGGAATTCCGAGTGCTGTTTGTATCGGCGTCCGCAGTTACCGGGTTTCGTTTATCGAGATAATGACCGTGACCCGCGTGCAGTCACTTCTCGCCGCATAGATACTGAGGGACAAAAGAAGTCATACCTCGCAGTCAATTACATTAATTTTACAACTGACATTATCTTGAGTTATTGTATTTAAAAAAAATGATTTGTACCACTCAGCTAATGCTTCTACACTACATATTCATCACAATATAATTTAATATTGAATTTTCAAAAATATAAAAATCACCACAATAGCTGGTGGATAACTTAGACATTCTATCTTTAGAAATCAATACATTTGCTTCTTTTCGGCCCAAATTCAAGTTTCAAACATGGCACAAATCGCGTGGTTACATATTCATTTTTCAATTGTCCTTCGTTGGACGAGTTTATTTCGACATAGCTGTAGCAGGAATGAGTGACGATTAAGTGGTCATCTGATTAAAATGCTAATGCCTCGAATTTCAGTTCCATATATAACGTATATGCCGTGATGTAACTGAAATACTATTCAGAGCGTTAATGTTAATGCCTCGCGGCCTCTGCCCAGTGATGAGCGAACTCCTTAACTTTGACCTGGGTCTACAGCAGTAGGAGAGTCTTCACACACTACTCCTTTTGCAGCGCCGTCGACTGTGGCACAGACATTCTGGAGATGGACGTCCGGTTGACGAGCGATGATGTTGTTGTCGTGTTCCATGACGAGACTCTGCAGAGGTGTTGTGGAGTCCCTGACGCCGTCATCGACACTAGATATGAGGTACGTCATCAAAGCACTGGGACGTGAACACAAGTATGAAGGAGCATGGGTGGTAAGGTGTGCAACTACATGTAGATTTGCGTCCCTTAGTAGAGGCAGGATCCGCTGAGTATGGTTTCGGATAACTATTCTGTCCTGTATCTTTTGCCAAATCCAACCCGAGCCTGAGGGTGTCATCACTGCATCACTGGAGTCATATTGCTGGAAAACTGATAAACGCGGCATAAAACTGCACTCACTCCCCTCACATGAGCTGTCGAAAGTTTAGGATTTAACATAATGTTTTTATGAAGTAAGATTACTGTTATCTATTTGAAAGGCTGTGGTGATATGTCTGTGGTTCGGTGTCTGATACCCTGTGCCTGTGCTGGGTGTCTGGTACCCTGTGCCTGGTCCTGGTATCCTGTGTCTGTGCTGGGTGTCTGGTACCCTGTGTCTGGTCCTGGGTGCCTGGTACCCGGTGTCTGGTACCAAGTGCTGGTGCCAGGAGCCGACGATGTAGTGGTGACCTGTCATGACACTCCGAGGGCGTGAGCCGTCGTTCAGGCTGTATCTACTGCGGCCTCCATTCAGTCAGTTATCCGTCTGTTTATTGACTGGTTCCACGCTAACTTGGTGTTAAGTATCTAAGTATACCTTCTACATCACTTTATTCTGTCCTAGGACCTGCCGCCGCTGAAGCCGCCACTCGATCTCTACTACAGAAAAGGTAAATGTAGCTGATGATCCCCCACCTCCGACTACTACTACTACTACTACTGCAACTGCTACTACTGCTACTGCTATTGCTACTGCTACTACTGCTGCTGCTACTACTACTACTGCTGCTGCTGCTGCTACTACTACTGCTACTGCTACTACTACTACTACTACTGCTACTACTACTTCTACTTACTACTCTACTACTGCTACCACTGCACTACTACTACCACTGCTGCCACTACTCACTACTGCTACTACTACCACTACTCACTACCACTGCCACTGCTACCACTAACTTCTAACGACTCCCCACCGCCACTACCACTACCGCCACCACCACCACCACCACCACACCACCGCACTGCCACTATAATCACTCACTACCACTGCCACTACCACTCACCACTTCACCACCACCACTACTCACTACTCACTACCACTACCACCACCACTCACCACCACTGCTACCGCCGCCACCACTCACTACCACCACCGCCGCCACCACCACCACCACCACCACCACCACCACCACTACCACCACTGCTACCACTCACCACTGCCACCACTCACTCACCACTACTACCACCACTACCACCACTACTCACCACACCACCACCACCACCACCACTACCACCACCACCTACCACCGCCACTGCCACACTTTATACCACTCACTAATCCCACCACACCACCACTGGCCACTGCCACTACTCACCGGGCTGCCACCACTAACCACTACTCACCACCACTACCACTACTCACCACCACTGCTACCACCACCGCTAGTACCACTCACTGCTACTCCCACTGCCACTCACCACTACTCACTGCTACCACTCACCACTACCACCACTCACCACTGCACTGCCACTACTCACTACCACTCACCACCACTGCAACCACTACCACTACCACTGCAAACCACCACTTTCACCACTCACCACTACCACTCACCACTACTCTCCACCACTACCATCAAGCTGCTGCTACTGCCACTACCACTCACCACCACTACCACCACTGGCTGCCACTCACCACCACTACCACTCACCACTACTCTTCACTACCACTGCCACCACCACTACCACCGCTACCACTACCACTGCCACCACTACCACTACCACTACCACCACCACCACTACCACCACTACCACTACCACTGCCACTACTACTACTGCCACTCACCACCACTACTACTACCACCACTACTCACTGCCACTGCTACCACTTCTACCACTGCCACTACTCACCACTGGTACCACTACCACTACTACTACTACTCACTGCCGCTGCTGCCACTGCCACTACTACTACCACTACTACTACCACTCACTATTACCGCTATAACCGCTGCCACTGCCACTACCACTCACCACTGCCACCACTACTCACCGCTACCACGGGCACCACTACTACCGCTACTACCACTGCCACCATTACTCACTACCACTGCTGCTGCCACTCACTACTACTCACACCACTGCCACTGACTACTACTCACTCACCACTGCCACTACCACTGCTACTACTCACCACTGCCACCACCACTACACTACCACTCACCGCTACCACCACTACCACTGCTCTACTACTCCTACTACTACCACCACAACTGCTACTACGGGCACCACCACTATTACTACTACTACCACTGCTACTCACTACTACCACTACCACTGCCTACTACCACTGCCACTGCTGCCACTGACCACCACCACTGCTACCACCACTACCGCTGCCACTACCACCACCGCTACTATTACTACTGCTGCTGCTACTACTGGTGCTGCTACTACTACTACTGCTACTACTACTACTACTGCTACTTCTACTACTAACTATACTACTCCTACTACTGCTGCTACTACTACTACTACTACTGCTACTTCTACTACTACTACTAATTCTACTACTACTACTACTGCTGCTACTACTACTGCTAGTACTACTACTGCTACTACTACTACTACTGCTACGACTTCTACTGCTACTACTACTACTGCTACTGCTACTACTCTGACTACTACTGCTACTACTCTGACTACTACTGTGACTATGACTACTGCACGTACTTCAACTGAGAGTGCTGCTACATGATGAATATATTGATACATGATTGATATAACTATATCAATAATACTTACCTTTCACCGATGATTCATTACATTACCTTCATTATATCTAAATAGCGACAGAGTTTACACATTCTCGTAGTGAAGTAGTTCTATTGCTCTGGCAACCTGTCCCGTGATTATCTGTACAGGACACACGACGTATGATGATGACACGCGGATACTGACACTGAGGGAGGTGTTCCAGAGATTCACTTATGTTCCTGTCATGATAGAAGTGAAAGGAACTCAGGAACAGCTCGTCCGCAAGGTAAGATGTTCAGAAGTAAGTGACCGAACTATTATAAGAATACAGAAGATGAGTGAACCTCCATGTTTGGGTTATTTGGGCGGATGATCGAGGCCGACAATTCTCTCACCATAACTAAGTTGGTTGGACAGCTGACTGTGTGTGCTGTCGACATGGTGCCTGGCTCTGAGAGTGTGGGTTCGAATCCCGGATGAGACTCAACCTAACCACTAGCCACCCGACGTCCCAGAATCGGTTACTGGTCATTGAATATAACCAGTGTGCGAAATAGTTTCCAATGTTGCTAGCCAGTCGGCCTAGCTGTGCCTGAAAGATACTAGCCCACAAAATAATTCCCTAGCCCAGAATTGGAATGTAGAAACTAGCAAAATATTGCAAAAAAGGTAAAATACCATCAAAAACAAATAAGAATACACATGTCTGAAATATTTTGTTTATGCTAAATACGTCATCATTAAGCTGCTAATACGATGAACATATTTATCAGACCACAATCTTGCATGGTTTAAAAGAGTGTTATAACTTAACAAGGCAGAGAGAGTGTTATATTTACAAAATGACCCCATGAAAATTCACAAGCCAGTCGGGCGAGTGACTGCGGAGATTTACTGGCCCGATAGGATGTTTACTAGCCACGGGCCAGTGGCTATTTCGCACATTGAATATAACGTGTAGCAGGAATAACAATAGAATCTGTGAGCAAATCGACTCTTTAACAGACCTACATCAGTCACCAACTGAGTGGGTCATCCAAGGTATAACAGAGTCACAAATCGCAATAGAAATCTGACTTAAACGATATTTAGGACTTGAGTATTTGAAAATAGAATGTAAAGTATGTAATCATTAGAGAATCAAAGGGTAAGATTCTTGAGTATATATTGTTCACTCAACGGAGTTTTGAAATAAGAGTTACTTCAAATGTACCAGCAGTCTTCCCGAGGCAAGGGAGGTAATTGAGTCCATACCACGTGGTACAGTCAGGTGTTTCATTTGCCTCGGGATGATTGGATACTACAATACTCAACAGTGTATTAGAGAGAATACATTAGTTAGGTATGTCAGTGGGTAGCCGTTCCCTTTCTTCAGTGTTGCATATTGGACGAGTTGTGTGTGAATTACGGTTCTGATATATTGCTTGTACTGTATTGGGCATGTATTGTGAGTTAACTAACCGCTCGCATTGGTATAAGTACATACTACGTATATTCACTAGCTGTTTTGGGGAGCAAAGAATCGGGTCGTGCCGAAGACCCGGTTCGAATCGAAATGGGTACAAGTTTCAATGTTGTTGATGTTCCCCGGTTTGGTGGGAACACATGCGGTCTAGAATCGAACTCACTCTGACCTGTCTCACCCACAATCACCCCTTGGCTGACAGCGCATTACCCCTGTGGCTGACCTGTTCTCACCTGTCAAGTATATCAGTAACACATTACCCCTGTGGCTGACCTGTTCTCATGTCAAGTATATCAGTAACACATTACCCCTGTGGCTGACCTGTTCTCATGTCAAGTATATCAGTAACACATTACCCCTGTGGCTGACCTGTTCTCATGTCAAGTATATCAGTAACACATTACCCCTGTGGCTGACCTGTTCTCATGTCATGTCAGTATATCAGTAACACATTACCCCTGTGGCTGACCTGTTCTCATGTCAAGTATATCAGTAACACATTACCCCTGTGGCTGACCTGTTCTCATGTCAAGGTATATCAGTAACACATTACCCCTGTGGCTGACCTGTTCTCATGTCAAGTATATCAGTAACACATTACCCCTGTGGCTGACCTGTTCTCATGTCAAGTATATCAGTAACACATTACCCCTGTGGCTGACCTGTTCTCATGTCAGGTATATCAGTAACACATTACCCCTGTGGCTGACCTGTTCTCATGTCAAGTATATATCAGTAACACATTACCCCTGTGGCTGACCTGTTCTCATGTCAAGTATATCAGTAACACATTACCCCTGTGGCTGACCTGTTCTCATGTCAAGTATATCAGTAACACATTACCCCTGTGGCTGACCTGTTCTCATGTCAAGTATATCAGTAACACATTACCCCTGTGGCTGACCTGTTCTCATGTCAAGTATATTAGTAGCACATTACCCCTGTGGCTGACCTGTTCTCATGTCAGGTATATCAGTATCACATTACCCCTGTGGCTGACCTGTTCTCATGTGTCAAGTATATCAGTAGCACATTACCCCTGTGGCTGACCTGTTCTCATGTCAAGTATATCAGTAACACATTACCCCTGTGGCTGACCTGTTCTCATGTCAAGTATATCAGTAACACATTACCCCTGTGGCTGACCTGTTCTCATGTCAAGTATATCAGTATCACATTACCCCTGTGGCTGACCTGTTCTCATGTCAAGTATATCAGTATCACATTACCCCTGTGGCTGACCTGTTCTCATGTCAGGTATATCAGTATCACATTACCCCTGTGGCTGACCTGTTCTCATGTCAAGTATATCAGTATCACATTACCCCTGTGGCTGACCTGTTCTCATGTCAAGTATATCAGTATCACATTACCCCTGTGGCTGGCCTGTTCTCATGTCAAGTATATCAGTAACACATTACCCCTGTGGCTGACCTGTTCTCATGTCAAGTATATCAGTATCACATTACCCCTGTGGCTGACCTGTTCTCGTGTCAAGTATATCAGTAACACATTACCCCTGTGGCTGACCTGTTCTCATGTCAGGTATATCAGTATCACATTACCCCTGTGGCTGACCTGTTCTCATGTCAGAGTATATCAGTATCACATTACCCCTGTGGCTGACCTGTTCTCATGTCAAGTATATCAGTATCACATTACCCCTGTGGCTGACCTGTTCTCATGTCAAGTATATCAGTATTACCACATTACCCCTGTGGCTGACCTGTTCTCATGTCAAGTATATTAGTAGCACATTACCCCTGTGGCTGGCCTGTTCTCGTGTCAAGTATATTAGTAGCACATTACCCCTGTGGCTGGCCTGTTCTCATGTCAAGTATATCAGTATCACATTACCCCTGTGGCTGACCTGTTCTCATGTCAAGTATATCAGTAACACATTACCCCTGTGGCTGACCTGTTCTCATGTCAAGTATATCAGTAACACATTACCCCTGTGGCTGGCCTGTTCTCATGTCATCAGTATATCATGTCAAGTATCACATTACCCTGTGGCTGGCCTGTTCTCGTGTCAAGTATATTAGTAGCACATTACCCCTGTGTGACTGACCTGTTCTCATGTCAAGTTTATCAGTAACACATTACCCCCTGTGGCTGACCTGTTCTCATGTCATTATATCAGTAACACATTACCCCTGTGGCTGGCCTGTTCTCGTGTCAAGTATATCAGTAACACATTACCCCTGTGGCTGGCCTGTTCTCATGTCAAGTATATCAGTATCACATTACCCCTGTGGCTGACCTGTTCTCATGTCAAGTATATCAGTAACACATTACCCCTGTGGCTGACCTGTTCTCATGTCAAGTATATCAGTAACACATTACCCCTGTGACTGGCCTGTTCTCATGTCAAGTATATCAGTATCACATTACCCCTGTGGCTGACCTGTTCTCATGTCAAGTATATCAGTAACACATTACCCCTGTGGCTGGCCTGTTCTCATGTCAAGTATATCAGTATCACATTACCCCTGTGGCTGACCTGTTCTCATGTCAAGTATATCAGTATCACACATTACCCCTGTGGCTGACCTGTTCTCATGTCAAGTTTATCAGTAACACATTACCCCTGTGGCTGGCCTGTTCTCATGTCAAGTATATCAGTAACACATTACCCCTGTGGCTGACCTGTTCTCATGTCAAGTATATCAGTAACACATTACCCCTGTGGCTGGCCTGTTCTCATGTCAAGTATATCAGTAACACATTACCCCTGTGGCTGGCCTGTTCTCATGTCAAGTATATCAGTATCACATTACCCCTGTGGCTGACCTGTTCTCATGTCAAGTATATCAGTAACACATTACCCCTGTGGCTGACCTGTTCTCATGTCAGGTATATCAGTAACACATTACCCCTGTGGCTGACCTGTTCTCATGTCAGGTATATCAGTAACACATTACCCCTGTGGCTGACCTGTTCTCATCGTGTCAAGTATATCAGTAACACATTACCCCTGTGGCTGGCCTGTTCTCATGTCAAGTATATCAGTAACACATTACCCCTGTGGCTGGCCTGTTCTCATGTCAAGTATATCAGTAACACATTATCTCTGTGGCTGACCTGTTCTCGTGTCAAGTTTATCGTTCTGTCAGGTATATCAGTAACACAGCGGTTTCTGTGTCTCCAGGTGTCGGATATGATCACAGAGTTTGACAGAGCAGACAGGACAATATGGGGCAGCGAAAACAAATCAACGTCCACTCTGATGTATAAGCAGGTAAATTACAATCCATTCCTTCCGTCGACATAAACTGACTTCCGAGGCATCCTGTGGCTGCAGCTGCTGTTGCTGCTGCTGCTGCTGCTGATGATGATGATGTATTCTGTTCTATACATTTCAGACTGCGGACATTCCTATTTTCTTCAGTTACAAAGGGGGACTACTCATGCTCCTATGGTTCTACACTGGATTACTCCCCTTTATCAGACTGCGCGAAACCTTTCTTGTAGCCCCAATGCCATCTATAGAACTAGAGTGAGTACGTTTCGCTATTCCGGGATCGACTCCCCCCACCCACCTAGTATATATTTGGTAACTTCTTGTTGTTTAACACCGAAGTCAGACGTAGTACCGTCATACGATGGAGGTCTGAAAACAATCATTATCTTACCTTCATGTAAAATACTTTAATTTCATTGGTCAATGACTCTTTAACATGTCACCCCTCCCAGTTCGAAAACCGTAGCTGTTTCTGAGTTCCCTATGTACCGACTTTCACTGCTCTTTTCAAACTATTTTATACATTGAATCGTTTCCACACACAAATGAAACATAATTAACCGTTTGTATAGTTGCTTTAAACTGATTTTAAAATCCTGTCGAGAAACAGACGCCTTTTTGTTTACATGTCATATAGTCGGTAGCGATCTCCAAAATGAAATAAAATAAAATGATATTTTGTACTTTTAACATGGCGGTAAGATAGATACCTTGTGTGCTTCTCTCGATGGTAATACAGTCTGATGTAAGTCTCTTTGTAGCAGTGTTATGCTGGTCCGGTGACACTGCTACAAAGAGGCATACATCAGACCGTATTACCCGAGGGGGAAGCATACAACTTATATTGTCTGGACCAGACAATCCAGTGACTGATGGTTTGGATGCCCATCCACGCCATCGAAATACGACTATGCTCCAACTAAAGTCACCGAGTCTGATAACCGATCCAGTTGGTCCTGTCTTTCAACCAACACAGTTGGCACGGGTACTTGTTATCCACCACGTGCTATGTAATAAGGTGTATCACCACGTGCTATGTAAAAAGGTGTATCACCACGTGCTATGTAATAAGGTGTATCACCACGTGCTATGTAATAACTGGTGTATCACCACGTGCTATGTAATAACTGGTGTATCACCACGTGCTATGTAACTTGTATCTCACTGTTGTCTTTCAGTCCACAAAATGGTTTTGATCTCCACGGATTTGGTCGATTTAAAGTATGGCTTACAGACAAGTAGGTGGATCTCTAGTAGGTGTGTGTGTGGCTGCTCTCTGTGTGTGTGTGTGTTTGTGTGTGTGTGTTTGTGTGTGTGTGTGTAGATACTGTAAATTATTGATACTTTCTGTATTTTGTAACGTAGAAGAATATAACCTGTATGATTTGTTTGTACAGAATACAAAATAAACAGCTTGTCTCCCTCTCTGTATATGAACCATAATGAGTTAAACCAATTGTTCCAGACTCTTCATGCGGTCGTCTCTCTTTGGTCACCTGTCCAGGCGTGGTATTAATGTAAGTTGCCATAGTAACGTGATTATCCGTACACTCCGTCTCAGGAGTGATTATAGACTTACGGCCTAAAGACACGCTAGTTAGTTTTAAACACCGCGAAAATATGGATGTATGAAGTAAAATGTGTTGAAAATCCAAACGCCGTCAACTTATCATATGACAACCATACATCACCCGATACTGGCGGCATAGTTGACCAAACTGAGGCTGGGTAGCAAAATCATGCTATCAACAAAATGGACAATAGCCTCACACATCGAAACTCGCAATGAGTTTTTTTGTTTTACGCCGCTGTTATCAACAGTCCAGCATTATCACGACAGGGACACCAGAAGTGGGTATACACATTAGTATCGTGTAGGTTCACCCAGTACTACGTGCGAGATTCACTAAACTCTCAGACACAAAGCAAAACTATGTCGTCTGGTAGTGTACTGGGACATGTCGCCTTTCTTCGTGGAGGGCCTTGATAAGTTCTTGTCGGTTGGCAGGGGGATGTGGTCTCTGTAACTCGACGATGTGTAACTCGACGATGTGTGACTCGGCGATGCATGACATCCCATCCCTAGGCCTTCCATGGGGGGACATGTGTGGAGCGTGCAGGCCACGTCAACAATTTGGCGTTGTTGGTTGTAAGGAGTGAGTGAGTGCGTTTAGTTTCACGGCGCACTCAGCAATATTCCAGCTATATGGCGGCGGTCTGTAAATAATCGAGTCTGGACCAGACAATCCAGTGATCACTAGCATGAGCATCGATCTGCGCAATTGGGCACCGATGACATGTGTCAACCACATGTGCCTGACCACCCGATCCCGTTAGTCGCCTCTTACGACAAGCATAGTCGCCTTTTGTGGCAAGCATGGGTGGCTGAAGACCTATTGTACCCCGGATCTTCGCGGGTCTGGTTGTAAGGAAGTCGTGAATACTTTGGGCTGTACAGGGTCTGACGTCAAGGCGAAAAAGGACACCACGTGACATCTGGTGAAGCACGAAGAATAGCATCCATGTAAAATGTCCGTTAGCGATGAACGGCATTGTTCCTCCCCATACAATGCAATCCCATTCGCCATACGACCACCATTTTATCTCCCCTTCCGCAGTAGACACGCTGTCTTCCGTCAGCTCTGATCAGACAGAACCGACTTTTACCAGTGAAGATGGCCCTCTGCCAGTCACGTCGCTGCCAACGACGCACAGTGTTTTTACACTTTCAATAACTATCTTCTGTAAGGTGTGTAAGCCATGTAGCCTCGAGTCACCTGATCACTTCCGGTCGCCAGGACTCATTGCATTTGTTGCTGATGACGTCACAGCCAGGATTCGATTCTAGAGACAAAGTCCGACCAATACTGGTCTTCATGGGACGCAGTTTCCTTGGTCTGTCTGTTCTTGGCGTGTCTGATGTCTGTCTGGTTCACTGTCTTGCACCGCTTAGTCACAACACGGGAACTATGTGGACATGTGTGCTTCCATCTGCATCACAGCGGGTTGTTTCGGGGGTCGGTCGCTACATTTCATTGGGTTCCCTCAGGCCGTGAGTCTCATCTCCATACCCTGCTGAGTGTTGTGCCGTGCCATTGACGAGTATCACCAAAAGTCACCTATCATTGTTATGCTTGGATGACTTTTGCATTTGTTTTGATTTTCAAAATCATTTTTGAAGTTGTAAAGTTTCGTTTGGTCGTCAGTAAATGTAATCGTTTTTTCGGTCCTGATCCGACACATGTTCATTCTGGCATATACTATCTTTGTTTGGGATATTGTTGATTACAACGGAAACAAACAGAACGGTCTAAAATCATGATTTGTTTACTTCAGGAAGTTTACTAAACTCGTCTTGGTACCTGCGAGTTTTTTCATTCTTTTTGCAATCCTTGCTCGTATGTTTAGGCTTGGGCTTTGACTTGGGCGTTGGCTTGCCTTTCAGCGGCGGTGTGAAGCCCATTTCTGGTGCTCCACGCCGTGATATTGCTGGAATATTGCAAGCAGCGGCATACAATCCAACTCACTCACTACAATTATCAGTGTACAACTGGATGCAAGATAAAAATTGCAATTTCATTGTGTACATACATTTTAAAGAATAAACACGTCCTAAGTAATTCCAAATAAAAACAAAACACAAAAAAGCACGTAAATTATGAATGCGTCCAGACTAAGGCCGTCTTGTTTAGTCCACTATTACATCCTAGTACACATACACTTACACGTGCAGACTTTCCTGTTTTGGTTGAATTAGTGTCTGTTTTCACCCGAAAACCTAAATTATGACTGCCTCCAGAATAAAGTTAAGACAAAAGATGTCTTCTTCAATAACATCCTATATATTTTACATTTTCACTTGCAGACTTTCCTGTTTGTGTTGAACAAGGACAGCGAGTACAAGCGAGCCTTCCATCAACTGAAGACCACCGGCGTGATAACCGACTTCCCGACCTCACTGTCGGCCTACCTCAAGTCGGCCCCACAGACGTCGTTAGAGGCAGACACACAGACATCGGGTCCGGCTGACAGCTTGTTAAAGGCCGACATACATTCGGTGGAACCGGCAGACAGCTTGTTAAAGACGGGTACACAGACGTCGGAGCCGACAAATACTTTGTGACATGCAGACACGCCGACGTCGGGGTCGACAGAGTTGTAAAAGTCGGACAAATGATTCGTAATGTGGACCAATGTAGTACAGTCTGGACGAATGATCCGTAATGTGGACCAGTGTAGTACAGTCTGGACGAATGATCCGTAATGTGGACCAATCTAGTACAGTCTGGACAAATGATCCGTAATGAGGACCAGTGTAGTACAGTCTGGACGAATGATCCGTAATGAGGACCAGTGTAGTACAGTCTGGACAAATGATCCGTAATGAGGACCAGTGTAGTACAGTCTGGACGAATGATTCGTAATGTGGACCAATGTAGTACAGTCTGGACGAATGATCCGTAATGTGGACCAGTGTAGTACAGTCTGGACGAATGATCCGTAATGTGGACCAATCTAGTACAGTCTGGACAAATGATCCATCGTGTTTTATTGCGGACAAATCAGCAGCAGCCATATTTTGGAGACTTATCAACAGCGCGATCTGTATGACATCATCAATGTTGTAGAAACGTGCCATATTATTGTACAGATTGATGCACTTTATAACTGTTTTCCTATTTGTTTTATCGAATGTTGATATTTTTATGACCACTGCAATTTTATGTTGTTTTGTGACAATAAAACTGAAATAATGACATCATTCTGAGGGGTTGTCATTTTCTAGTTTGCAAGGGTGGGTGCAGTCCAAAGCTGATGCCTGTCAGTGGTATGACTATCCACTATCCGCCTGACCCGGTATGATCTTGTTAGATGTTTGAGCCAAAATTTCAGGCTAAAAATGATTGAGTCTTGACCAGAGAGTCTGGCTATTGCCACGTCGAATATCAGAAAGGGTCGTGCGTTTCATACCCGGACTTGGTGAATTACTTGATTTGTCGTGCGTGAACCTTAAAGCTGAACCTGAGGGAGATTGGTTTTCTCTGGACTGCTTGGAGGGTAACTTCTTGAGGAGCATAAAAAGGAAAGAAAAGAAAATACCTGGAATTCACAATCCCCACCTGACTTCACTGATCATTGTTGACATTATTTTCCTGTTCTGACACAAACATCAGTTTTGTCAGTTATTTTATTGGGAAATCCTTGCAGCACTGAAACATGTTTGCAATGCACTCAAACTTTGTTTAGAAACATTTATTTTTCGTGGCAATTTATTTGTCCTAACTAAACCAAATAGACAACTTCAAGTTGACTAAATATGTCAAGTATGGAAAACAATTACAATATGAAACATATCTGTCTCTCTCTCAAATGTGTTGACAAAAAAGAAACTTTCTGTAGTATAAAATCATAAGATTCTATTAGAAAATTTAACATGTTTCGCCCTCCCAAGGCTGATCAGTGCAGCTTGGGTTATCCAAAACTGTGATTAAACCTATCACACGGAATGGATAAACTGCAGACATGTCTTTATTTTTGTGTGTTTTTTTAATATTTTAACGGCTAAACATGCCAGTAGCCAATGAAAAGTAACTCATAATAACTCAAAATAAACGTTAATGGAAATTTAATGTGTGAATGTTTATGTCAGTCAAATGGCACAACAGAGGGACACATGTAGGTAAGAGCACAGCATACAAACACAATGTTATCAAGAATTGTACACTTGTCACCAGCTTTCGACATGAGATAATCAATCGGACTTGTCGCTCTAAGAATCATGAACTTCTGACGCACAGATCCAATGACCCTTTCCACGTGAATCCTCACATTAGCAATTTTTCTTGTTGACTCAACTTCTCTAGCACTCAGCTGTTGCTTTCCTCTCATAAAAGATGGACATTTCACTTCGGCTCCAACCAATGCAACCACTTCCTGGATGTCAAATCCCCGATCTGCTAGTATCAAATCTCCATTCCTCAGATTGTCTAGGAATGTGCAGTTGGCTGTTAGATGTGTGTCACTTACTCGCCCCCCACCCTATCCCCACCCCCACCCCCTCCGACATGAAGCCTACACTTCCCTGAGGTGTAATTCCTGTCAAATATTTGGCTGTGTCGTGGTGCTTGTAGTTGGACCAGATCTGTGCCCTTGCAGTCATGTTAGATGGGCGATCTGTGAAAATCTCAAAACAGTCGATAATGCAGGTGACTCTCCTTCCAAAGTATTTACGAAACACCATCGACATTGTTTCCCTTAGTTCATCACGATCAGGCCAACGCACTAAAGGTTGTTATGCAACATACATTAAGTTCAAAGTATCTAAGAAAGCCTTAGATAATGTAGCTTTAAATACACCAAAGCGATAACTCAAGTCTGTGATTGGCAAATTTAGTCTACGTCTCATTAGGGTTATGATTATCTTCTGAAATTTGCTGAGAGATGAATTTCTGTTTTCAGTCATTTCAGGGGCCAAAAGATGATTAAGTGCCATAAGAGTTACAAAACTTGGCAATCCAGTATAATACTTCACTTTGTCGTCTTCAAAGTCCTGTCAGATTCATCTTCCTTGTATGCACGAAGTTCAAGTAAACTTAGAGCAGCTTCTGTTTTCTTAGCAGTTTCCTTTCTGTTTTGCAGTCTTTCATGGCGTACAGCTGCTTTACTTGGTGACTTTGTCCCTTTATAGCCTAGATGCTTGCTAGGAGCCCAGTCTGGATGTGATTCATCATATTGATGTGGTTTTTCTGAAAATATATGAATTATTCATTACACAATATCATAACTTACAGTTTATCTGTCTGTAAAATTCTCTACATGTAAGATTTCTAAGAAGATAAGTTAACTCAAGATTCAATATGAATTTATGTTATTTCCACATTGTGCTTTGAAACAAGACACTAAATAAACCATAAAAAATATGCTACTATTTTTCTGATAAAACAACAATAGACACTGAATTCATAATAAATAATCTCGTACTAATATCGACTTTACATGAGATACTGCATGTCCTATGAACATTTAGTGTTCATGGCTTCCCGCCACCAAGACTGACCAGCTCTGCTAACATAAAACTAAAATACTGTCAGAGTTTTTCGACCTAGCACATCAATTTAATACAAAATGGGCTTTGAATTGTCAAGATTTTAGATTCATATGTACCTACAAAATATTAATAATGTAGCTTACCTGAAATGAAATGATCCGAACAAACACGAAGCTGTTCATAACACGTCACATCGGATCGGTTGATTACAGCAATCCATGCTCTCCTTCGCCGTTCACTCTTCTTTTCTGCTGCTTCCCCCTGTCCAGAAATAACCTTAGGAATGCGATAAAAGCTCTTTTTATCTCTCCCACCCCGATTGTGGCAGTTTACAATAGCACACGTAGTCGGCATTATCTCTGGATGAATGATCAACAACGATGAGCTGCGTAAACAAAGCCTTCCAAAATGGCCGCCGGGAATGCATTGTGGGAAATGTAGAAAAGCCCTCAGCCCTTTGTAAGGTGGGTTAGGATGGTCAAGCGGCGGTGTCTGGTAACGGCGGCTCCGAAGCTGGGAGAGGGATGCATCAAGGGAATCTGAGCATCAATGTGCTGTGTAACCTGTTACCGGAATAATTAGAGAATAATCAACGGGGTACGAGTGATTACGGGAAATATGCCTGAGTTGAAATAATGTTCACAGTGCCGAGCCTTGTTATTATTCTAACGAGGGCATATTTCCCGTAATCACTCGTACCTCGTTTGTTATTCTATTTATTACCCATAATGTAATTGAAAAAGAAGAACCATAAAATAAAAACTACCCGGAGACTTGTGACCTCAAACAGGTGATTGGTATTCATGCACGTATTAAACCTAGCTAACTTCTCCAGCGGTAATAACAGTAACTACACTATGTAAAAAAGGTATTTCGTAAAATCGCTTTAAAACACAACAAAATATTTATGATGGAATAATTTATCAACATTTGTTAATATGATAAAACTGGTCTTTTAAATATCATATATATTCTAAGGGGATACAAATACATAAATCACTAATTGGCATCATTATAAATGAAACCCCGTCATTAAAACTACTCATTTCGATCTTTAATTAACTTAAAATCGGCCTTTTTGACAACAGTGCACAATTCTCACCCGCGAACGAAATTTCAACCAAACAGAGCGGCGCGTCTCTGTGACGTCATATGAGGAATAGCTCTGAAGGCTGATGCAGAATTCAAGTACATTTCAGAGGGTAAATTATCTTGTTTACAGGTTTGTATAAACCTGAAATCGTGACAACTGTTGTGAAAAATGAAAGCTATATGTTCTCACAATCTACTGTCATTTGATTTTGTCTCCTGCTTTGCTTAGTTTCCGAGTTACAACTTGTTTTCATAGACGATTCTGTCAAAATCGCTTGGTGTCGCTAGGCCATATTTGTTCAAGCCAGACGCTAGTGATAGTGAAAATGATGATCAGCCTCGCTCATCACGGTTACGGTTAATTTCTTCAACCTAAACAGTGCGACATTAAGGAGGGTGGATGCCCATCAGATGCAGTTATTTGAAAATATCCCCGGTAGTTCTTGTCTGATTGAAATATAGTATCAAAGCAGTGTGGGCTTTTTCAGGTTTTCTAATGTTTGGATGGTATAATGACTGATCCACATTGATCCCATTTCTGTGTTTTTTACCTCGATATTTAATCATGTCATGTAAAAATATATATTAAATTGATATTTGATGTGTTTGAATGACCCTAGTTTGCCATTGCTAGAAGAATCTGAAAATTAGGTAAATAGGTACATACAGTTCTAGCACACAGAAAATGCCTATATGTATTTCTTATGCAACAATGGAGTTCTGTTTGTATTCTCAAAACAGTGTCGGCCCATAGGTTTTCACATACAATTAAAATAGAATGCAATACAGCAATTAATACTCCCTTGTTGTAACCCGTGTTAGGTGGTATAAACCTACACATGTTATTTGTCATCATTCACTTGATGGTCAGTTAATGAAATTATAACAGTATAATTAGTGGTAACACCACTTAGATTACCCGACAAAGGTTCCCATTTGGCATTTCTTGTGTCTGGAGTAAATGCGCAACATTATAAACATCGATCAAAGGATTAACCGATAACACGCTGATTGATTAACTACTTTTATCTTGCACAGCGGATTTTGTCAAAAGGTAGTGTTTATGTATGTAGATTTACTAATCTATACTGAATACACTCTGTCGTGTCTGTGTCTGCGAAAAAACAATGTCCTTCTTTCAAAGCATTAACCGCCAATACATTGATTGATTGCTCACTATTGGCTAACTAAAAGAAAGGCGGACATTATGCAATTAGTTGCCAGGTGTGCTATCTTGGGTGACCAATGAGACTATACACCAATGTGAAATACCTGAAACGATATGTCACCTTTTCGTATATTAGACTGTTAAAAGACACATCACTTGGAACAGCTACAGATGAATGGCATGTCACTCGTTTTTGTGGATATTGATGGATACATTCCTCGAACAAGGTAATAGCCTGACATTGTTTCTATAACTTTAATCTGTTTTAATTTAATCATTGTTTTCGCCGTGAAGTGTAATGAGACAGACAACATACACTAAGGCGTGTGTGGAACCAGGGATACTCTACAACACCCCCTTATATAGTCTCCCTGGTGGAACTTATGATCCACATTGGCAAACTATAAAATGTCAGCCCTGTTATAAATTCACTATAAGTATCAGCAGATCGTCTGCTTTTTATTTAGTTTCAAAATGCATACAAGTATGATAATAAACTAATTAGGATTATAAGACAAAATATAAAGACGTACATTGACTAGTATCTACATACTGGTGAGTGGACGTTAACTACGTGAATGCTAAGAAATTTATCACACAGTATTGTGACTTCGACCCCCACCTCGCTTCCGTGGAAGAAATCGTTATGTTATAAGTTGTGTCATGCATAATCCTTTTGGTCATGATTCAAATACATATTTAACTACGAGTAGAAAGTAGGTTTGATTTTCTCACTTGATGAAAACAAACCATAATCTCATTAATTCTAACATACTTTAGCCCGTGACTTTACGATTTTCAAAAATGGCGGCTCCCTGTCGCGAACATCCGCCAGTCTGAGGATAAATGCTATTTAGGTTTGTTTTCACCGAGTTACAAAATCAAAACTACTTTCTACTGGTAGTAAAATATGTATTTGATTGATGGCCAATAGGATTTTGCATGACATAGCTTATAACATAACAATTTCTCTCGTGGCAGCGAGGTGGGTGTCAATATAATACCACTTACAATATTATTGTTACTTCGACCACAACCTCACTTCCGAGGAAGAAATCGTTATGTTACAAGTTGTGTCATGGAAAATCTTTCTGGTCCTCAATCATATACATATTTTACTACAACTAGTAAGTAGTTTTGATTCTTTAACTTCCGTGAAGCGATCTGAACACAAGTAAGATATCGTTTCAGGCTTCCATAACGGTCACTTCGCACTCACAAACATAACCCATTTAGCACGAACTGCGGGGTCCTGTGGAAATCTGTGCATGGCGACACCATCGCCCAACCCCTAGGAGCAATAGACGACAACGATTCCGCATGTCTTCGTTGATGTCGTGAAATCATCAAAATGACGAGCTTGCTACACACTTTCTATACAACTAACTGAAAATCCTTCCTCATATGACGTCACTGCAGTGCTCTAACGACAGAGTTACGTAACCTGTCTGTGGTTTCGTTGGCGGGCGAGAGTGAAGCAGGCGACTTTTTAGCAACTTTTAATCGCTCGGTATTAATTAACCACAAATTTCTTAAGATAGAATTTGGTGTCCCGCATAAGACTAACCACAAATCTTTCATATGTAATAGTTAAAAGTGTACAAAAGAACCCAAAGTTTATTTGTTGTTTACATGTAATATCATTGAACTTAATAACAGCTAGAACGTTAATTGATCAAGTCAGTAAGCAGGAACATCGTTCATTCACGACTGACGTGTGTCTAGTGACGGTGTAGTGTTCAAACACACTTTGGCAAAAACCTGTCATTTTCTGGGAAAGTCGACGGTTGAACGTTAGGAAATCTAAAAGACAACCATCCCACGAATACATCTAGAAAATGTTTTCTGTTTTTGGATCATGAAAAGTAGTTCCGTCAACCAATCATATTTCTTCTCTGCTTAGCTGACCAATCAACGTTTAGAATCACCAAAAAGCATATGTGCGATTATCACAAAAATAATCACCTGTGTATCCTAGCCCGGATGGGTAATGATCTCTAATCTCTTCCTGCTAACTGGGCGCTGGGACACTTGTTCATCGTCTTCTGCCGGGTGATTGTGCTCAGGGAAGTGGGAAAAGAAGAGTTGCCGACAGAGTTGCATTTACCTCAGGTTCTCGCTGATACACTGTACACCCAGGCATGTTGATACACTGTACACCCAGGCATGTTGATACACTGTACACCCAGGCATGTTGATACACTGTACACCCAGGCATGTTGATACACTGTACACCCAGGCATGTCAAGACAAGGTACACTCCTACACCCAGGCATGTCAAGACAAGGTACACTCCTACACCCAGGCATGTCAAGACAAGGTACGCTCCTACACCCAGGCATGTCAAGACAAGGTACACTCCTACACCCAGGCATGTTAAGACAAGGTACACTCCTACACCGAGGCATGTTAAGACAAGGTACGCTCCTACACCAAGGCATGTTAAGACAAGGTACACTCCTACACCCAGGCATGTTAAGACAAGGTACACTCCTACACCCAGGCATGTTGATACACTGTACACCCAGGCATGTTATGACAAGGTACACTTCTACACCGAGGTGGCGCTATTAGGTCAATGAGTGAGTGAGTTTAGTTTACGCCACACTCAGCAATATTCCAGCTATATGGCGGCTGTCTGTGAATAATCGTGTCTAGACCAGACAATCCTGTGATCAACAGCATGAGCATCGATCTGGGCCCTGTAGGTTTTATGAAGCAAGTGAAAAACAGAATTTGGACTGAGAGGCAAGTGTGAGGAAGTATTTGTACAGTGCCACGGACTGTATTCATTAGGACTGCAATAACATGGGGGAGCGAGTTAAATACACATTGATTAGGATAGATAGAAACGTTAAGTCTGCAGTATTAACAAAGGAATAGTGAAGTTCATCCATGTGAATTACCATCTGAACGACGAGTAAACTGTCAAATTTGTGATGTTTGTGGAATATTCTATGGGCACCTTAGTCCGTATTTTGTACCAGTATATCGCCTGATTGTTTAGTACACATGTACTGTGCTTGTTTTATGTGGTCTGTAGAGATAGCGCTCACTTCCGCCGGAAGCCGACATCAGAACATTACATACGGGGAACTTCTTTGAGTGACATGTTTAGAAGTTGGTGAATCAGATACGGACAAACTTTATGGATAAATAACTTAGTTATTCGGATAATGCAACGTTTCGATACAGATTCTTGTATTTTGACAAGCTGGTATGAGTGAGGTAAAAACAGGGTGTTTGTACTGATCTGATGACACACGGGGTAAAAGTGTAAAGTGTATGACAGACATACGCTAGACCGTAAATCGTGTATTTGTATCGGCCAATACACCTACACTTTAAACAAGGGACACCAGTGCCTGTAAGTTGGCTATAATATCGTTCTTAGTGGAGAGACGTATTTCACGGTGTGAGAATTTAGCCAATTGTTTTTTTTCTGATGTCTAATTTATTTGCACTTTATATTGCTATTTGGGTTCTGTGTGCAATCATGGATATTGTTTTATTTCTTCTAGTCTGATATTCCGACCGGTTGTGTCGATAGGGGGAACAAACAAATTTCGGCAGTCACAAGACAATTTGCTAATAGCGTTTACGAACAGGATCTGCCGTTCAGAGTTGACGCTCGGAGGATGAGCTGGACCTCCGCTCACCTGTAGCATGTCTGAATTCATAGCTTCGTTTATCGTTGAGTTGGTGATTCTATGCAGATGTTATTTGTTCGTATATTCATTAAACATTTCATTATTGTACTCATGCCTTTTGTGGGCAAAGTTTAATTCCCAGCATATCTGGTGTCTGTACTATGTGTGTGTACGTTTTTGACTTGTGAAATAAATATTTGGGAACACTGTCGATGTTGTCCATCATTTCCTCCAACAGCTGATTGATGTCATAGTCCAGATTTACAAGGGTGAGTAACAAAGATGAAAGATAATAATTACTCCTGGTGATAGTGTCGGTGCCATGTGAATAACCTTCACAGGTACCACGACACGTACACAAGGGGCAGATAGACGTATATATTATAAGTTGTATACTTCTCTCGAGGGTAATACGGAAGGGTTACACGGAAACTTGTTAACGCCTCAATGACCAATGAAATTAAAGTGTTTTATGTGAAGGTAAGATAAATCATACTTTTAATTACCTCATCGAGGTGGCCAGTTCCAGCGATGTTTTGTGTCAGACTCAACTGCCTGTTTGTGAGCCTACCCATCACTTAGGTTAAGTCACGAAGGGATTTAGCATTTTGGTAGCCATTCATCTGGGTTGAATGAGTCTCGTTGAGACTACGTGTTGAGACTATGTGTCTGAGGCAGAATGGTTCTAAAAGTTATGATTTATCACAATTGGCACTTTCATAACCTGTAAAAGACGACTGTCTGTCTCTGCATGAAAGATAATATATATATTCTATATTATTATAAATACACTTTCATGCACAGGCAGACAGCCGTCTTTCAAAGGTTTTATAATATGCCAATACTTAAATGTATAAGTACATGATGCAAATATTACATGCTATAATCCTCAAATCATAATGGGACACCTTATACTATATACAATAATACGTTATAAGTTATATTGCTTTATTTCAATTGATTGATTAATTCCTACTGCACCATCCTGTTTCCAAGCAGGTTTCCAGAGACTATTCCTTTAAGTTACAGCACAGGACTTGGAGTCTGGTCATGATAAGAATGTGTCTTTTGTAAATTGGACATGCAAGAAAAAAACACATCTTTTGTATGAATTTTCATCTGTCGATGATGTAATTAGGAAATAATGACAAACATCGCCTGTGAAAATAACAACAAAATGAAGTTAAATGCTAACTAGACAGGGGCGTTGTAATTCAATTTGCTTAGTCTAAATTTTAAATTTGGATTTTGATCCAGACAATCCAGTGATTGCCAGCAGTGATAAAGGCCATCAAGGTACAAAGACCTGCACATTAGCGAGCCGGACCACCTGAATTACTAAGTTCCCTAAGTAGACTGCTCAGACGTGGCTGTGACGATGTCGCGGCAAGATATTTCAACCTTTGAAAAAATATATCCTTGGCATAATCGTAAAGCATTACATCAAATCTGCTCATGTAGAAGATTTTGTTGCGATCGTTCTCAGTAAGACTGAATGTAGATGAGGTATGCTTTGTCTTAAATTTAGCAGTAAATCTTAAATTAAACGTATTCTCGAAAAGAATTTGTGACAGTTCCTGATATTCGGTTAAACCAAAGTACGCCATATTCTTAAGATTTTCTTTTGCGCTTGTCAGCATGCGGTACTGTCTTTCGTCATAAGTCCAACCGGAAGCGGAAGTGTTGTAGCAGTCCACAATGCTCAGGTTTGCCAACATCCGGGTCTGTCTGTTTACGGCCAAATTTGATTTACAGTCCATAAACTCATGCAGGGTCACGTTTTTCCAGTCAACATCGAAACACCTAGGGAGCTCCTCGGTCGTCGGGGAACGACCATTACACAGAAGAGGGACAATCCAAGTGGCACCCCTTGAAACGTGATTCCATTCGCTTAGGTAACGTGGCAACGGATGCCTCAGCATGGTAACATACAGGTGTCTGCAATTAAGAAAACACAGTAAAACAAATACGAATATAACATTTATATTTGTAAAGCACATCACTGGCCCTAAACTGGTGACAAGACGGACGTGGCAGTGCGACTGTCTGTGTGTGGTGCTCACTGGTCACTAGCCGAACACATGGACTAATGCCTAAAGTCCTTCCCTCGCCACTAAGTCTTCTCAAACGACTTCTTTCACGACCGTACACAACGCACGTCGCTCGAGACAGGAGGCAGTCACTCGAGCAAGAGTGAACTAAGGGACGTAACTCTATTTGTCTCGCCAGATGGATAAAGGGACGAAACTCTGTACGTCTTATCATCAATAATACTATATAGTGCTTGATGCACTGACGCCTAAGATTGCAGCACTCAGCACCACAGGCCCTGGTGTCTTTGCGAGGATTAAAGATTTTATAACTTATATACAAAAAATTTAGATGACGCTGCTAAATCTGCACATTCTGTATACATTCTCGGGCATTTTTACTTTCATCGACTGCTTGACTTGAAAGAAATGTACGATTTTTTTCCAGCAATGGCTGCTCAAAAGAAAGCATCATTTGTAAATGTCTCTTTAACAAACATCAACCAACCAGAGGGCTTGCTTCGACCACACACCCGTTTTGTGCGGATATATCGTCAGCCAATTTTGTCAAGATCGTTTAGTTGGGGGTCAATTGGTAGGTGTCATGAGTGGTGCTCGATAGGCCAATCATCCATGATTATGTTTACATTAAATTTTAATCGATTGCATGCGATGGTAGCGTAGCGATCGGCAAAGCAGTCGGTTGTGGTGCACCGAAGTGTCCGGCCTCCGAGTCGGGGGTCATCTCAAAAACAATATTTTTTTAATCATTAATCCTCGCAAAGAAACGAGGGCCTGTGCTCAGCACCAGCCTTTTGTATAATCTTAATACTTTCTAAAGGAATATATAAATCGAAATACTCCAGCGGCATGGTCTTATGAAATCCAAGGTGACATACGTCACGTCGTCAAACCATGACTCCACCCTCCGCCATCCCACATCCAGTTGAAGATTCTTTACTCTGTACAGTACAGTCAACAGGACCAGCCTCCATGGCGGAGTTATATACCGAGCAATGTATGTATGCCTAACCACTGAAACGGTTCATTCAGTAACAGCAGGGGCTAGTTCTGGAGTCAACTACCTGCACACATACATGATTCAATAAGTTTCAGTTGCTTCTAATCTGTGCTCATACTCTTTTCTTCATATCTTAAACATGTGACTGACGGCCGGTTGACATGCCCCCTCAGAACGAACAATGATGACTAGTCAGCCTTGACCTACTGTTCTCTTCCGATGAGTGAGTGAGTGGGTGAATATAGTTTTTACGCCGCTTTTTAGCAATATTGCAGCAATATCACGGCGGGGACACCAGAAATGGACCTCACATAATGTACCCATAATGGGAATCGAACCCGGGTCTACGGCGAGACGAGCGAACGCTTTACTGCTAGGCTACCCCTCCGCCTCTACTGATGGCCTTACTGTGTATGTTTCCACCGTAGTGGTGAATAGTGGTGAATAATGGTGAATAGGTGTATATCCTGCATATATCGTGTATATCCTGCATATATCGTGTCGTGCTTTGAGCATGTTTGGTGATGGATCCTAAAAATTAATATCATTAATAAAAATATTGAGCATGGGTGAGTGAGTATGTGTGGGTGAGTGAGTGAGGGGTTATTCTGCTATCACTAACCACCCGCTAATTCGCAGCTATCAGAGAAAGGAATCATCCATTTGTACTCATGAAGAAACCCAAACTCGGATTTTCAACGTGACACGTGAGCACAGTAACCAGGAGTCGACCCTTCTAACACCCATGTACCCGCACCCAATGATGCTGGTAGACGATCCTTCTAACACCCATGTACCCGCACCCAATGATGCTGGTAGACGACCCTTCTAACACCCATGTACCCGCACCCAATGATGCTGGTAGACGATCACAGACTGTAGTATAGAGTTAGTGACTAAATCCTTAAGTTTTGTGGTGGCGTGTCTTCACCCAATGATGCTGGTAGACGATCACAGACTGTAGTATAGAGTTAGTGACTAAATCCTTAAGTTTTGTGGTGGCGTGTCTGCACCCAATGATGCTGGTAGACGATCACAGATTGTAGTATAGAGTTAGTGACTAAATCCTTAAGTTTTGTGGTGGCGTGTCTTCACCCAATGATGCTGGTAGACGATCACAGACTGTAGTATAGAGTTAGTGACTAAATCCTTAAGTTTTGTGGTGGCGTGTCTTCACCCAATGATGCTGGTAGACGATCACAGACTGTAGTATAGAGTTAGTGACTAAATCCTTAAGTTTTGTGGTGGCGTGTCTTCACCCAATGATGCTGGTACACGATCACAGACTGTAGTATAGAGTTAGTGACTAAATCCTTAAGTTTTGTGGTGGCGTGTCTTCACCCAATGATGCTGGTACACGATCACAGATTGTAGTATAGAGTTAGTGACTAAATCCTTAAGTTTTGTGGTGGCGTGTCTTCACCCAATGATGCTGGTAGACGATCACAGATTGTAGTATAGAGTTAGTGACTAAATCCTTAAGTTTTGTGGTGGCGTGTCTTCACCCAATGATGCTGGTAGACGATCACAGACTTGTAGTATAGAGTTAGTGACTAAATCCTTAAGTTTTGTGGTGGCGTGTCTTCACCCAATGATGCTGGTACACGATCACAGACTGTAGTATAGAGTTAGTGACTAAATCCTTAAGTTTTGTGGTGGCGTGTCTTCACCCAATGATGCTGGTACACGATCACAGACTGTAGTATAGAGTTAGTGACTAAATCCTTAAGTTTTGTGGTGGCGTGTCTTCACCCAATGATGCTGGTAGACGATCACAGACTGTAGTATAGAGTTAGTGACTAAATCCTTAAGTTTTGTGGTGGCGTGTCTTCACCCAATGATGCTGGTAGACGATCACAGACTGTAGTATAGAGTTAGTGACTAAATCCTTAAGTTTTGTGGTGGCGTGTCTGCACCCAATGATGCTGGTAGACGATCACAGACTGTAGTATAGAGTTAGTGACTAAATCCTTAAGTTTTGTGGTGGCGTGTCTTCACCCAATGATGCTGGTAGACGATCACAGACTGTAGTATAGAGTTAGTGACTAAATCCTTAAGTTTTGTGGTGGCGTGTCTTCACCCAATGATGCTGGTAGACGATCACAGACTGTAGTATAGAGTTAGTGACTTAGTCCTTTAGTTTTGTGGTGGCGTGTCTTCACCCAATGATGCTGGTAGACGATCACAGACTGTAGTATAGAGTTAGTGACTTAGTCCTTTAGTTTTGTGGTGGCGTGTCTGCACCCAATGATGCTGGTAGACGATCACAGACTGTAGTATAGAGTTAGTGACTAAATCCTTAAGTTTTGTGGTGGCGTGTCTGCACCCAATGATGCTGGTAGACGATCACAGACTGTAGTATAGAGTTAGTGACTTAGTCCTTTAGTTTTGTGGTGGCGTGTCTGCACCCAATGATGCTGGTAGACGATCACAGACTGTAGTATAGAGTTAGTGACTTAGTCCTTTAGTTTTGTGGTGGCGTGTCTGCACCCAATGATGCTGGTAGACGATCACAGATTGTAGTTTAGAGTTAGTGACTTAAATCCTTTAGTTTTGTGGTGGCGTGTCTGCACCCAATGATGCTGGTAGACGATCACAGACTGTAGTATAGAGTTAGTGACTTAGTCCTTTAGTTTTGTGGTGGCGTGTCTTCACCCAATGATGCTGGTAGACGATCACAGACTGTAGTATAGAGTTAGTGACTAAATCCTTAAGTTTTGTGGTGGCGTGTCTGCACCCAATGATGCTGGTAGACGATCACAGACTGTAGTATAGAGTTAGTGACTTAGTCCTTTAGTTTTGTGGTGGCGTGTCTGCACCCAATGATGCTGGTAGACGATCACAGACTGTAGTATAGAGTTAGTGACTTAGTCCTTTAGTTTTGTGGTGGCGTGTCTGCACCCAATGATGCTGGTAGACGATCACAGACTGTAGTATAGAGTTAGTGACTTAGTCCTTTAGTTTTGTGGTGGCGTGTCTTCACCCAATGATGCTGGTAGACGATCACAGACTGTAGTATAGAGTTAGTGACTTAGTCCTTTAGTTTTGTGGTGGCGTTTCTGCACCCAATGATGCTGGTAGACGATCACAGACTGTAGTATAGAGTTAGTGACTTAGTCCTTTAGTTTTGTGGTGGCGTGTCTGCACCCAATGATGCTGGTAGACGATCACAGACTGTAGTATAGAGTTAGTCACCTTTAGTTTTGTGGTGGCGTTGCACCCAATGATGCTAGACGATCAGACTGTTATAGAGTTAGTGACTTAGTCCTTTAGTTTTGTGGTGGCGTTTCTGCACCCAATGATGCTGGTAGACGATCACAGACTGTAGTATAGAGTTAGTGACTTAGTCCTTTAGTTTTGTGGTGGCGTGTCTGCACCCAATGATGCTGGTAGACGATCACAGACTGTAGTATAGAGTTAGTGACTTAGTCCTTTAGTTTTGTGGTGGCGTGTCTGCACCCAATGATGCTGGTAGACGATCACAGACTGTAGTATAGAGTTAGTGACTTAGTCCTTAAGTTTTGTGGTGGCGTGTCTGCTGTATGGGAAAGCCAGAGGTGATTAAGATTTTGAGTAATGTTTTCGGCTTGAAACACAAGGGTGTGTTATTAACAAACCAAGAATCATTATCAGAGCTAATAACAGGGTAAACCACACGCTCTTGTAGACACGAAGGCCACAGCACAGAAAGTGTCTGGTTAACAGTAAATGTTCTGAGTCTGTTTATTATTTATTTATTGATGAATAAATCACATCTTACCTTCGTTTGATCTTCCGACCACTACGTCTGTTCATGGCGTTTTCAACACAGGCATGTAGATGGGTCCAGTCGGCGTGGACGTGACATGGATGCTCATACATCTCTTGTTTAAACAAAACATTCGATTTCCACGCTTGATAACACGCACATTTAGTTTTAACTTCACCGTCACATCGGCACCACGGTGTGACGTCTAGATCATCTGTCATATGCCTTGCAAATGTCGTACTTCCAGTCTTCTGAATTCTCACAAAGACAATGACGTCACTTCCGTTGGAGCTAACGTTGTAGCTATGGATAATGTCTTTACGTGAAAAGTGCTCCGATGATAGTCCCCTGTTACAAGCATCGTCGTCTGTGGGATAAATCACCTTAAAGGCAGAAGTGCTTGTTTTCAGAAAACTGACAGGTTTTACACGTGTTTTGCTAAAAACATGACACGTTAACCAAACAGTAATGACGAATACCGCCACAACTAAGAACAAAACTCTTTTTAACATTACGTTTAACATTTGAAAAGATCTTCCCAATCACACAGTAAACCTTTCTGTGAAACCAAAGAACTGGGCTGGCGTTCCAAGATTCGTCAGGAAGCATACACTTACGACCAGGAGGATGAAACGCAAACTTCCAAATGAAAAAACATTGAAATTTGAAAATACACCCCCAGATTATCTGGTTTGTGAAGCGTAAACACGGAAGTGTGAACAATAGCGAACATGATACCACAGTCACCTGCCACACTGAAACATGGTATCGAGAACCTTTCACTACAGTGTGTCAGATCGTAGTAACATATTCACACCTACGAGAACTGACAGGAACTCCATAACTGAAAGATATTAAATAAATATACTGAACTGTCGCGGGAGATTTGATGGAAGCTTGAAAGATGCAGTTGTGGTATAGAAATGAGGGTCTGTGGATGTGAGTCTGTGGTGGTATGTTGATGTGAGTCTGTGGTGGTATGGAGATGTGAGTCTGTGGTGGTATGTTGATTTGAGTCCGTGGTGGTATGGAGATGTGAGTCTGTGGTGGTATGGAGATGTGTGTCTGTGGTGGTATGGAGATGTGAGTCTGTGGTGGTATGGAGATGTGAGTCTGTGGTGGCATGGAGATGTGAGTCTGTGGTGGTATGGAGATGTGGGTCTGTGGTGGTATGTTGATGTGGGTCTGTGGTGGTATGTTGATGTGAGTCTGTGGTGGTATGGAGATGTGAGTCTGTGGTATGGAGATGTGAGTCTGTGGTGGTATGGAGTCTGTGGTGGTATGGAGATGTGGGTCTGTGGTGGTATGTTGATGTGGGTCTGTGGTGGTATGGAGATGTGTGTCTGTGGTGGTATGGAGATGTGAGTCTGTGGTGGTATGGAGATGTGAGTCTGTGGTGGCATGGAGATGTGGGTCTGTGGTGGTATGTTGATGTGAGTCTGTGGTGGTATGGAGATGTGGTGGTATGGAGATGTGAGTCTGTAGTGGTATGGAGATGTGGGTCTGTGGTGGTATGTTGATGTGAGTCTGTGGTGGTTTGGAGATGTGGGTCTGTGGTGGTACGTCACTGTAACAGAATGGTATCGGAATTACAGCCACAACACACGCGACACATTGCTCCACACATGAGGGTAGTTTGACTCAAAGGTGAAAGGTAAAAGATAAAAAGTCATCAAAATGGGGATCGTGAGGCTGGAACATAGCAAAACCAATTTGCTTGAGGTTGAAAGATAATAAGTAAAAAATCAAACATAAAAAACATTTAATATGTTATGACATTATAATATTTAATGAAGTTAATTAAACCTCAATATTATTGAAATTTTGTAAAAATAATTTTGTTATCATCCATTAAAACCATTTTCTCAAACTCTTAGTTGGGTTATTGCTCATTAAAATCATTCTCTCAATTGCTAAGTGTTTGGGCTGGTCCATTGTATGAAATAGGTAACAGGCAGGAGATAGGCAGTGCACTGGACCATGAACTTTGTTGTTAAAAGCTGTAGGGGTTATAGGCTTTAAGGGTTATGGGCTGTAGGGGGTTTGGGATGTAGGGGTTTTGGGAGGTTGCCAGGTCGTTTAATCGGTCTGAGCCATTATTACACGCTAAGCTGGGACTGCAGTATAACAAGGGACACAAGCTGCACTGCTGCTGAGCACTGAGGTATGATGATGAAAATACATGTATATCACTTGGAGATGTGTACCCTAAAATCGATCAATTTGACACTTATAGCATATGCAGGAGATTATGCTACATTTGGGATTCCACTTTCTTAGTGAAGTACAGTTTCTAGTACTTTTACTGGATTGAGACCCATGCGGGCGCCTGGCTCTAAGGGTGTGGGTTCGAATCCCGCATGGGACTCAATTCAACGAAAGTACTATAATCTCTGCTTCACTAAGACAATGGAATCCCAAATATAGCATATACTACATTTGACCACTTTCTAAACGACATTGTATAATCAATTAGACACTTGCTAATTTACCCATACGTAAAAAACGCGACAAGGCATAGTGTATGAAGAGCATATATAAATAAACTTTTTATATCAGAGCAAGACATATTGCAAAAATAGGGTTCCTTGTGGTGAGGGAGTACAGGACCAGCCAGCGGTGACACATATATGGAGCTCCCAAACTCTGAAACCAACTGACACTTGAGCTAAGACTTTCTCCCTCTGTTGGACCTTTCAGATGTTATATAAACACCTTCTTCTTTAGAAAATACTACAAAGTCTAACCTAATTCTTCAGCAACGTTATGTACTGAAAACAGTTTTTAATCATTTGCATGTTTTTCATATTGTAACGCTTTGAGCGATATTAATACACACATTATTTATATTATTATTACATAACGTCACTTGTTCTGCCTGGGGTATGTGTGTTCTGCCATTGTAGTTAATATTATCGCGATTATAGAATCAGTGACACTTTTGTAACAGCGCTATATCAGCACAATGCGAGACAGCCAACCTACAACCCATGCTAATGAACATCAGTGGATTCGGCAGATAACGTTTGCTGATATTTGTGTCTGTTTTGTATCTCTGTGCTTAGACGCCGACTGTGAACTTTATCAAACGAGTGTACAGATCACTAGAGCCACGGTTTCATAATACAAGTAATTATTTTTGGGTTGAAACATTTACCATAAAGGACGATGTGGATAAGTTGGTATTCGCTGACAGAGATAAGGGCTTTGTGGTGCTGTGCAGCCACGTTGTCAGCCTGTTTAAACAGTACGTTGCATCAGTACGACAGACGAAACAAGTAGACTCAGCAGCCAAAAAGAGTCAGTACGAATTCAAAATTAGATAGGCACTGTAATCAAATCATTACAGAAATGGACATTATAAGCGGATCGAAAACATTTTTTGTGTACAACATCATGACACATTAACGAATAACTCAGCACAATTTTAAGACATTACGTGAACGTTTGCAGTCCATTCAGATTCTTGACTTCAGTATCTAGTGTGACCACCACAAGCGGCAATAACTGCAGCACAGCGTCTATGCATGGAGTGCACCAATCGATTGATGAAGGCCATTTGCACCTGGAACCACGCTCTTAGAAAGGCCTGGCGCAATAAATCAGCTGTGTTCGGCATTGGTATGACATTATGTAGTCTCCTCTGAATTTCATCCCAAAGATGTTCAATTGGGTTTAAATCAGGACTAAGGGCTGGCCACTGCATAATGTTGACACCGTTCTGCTGTAGGAAGTCCCGTGTTGCTCTGGCAGTATGGGCCCGGGCGTTATCATGCTGGAAAATGTTCCGGTGACGTGCGAAATGTGGTATGACGTGGGGTCTGAGAGCTTAGTCGATGTAGCAGACCGCTGTGATGCCGCCTCCTCTCCCTGGACCAAGGTTCTGGAACACCACAGGACCCACTCTCTGGTTCAGGCCTATTCCACCCCATACCGTGATGCTTGCACCTCCCCAGCAGTCTCTTTCCATAACACATTGGTCTGAGTAACACTGGTCACGTCGTCGCCATATTCTTGTTCTCCCATCTGCAGTTGATACGCAGTACCGACTCTCATCTGTGAACAGAACAGTTCTCCATTGCCTGTATCGCCAGTTTTGGTGTTGTAGGGCAAACTGTAGACGTTCACGCCGATGCAAGGGGTGAGTTTAGGTCCACGGTAAGATCTACGGCAATGGAGGTTCCAGCTGTTAAGACGTTGGCGTACTGTATCAGTACTGATTGGTCTTCCATGTGTTCCCAGTGTCTGGCGTGCTGTTTAGGAAGCCTGCATGAAGGGATTCTGTACATGATGTCACACAACATGGCGGTCTTGTCGTCTTGTGGTCACCCTTGGTCTGCCAGTACGGGGGCGATCATCTGTGGTGTTGGTGGCCCGGAAACGTGTGCTGCAGCCTGTAGATGGTCCGAACGTTGACGAGGAAGTAATTGGCAACGGCTTGTGCAGTGTGGCCAGCTCCAAGTTTTCCTAGCGCCTGGTTCCTCTCAGCTGTCGTGAGTCGAGGCATTCTGCTGACGCTGTAATGGGAATGTTTCAACCAGGTATGGGGGTGCATTTTATAGGGCTGGTCCTTGTGAACAGTGCATCATGGGTTGCATGAAAAACATGGAGAACACCGTACCATCTCCGAGATCAGGTTGCGTTTTTGAGACCATTTCCTGGGTTGCATTCTGAGTTTGGGAAGGAAAGTCTTTGCTCAGGTAAAGTTTGAGATGTTGTCAAAACTATACAATCAAAACATTGAATGAGTTATCCGTTTCTGCGAAGGAAAATTCCAAACTGACATTTCTTTTGCTGCTCAGTATATAAGAACTATACCCACATGGAGATTTGAGCGTTGTAGTGGCACATACCGCTGTCACCTGTTTGGATGGACAGGAAGACAAGCGAATTCCGGAACGCAATGATGGGGTATTATCTTCTGGACTTTCACGATGAACGAACAAAGGCATGTAGTCATGGCCAAGATGTACATGGATGGTTGAACACCTGCTTGGACGTATCGTGACGAAATCACTATCAGAAAGCACAATATTTACCAGGACTGACTCATCAATGCACAATGTCTCTCAGTGTCAAAGGCGTCGTTTGCCGACCTAGGAAATAGACAGATCCATACACATGCTTCAAACTGGTTGCATGTGTTTAGAGTCAGCTGAATGTGATCAGCGTGCAGGCAGTCGGTGTACCTTTGGGTCAGCTACACAGAGACATGCAGGTGGTCGACAGCGTTTCACCACACAGCTGAAAGTGATGTTTCTCCGATTACAGCAAGACAGACCCACTTCGTGACTACAGCCACACTCAGAAATTACCTGCGGAACGCCAACAGCATGAACGCGCTTTTGCTCAGTGCATAACCTTTCCCATGGGGCTTGTCTCGTCATTAAGGTCATTCATTACAGACCGACATGTTTCATAGGGGTCAATAAGTTTGAGTACCAGATGTCAGCATTCCGTTTTGTGGAAGACACTGTGGCTGAGTGGGTTAGATCACTGACTATGTGTGGTGGCGATTAAGTGAGGGTTCGACTCCAGGATAGGAATCCCCTTCTTCACTGTTACGAGAATGCGTACTTTACTAAAACAGTAACATATATTACATTTCACTACTTTCTAATTGCTATTGTGTATGTGTGCAGTTTTGTTCAGAGTCAACAGTGGTCTGTATTCAGATGTTTGGGATTGAAGAGTACCCTGGAAGCTTCTACAACAGCAGACATAAATGCACGTGGATATGGTGTGCAATGCCAACATGAGCAAAATATGGCAGCGATACCCCAACAGTGACATTCGAGGATTCAACACAACAGACAACACCGCTGGCAGGACTGTCAGCATGAAGATATCAGATCCCTCCAAATAGTCTTGTTGCCCTCTTCCAGAACAGTTCAGTACAAACATAACACACAAAATCTCACTTATATATTTATTGACATATTTCACAAATCAACAAAACAACAAATGAACACAACAATGTCACACATGACACAGTACATGGTGTACACTTCTCTGCTGGTGCTTAAGTACATCACATACAATGTTCAACGATGTCAGTAGGCCATCGGCACTAGCATTGTCTTGTCCCGCCTCCATACCGGACAACCCGTGGCGTTATAGCAATATATATCACAGCACTCATAGGGAAATAATATAGTTATATCTTCCAGACTAGGGACAACCATAATCTTACTTCATGGGTCAACTGAGTATGTGTACCTGCATTTTCAAATTACATAAATCATTTACGGTTTCATTTTCATTTCTGGATTCCGTTTAAAACTATTGTTTCTGATTTGAAGCTACTGGAAGGAACACTGCAGTCATTTCTCAAAGCTATTGGGAAATCACACCCAGGCCAACTGGTGTTTGATACCATGAGCATCACCCTGCACCCTTGAGGTGTTTTGACAGCAGTTGGCCGCATCAATCTGAGGACATTATCTACTTCTTCAACTTACAAAGAGCAGGGGACGACCTCATGGGACACCTGCATTGAGTGTCCGGCAAACAAATGCCACCAAAGTCAGTGATAGTTGGGCTAAACGAACAGCTTGCCATTGTAATACAGGACCTTGAAACACTTGTTCTCACCAAACAAAAACAAGATCTTACAGAGAACTTCGACAAGTGAGATTAACCAAGAAACTATTCTCTGCGAGATTTATCCATACATTTGAGGGTAATTAAATATACAATATTATAGATGACATCGCCATCATCATCTGGTCCTTGTGGTTGTCTTGACAACCAGCATAGAGTCGGCCCCTAGAAATAACTGAAGATATACCAACGTGGCCTTTACTTCTACTGTTTGTAGAAGTCGAAAACTGCTGGTCAGACGAATATGGAACCAGATCATGATGCTTGATCTAAGAAGAACTATTACTGAGCTAAAAAAGAACAACTATTACTGAGCTGTAATATTGATGTTACTGAGGACTTGCCCTACCATAACCGAGTGAGAGAGACGGTTGGAACACGCCACATCACATCGTCAGAATTGTCCCTCACACATTGTACGCAGCGAGGAAACCAAACCTGGTCACTAGCATGGTAAGCTGACACCTGTACAACCGCTACCCACTGCCACTGAATGCCACAGACATGCAGTTCTTGTGCACCAGTGTGCTGCCTCAAGGTGCAGGGATATGCTGTGTTCCTAAACATAGCTTAAATATACGCTGCAACCAGGAAACAACCCTCACGGTTTCTGTTCTAACAATATTCGTTTACCTTCACCAATTAAAATCAACTTATAAGCCTAAGGCATAAAAAGTGTTGAGTCTTAAGTTCTACATCTCTCCGTTCCACAGGTAATTAGACTGTAGAGCTTTCCATTTTCATGTTTACAGAAGGATTGTATGTGTCTCAGGAATATTCACTCCAGAAGGATTGTATGTGTGTCTCAGGAATATCCACTTCAGAATGATTGTATGTCGGTTTAAGGAATGTTTGGCTCCGAAATTTGAACATTTGAAGCCTCTGGCTTACAGAATGTTTTCCAAAAGAAACTGCCGCGTATCAAATACTCAGTAATACCCAGAAATCAAACAATGCACAGTGGTTACTTTCTGATTCTATCAACCAACACAAAAGAACAAACCTTTAGGAATCCTCATAATGCCTAAAAACTCCATTTCAGAAAACTTACATCAAATTAAATGTTTTAGAAAAGAGAGACGTTTTTGATAAGATGACGCCTGTTAGAAAGATTTCATAGAATCGTTTTAGCAAAACAGAATTACTGCTATCATGTACTAGAGTATTCAGAGTGACTTACTAAACTTTTACTCCGTTTTCATGACAATGATTTAGACTGTATTTGTGTACGTCTTTAAAAATACTACCAAGGAACTGAATAAGAGTGAATTGAACTTTCAGTACCATTTTCACACCTTCTAGTGCTTCACATGAACACAAAACCAAGTTGACTCTAACACTTACTACTTCTGCCCCAGTATCTACCCCACAACACACTACCATCAGTGCACCTCGGGGCAGTTTCTTACAAATAAATACATGATTGTGTTCACCATTCTAGCCTGTACAATCAACTTGTAGCATAATTTCATATATCACATCTATTTACATCTAGGGTTCAAAATATATATGTATTCATTCTGGAAGTAAAATATATTGGCCATTGATCTATCTACAACACATAATAGCTTGTATATAACACAGAGTTGTGAAGGTACTAGACAAAACTAGTTGTAAAGAACATAGCACTGCATATTTTGTCTAAGTTTGCAAAAGGTGACTTGGGGTTTAAGAGAACATTTGACATTCAATCACAAATAATGTTTTGATTTTAAAATTAAACTGACAAGAACATCACAATATTCCCAAACCATACATGTTGGGATTGAAACTCAGTGTATAAATAAATGTATACATAGATAAGAAACAGATGTATAATAAAACAAAAACAATTAAACAAAGATAAATAATCCATATTAGATATAGGAATGTATGCGTGGAATCAACAGTCAACATTTCAAGTTCAGTTAAATGCAAACTGGTTGGAAAGAGATAACCAAACGTGGTGACGACATTGTTCGTGAAACAATACATTTCTGTACACAACACGGACTGGCTTTGTTCACTGGACACATGAGGAAGGTCGGCGGGATATGGTCAGCTCGGTCACATGACCTCAGTCACATGTTATTACATCACATCTGGTGCTGACAGTGTTTCCGTGAAAACACAAGACAGTTTGTTCCATGTCAATAGTATGAATTACAAGGTGCCATTTTTTTTCAACTTATATGATAATATAAAAAACTAGGCAATGAGACAGTTAACAAGCCTTGAGAACAACACTGTAGAGTCCTGTGTGTTGTTTATGCTAATGATGTTAGTGGAGAGCTGGGTTAAGCCTACAGTAGGCGCAGTGCACTGGAAAACCAATGAAACGAAAGGATGCTGCAACATACTCTTTATAATAATGTGTTGTAGATCTCACCGTATACAATACAATACAATATATGTACAATGTATGATCCTCTGTGACCTTGAGACAATACTGTGTGAAACGATAACTCAACAATATTCCGTCTTGTGTGGACACCACCGAGACTGATGAATGAGACACATCGCAATATCATGTTTGTGAATCACATGTACTCAACAGCTACCACAGAAAACCACAAGTATATTAACCCACATTATCCTGAAACAGAAGAGGCGGCTACACTCTGAATTACGCCATGTGAATGAGCTGTTGCATGTGAATGAGCTGTTGCTGATGTAAACTGTGTGTGATACAAGCACTACTTTCTGATAGGCTGATTCATAAACTGTGTGATACAAGCACTACTTTCTGATAGGCTGATTCATAAACTGTGTGATACAAGCACTACTTTCTGATAGGCTGATTCATAAACTGTGTGATACAAGCACTAGTTTCTGAAAGGCTGATTCATAAACTGTGTGATACAAGCACTACTTTCTGAAAGGCTGATTCATAAACTGTGTGATACAAGCACTACTTTCTGATAGGCTGATTCATAAACTGTGTGATACAAGCACTACTTTCTGATAGGCTGATTCATAAACTGTGTGATACAAGCACTACTTTCTGATAGGCTGATTCATAAACTGTGTGATACAAGCACTACTTTCTGATAGGCAGATTCATAAACTGTGTGATACAAGCACTACTTTCTGATAGGCTGATTCATAAACTGTGTGATACAAGCACTACTTTCTGATAGGCTGATTCATAAACTGTGTGATACAAGCACTACTTTCTGATAGGCTGATTCATAAACTGTGTGATACAAGCACTACTTTCTGATAGGCTGATTCATAAACTGTGTGATACAAGCACTACTTTCTGATAGGCTGATTCATAAACTGTGTGATACAAGCACTACTTTCTGATAGGCAGATTCATAAACTGTGTGATACAAGCACTACTTTCTGATAGGCTGATTCATAAACTGTGTGATACAAGCACTACTTTCTGATAGGCTGATTCAGTTGAAACCATGGGGACATGTAGTGTGATAATGGTAGTGTGATAATGGTAGTGTGACAATGGTGTTTCTTTGGATGGAACTGAATGCATTGTTAAGTGCTGTTGAACATTATCTACCCAGCAGATTGATCACTGCCCTATATTTGTACACAGAAAGTATGGATAGGTCACAAATTGGAAACATACAAACTGTGTGTATCTGATGTGGCTTCAGCCGTGTCGTCAAGAATGTGTGATGTGATGATTGTGGGAAGATAACTCAGAATAGGACATGATGTACACTGACCACATTGGTGCAGCCAATAAGCCAAGACATGCTGCTGACACACCAAGGATCCTGATTCCAATCTATGCTTTGGCATATCCAGATACACCTAAGGGAGGCAACCCATTATAAAACTGTACTTTGATATCCGTGAAATTGTGTTTACTCAGATTAATACTAAAGAAAAAACTAAAATAATTAAACAATAAAAAAATCGATTATATTTTCTTCATGTGTACATATATGGTGCAATATTTGATGATAATGAAATAATCTCTTTGCAAGATTCCCCTGCACATTAAGGTAAATAGATTGGTAGAGTCCATTTGAACACTGGGGGTGGGTGGGTAATATCCAATTATATTTTGGCACATGTCTACCAATCTGACAAGTAAAGGAACAAATTACACAACACTACACAACTATCACACAGCCCCTGCCAACAACCGCCCTGTACACTGCAGGGAACTTGGTGGAGGAGAGCTTCAGGCAATCAAAGTACACGTTATTGCCATTGTCAGAAATGTTCACACCTCTCGTTGCTCTTTCTAAATCATCACATAAAATTGATTTAGCATAATTGATTTGCATTAAGACACAGGAATAATCTACTCACTATCACAAATTCTTACTCTGCTAGTCCTACCAACAAGAAATGATTAGTTTAAACAGTGACGTCTCTAACATACAAGTACACACTTCTATATGACAAGTCGAACTTATACACTTGCTGGCTGTTTAGTGCAGATGCTTAAATCTCCTCTGAGACTAAACCTGGGTCACACTGCCAAGTCAACTTCCCCAAGAGATTCACCTTCCTCGTATTGCCCTGCTCGGACATGAATTCAAGAACCAGGGTAGTGCAATCAGGCACCTCTAGCCTGGACATGCATAAACGCATCACCTGGTCAAGTCATGCAGTCAAGCATCTCCCCGTTTGGACATGCATGAAAGTATCACCTGATTATGATTCAATGTAGAAAAAGATGCACTATGATACTAACAGTAAACTTGCAGTGGGAGGAGGATAAAGCCTATGCTATGGTCATGTCCTGAATAGCTCCTTGGGGGATTACAGAATCCTTCAGAGATCCCTACACAGGTATTCCAGTCAATGCTGAAGGACCATTAGCGAAGGAGTGGATTGGAATGTCACTGTATGTTTGAATTATTTCCACTTATGGTCAAAAGACTTTTCTATGTGATAAGATTGATATCGCTAAGTCCTGCCACACATAATCTTACATGGTTACTCCAGGTCCTTGTCCGACATGTCAGCACATCCTCTCTTGTCCGACACGTCAGCACATCCTCTCTTGTCCGACACGTCAGCACATCCTCTCTTGTCCGACACGTCAGCACATCCTCTCTTGTCCGACACGTCAGCACATCCTCTCTTGTCTGACACGTCAGCACATTCTCACTTTTTCTACACGCCAGCACATCCTAACTTGTCAATGAATCAATGAATACGATTAAAACTTTAGCTCTTACATGGATATAATCGGTTCATTCTCGTACTACAGAAATCCTGAAGATTGTATCATGGTATCACCTCACACATTACTGGTCGAACCCTTTTGATTCCGTCAGAAGCCATTGGTTGATGACTGACAAGTCCACAACCCTAACTGGTGCAATAGAACCTCCTCAGCTGCTCCAGACATGTCAAGCCATCAACAGATAGCAGTTACCGAGTTCAACACATTCCTGTTTAACATCTGAGGTAGAGCTGAACCAATCCCATCATCTGGGAAGCTGATTCCACCTGGAGCCACGGCTGTCCAAACCAGAACAACTCACGCCTGTATGGAAGTGATGACATCTCTCCAACAGCTCGGTCAGTCTATTTGACAATATACATACTTTTAAGGTTAACAATTTCAACACAGTCAGAGTGATCACTTCTACATTTGATCGTGTTGCTACAACAAGAATGGATGTGTGTATGCACAGTTGGTGGGTCTCCATTTGGGGCAGTGTAGTCTGGCAAGGAGCTGAGGGCCCACAGACGTAGATCTACTTGTTTTCTATCAGAGTCTGTAGACGCAGTACCAACTCCCGGGATATCTTCAACACCTGCTTAGCATTATGTCTCTCTGCCATTTCTGAAATAAAACCATTCATGTTTTAAGAATCATGTCCCTTTACAAAATCAGACCACGTGATCTTTAACCATTTCAACACTTGCTTGTTTACATCATTCTGCCATTAATGAATACACACAATCATCATTCATTCATCTATAACCTGGGGAACTTGGAATCTCACCATTGAAGAACTTGATGATGTCGGTGAAGTCCATGTTGTTGTCCAAGATGATGTCTCTGTAGTACTGGACAAGTGCCAGCGCGATGAACAACACAAAGTGGGTGGAGCTGATGTGTTTGGCTGCCCAGATGATCTCCCACACCGAAAACACGTCCTCGTACACCAGCTCTGTAGCAGACAATGCGTGTTACAGGCATTTCACATCACATCATTTACCCTCAAACACGTCCTCGTACACCTGCTCTGTAATAGTCAATGCGTGTTACAGGCATTTCACATCACATCATCTACCCTCAAACACGTCCTCGTACACCAGCTCTGTAGCAGACAATGCGTGTTACAGGCATTTCACATCACATCATTTACCCTCAAACACGTCCTCGTACACCAGCTCTGTAGCAGACAATGCGTGTTACAGGCATTTCACATCACATCATTTACCCTCAAACACGTCCTCGTACACCAGCTCTGTAGCAGACAATGCGTGTTACAGGCATTTCACATCACATCATTTACCCTCAAACACGTCCTCGTACACCAGCTCTGTAGCAGACAATGCGTGTTACAGGCATTTCACATCACATCATTTACCCTCAAACCGTCCTCGTTACACCTGCTCTGTAGCAGACAATGCGTGTTACAGGCATTTCACATCACATCATTTACCCTCAAACACGTCCTCGTACACCTGCTCTGTAACAGTCAATGCGTGTTACAGGCATTTCACATCACATCATCTACCCTCAAACACGTCCTCGTACACCAGCTCTGTAGCAGACAATGCGTGTTACAGGCATTTCACATCACATCATTTACCCTCAAACACGTCCTCGTACACCTGCTCTGTAACAGTCAATGCGTGTTACAGGCATTTCACATCACATCATCTACTCTCAAACCGTCCTTTACCCAGCTCTGTAATAGTCAATCGTGTTACAGGCATTTCACATCACATCATTTACCCTCAAACCGTCCTCGTACACCAGCTCTGTAATAGTCAATGCGTGTTACAGGCATTTCACATCACATCATTTACCCTCAAACAAACCGTCCAGCTCTGTAATAGTCAATGCGTGTTACAGGCTTTCACATCAATTTACCCTCAAACACGTGTTACACCTGCTCTGTAATAGTCAATTGTTACAGGCATTTCACATCACATCATTTACCCTCAAACATGTCCTCGTTACCTGTACACAATGCTTACAGGCATTTCACATCATATCATCACTCTCAAACATCGTCCTCGTTACCAGCTCTGTATTAGTCAATGCATCACATCATTTCACATCACATCATTTACCCTCAAACATGTCCTCGTACACCAGCTCTGTAATAGTCAATGCTTGTTACAGGCATTTCACATCACATCATTTACCCTCAAACACGTCCTCGTACACCTGCTCTGTAATAGTCAATGCTTGTTACAGGCATTTCACATCACATCATTTTACCCTCAAACATGTCCTCGTGACGCCAGCTCTGTAATAGTCAATGCATGTTACAGGCATTTCACATCACATCATTTACCCTCAAACACGTCCTCGTACACCTGCTCTGTAATAGTCAATGCGTGTTACAGGCATTTCACATCACATCATTTACTCTCAAACACGTCCTCGTACACCAGCTCTGTAATAGTCAATGCGTGTTACAGGCATTTCACATCACATCATTTACTCTCAAACACGTCCTCGTACACCAGCTCTGTAATAGTCAATGCGTGTTACAGGCATTTCACATCACATCATTTACCCTCAAACACGTCCTCGTACACCAGCTCTGTAATAGTCAATGCGTGTTACAGGCATTTCACATCACATCATTTACTCTCAAACACGTCCTCGTACACCTGCTCTGTAATAGTCAATGCGTGTTACAGGCATTTCACATCACATCATTTACCCTCAAACATCTAAAATGTCTGAACAAAAGATTCCCTTTCCCAAAAGATCGAACTTTCTAATCTGCCAATCAGAACAGCATATTTGATTTCTGTACCTCAAAATATGAAGCTAAACATCCAGTTCTGAATGTCAATAATAAAGGCAGTGTCATCATGTGGATGTGGATAATGTAATCAGACTGTGTCCTCAATGAAGACATCTATACCCAAACCGAGAACCACGGAGGGAATATATGAGGTCTTGGCATTTCTGTCAAAACCTAACTTCAAACTGTGAATGTAACTAATGAAGGATAACTCTGTTAGCAAGATGCCTCAAGAACACATGCATTCTTTGTTTACTTTGGGCAGTCACCTGACACTATCTCCTCAGATGGGAGTATTAAATCATCATGTGAGATTGTGACTTTTGTTTAGGGAAGCTGCAGTCAATATCAATCCAGCTCTATCACAGACACCTGTACATAGTTCAGTCTGGACCTGACAAACCAGTGATTACTGTCTCAGTTGTGGTTTTGGTTTGGTTGTTGTTTAACACTGCACTCAGCAATATTTCAATATGGCAGTAGTCTGTAAATAACCGAGTCTGGACCAGACAATCCAGTGATCAACATCATGAGCATCGATCTACACAACTGGGATACGATGACATGTCAACCAAGTCAGCGAACCTGACTGCTAATCCCGTTAGTCGCCTTTTACGACAAGCATGGCTGGCTGAAGACCAATTCTAACCCTGATCTTCACGGGTTCTGATTCTCCATTTGAACAGTGATTGCCATTCTGCTCCTGATACCGAGGGACTGGGATTGTTTCTAGGATTGGTACTCTTTCGAGGGTTGGGATAGTAATGTGTGCAGCTGAGTACAGGCTTATCAAACATGATGAAAGGAACAAACCTCTCTTGAAGTCGAGGAGGAACCATCGGTAGCAGAAGTAGAAGTGTGTGTAGTCTCCGTGTTGGTGCATATGCTCAAACAGCTCAGAGTCCAGGATCTGGGGGATAGGAAACACCTGGTGTGAGTCAGGCTCATGTCTACGATGTAAACATTGCTCTAATAACTGATCAAAGAACTGCTCTAGTGAGCACAGGAATGAGTCAAGGAATGAATACCTCTCTGCTCTAGTGAGCACAGGAATGAATACCTCTAGTGAGCACAGGAATGAATACCTCTAGTGAGCACAGGAATGAATACCTCTAGTGAGCACAGGAATGAATACCTCTAGTGAGCACAGGAATGAATACCTCTAGTGTGCACAGGAATGAATACCTCTAGTGAGCACAGGAATGAATAGTGCACAGGAATGAATACCTCTAGTGAGCACCAGGAGTCTCAGCAGTGACACCGCTCCAAATAGTCAAGTGTGCTGGCAAAGTGCTGTAAGCACCTGAGACAACTATCTCACCTGTATGAGGGAACGCATGTTGTCAAAGTGCTGTTAGTACCTGAGACAACTATCTCCCCTGTATGAGGGAGTGCATGATGTCAAAGTGCTGTTAGCACCTGAGACAACTATCTCACCTGTATGAGTGAACCCATGTTGTCAAAGTGCTGTTAGTACCTGAGACAACTATCTCACCTGTATGAGGGAGCGCATGTTGTCAAAGTGCTGTTAGTACCTGAGACAACTATCTCACCTGTATGAGGGAGCGCATGCTGTCAAAGCGCTGTTAGTACCTGAGACAACTATCTCACCTGTATGAGGGAGCGCATGTTGTCAAAGTGCTGTTAGTACCTGAGACAACTATCTCACCTGTATGAGGGAGCGCATGCTGTCAAAGTGCTGTTAGCACCTGAGACATCTATCTCACCTGTATGAGGGAGCGCATGTTGGCGAAGTGTGTGTCCATCGCACCTCCATGGGGGAAATTGGAGGACATCCTCTTCATCAACTCACAGAAGCAGCTGTACGTTAATGCCTCTATAAAACAAAACAAAATGGAATGAGGTCTTCATTGGACAACCATTGCACAATCAGCACAGAGCATGGTGGCAAGAGCGCTGACAAGAAGACCACGTGTTTGAAGACCAAGTCCCCCGCCACTAAAGAATGGAATATTCATAACATATTTACTACTTTTAATTTTTTGCTCACATACAAGATGCTTGAAATCACTGGCGTCTACATAATCACCCAATGTAGGCTGTCAACATAATTGAAGACATTTGGTGCAATGTTTTATGAGATATCGCGTATACATAAGTTTGAAAAGTGGTCAAAGTGTCGTGGTGACCTTGAAAATAAGGTCAAGGTCACTAATTCGACTGGTGTCTGGGTCATCCCTCAATGTAGGCTGTCACCAAATTTGAAGACATTGGGTAAGACAGTTCATGAGGTATCGCGTTAACAAGAGTTTGAAAAGTGGTCAAAGTGTCGTGACCTTGAAAATAAGGTCAAGGTCACTAAATCGACTGGTGTCTGGGTAATCCCCAAATGTAGGCTGTCACCATATTGGGTACAACTGTTCATGAGATATCGAGTTAACAAGAATCGTACAGACGTACGGATGCCGCTGAATACATAGTCCCCCGTTCCGCCTTGCAGCGGGGTACAATGAGGACAGTCTAACAGTCATGGGCTAAAATATTGATTCAATAAAAGAATTATTTAGCATTTATTCTCTGAAGTAAACACGATTAGAACAAATTAAACTTCTGAATTTATCTCATCCATTAGATGTAAGGATTATGAGTGAAACATTTAGTGTTGAAGCCACAGATTGTTTTCTGTACTGACCGTCATCCAGGATGACAAGAAGCGGCGCCACCAGGTCACACATGCCCTGCACGTAGCCCACCTCCAGGTGCTGCCACACATACCTGCAGGCGAGGGAAGAAGATCAACACTTGGACACAGTTCCAGTATATTGTCATCACTAATTGGTTTGTTGTAATATCACAGTTAGATCACAGTGTTGAACAAATGAGCCGTTGCCAAGCCAACCATGAACATGAAACAGTAGCAGCAGCACCACCACCACCACTCACGCTATCAGGCACGATCAGAGACAATCATACACAGAGCACATCAATACCCAATACATTTCAATCACTCTCACATGATCAAATTCATGCAAACAGTTTATTCATTGTTCAACGTACGTGCACATGATGTTTCTCAGCTTCTCCAGGTTCTCGTGGGTGAAGTACCAGTAGTTGCGGTCACATCTCTGGACGTCCTTGTCGATGCGGTGCAGGTTGAGAGCCACGGTATCCAGCAGCTCCGGCTTGGGAGGAAGACGACAGACGTGATTAACATACATTGTAGGATGGTGTAAATGAACAAATTTGTTTCCTTGGAACATGAGGACCGACTCATTGTGTAGACAAAGCTGATTCAGTATCCAGGAAGTATAATGATTGCAAGACTGACTGACTGAGTTTTGGTTTTACGCTGCTTTTAGCAATATTCCAGCAACATCACGGCGGGGGACACCAGAAATGGGCTTCACACATTGTACCCATGTGGGGTTCGAACCCGGGTCTTCGGCGTGACGAGCCAATGCTTTAACCACTAGGCTACCCCACCGCCCCATGATTGCGAGAGGTCAATGAAGAAGTCTTTAATCTTGACAATTTCAGAGAGAGCAACACTGACCCAATTAACAAGGTTTAGGTAACTGAAATACGTAGCGATGACTAATGGCTGCAACATGGGAGACGGTGTGGCATGACCAGCCTGGGCTCTGGTCCACACAGTGATCTTTGTGATATAATAATTGAAAGTCTGTGTTAAAGTATGGGAGTTACAATCAGGATGCCAAGGTTACTCACACAGTAGATGCCACCATTTGAGGCAGGAGAGGCTGGGGATATGAGGGACTCCTTGGATGCAGACAGGTGCCGACTGCTCTCTGAAATAACAATGTCAGTCAGTAAACCCCCAGCCTGTTGTTTCAAGCTGAACAGTCCACTATCTGTATCCATTATACTGACGGATATTGACAAGGATGTACGACACTGCAATATCACAAAAATCAAAAAAGGAAGTAATGAAAGCCTCAAAGGACCAATGACATATCTGGTACATAGATCTGCCAGACATGGGTTGCTGAAGGTCAGTGATATACCATCTGATGCACAGATCTGCTAGACATGGGTTGCTGAAGGTCAGTGATATACCATCTGGTACACAGATCTGCCAGACATGGGTTGCTGAAGGTCAGTGATATACCATCTGGTACACAGATCAGCTAGACATGGGTTGCTGAAGGTCAGTGATATACCATCTGGTACACAGATCTGCCAGACATGGGTTGCTGAAGGTCAGTGATATACCATCTGGTACACAGATCTTCCAGACATGGGTTGCTGAAGGTCAGTGATATACCATCTGGTACACAGATCTGCCAGACATGGGTTGCTGAAGGTCAGTGATATACCATCTGGTACACAGATCTGCCAGACATGGGTTGCTGAAGGTCAGTGATATACCATCTGGTACACAGATCTGCCAGACATGGGTTGCTGAAGGTCAGTGATATACCATCTGGTACACAGATCTGCCAGACATGTCAGGATTGCTGAAGGTCAGTGATATACCATCTGGTACACAGATCTGCCAGACATGGGTTGCTGAAGGTCAGTGATATACCATCTGGTACACAGATCTGCCAGATATACCATCTGTTGCACAGATCTGCCAGGTTGCTGAAGGTCAGTGATATACCATCTGATGCACAGATCTGCCAGACATGGGTTGCTGAAGGTCAGTGATATACCATCTGGTACACAGATCTGCCAGACATGGGTTGCTGAAGGTCAGTGATATACCATCTGGTACACAGATCAGCTAGACATGGGTTGCTGAAGGTCAGTGATATACCATCTGGTACACAGATCAGCCAGACATGGGTTGCTGAAGGTCAGTGATATACCATCTGGTACACAGATCTGCCAGACATGGGTTGCTGAAGGTCAGTGATATACCATCTGGTACACAGATCTGCCAGACATGGGTTGCTGAAGGTCAGTGATATACCATCTGGTACACAGATCTTCCAGACATGGGTTGCTGAAGGTCAGTGATATACCATCTGATGCACAGATCTGCCAGACATGGGTTGCTGAAGGTCAGTGATATACCATCTGGTACACAGATCTGCCAGACATGGGTTGCTGAAGGTCAGTGATATACCATCTGGTACACAGATCTGCCAGACATGGGTTGCTGAAGGTCAGTGATAGACCATCTGGTACACAGATCTGCCAGACATGGGTTGCTGAAGGTCAGTGATAGACCATCTGGTACACAGATCTGCCAGACATGGGTTGCTGAAGGTCAGTGATATACCATCTGGTACACAGATCAGCCTTTACATGGGGTGCTGAAGGTCAGTGATATACCATCTGGTACACAGATCTGCCAGACATGGGTTGCTGAAGGTCAGTGATATACCATCTGGTACACAGATCTGCCAGACATGGGTTGCTGAAGGTCAGTGATATACCATCTGGTACACAGATCAGCCAGACATGGGTTGCTGAAGGTCAGTGATATACCATCTGGTACACAGATCAGCTAGACATGGGTTGCTGAAGGTCAGTGATATACCATCTGGTACACAGATCTGCCAGACATGGGTTGCTGAAGGTCAGTGATATACCATCTGATGCACAGATCTGCCAGACATGGGTTGCTGAAGGTCAGTGATATACCATCTGGTACACAGATCTGCCAGACATGGGTTGCTGAAGGTCAGTGATATACCATCTGGTACACAGATCTGCCAGACATGGGTTGCTGAAGGTCAGTGATATACCATCTGGTACACAGATCTGCCAGACATGGGTTGCTGAAGGTCAGTGATATACCATCTGGTACACAGATCTGCCAGACATGGGTTGCTGAAGGTCAGTGATATACCATCTGATGCACAGATCTGCCAGACATGGGTTGCTGAAGGTCAGTGATAGACCATCTGGTACACAGATCTGCCAGACATGGGTTGCTGAAGGTCAGTGATATACCATCTGGTACACAGATCTGCCAGACATGGGTTGCTGAAGGTCAGTGATATACCATCTGGTACACAGATCTGCCAGACAGACATGGGTTGCTGAAGGTCAGTGATAGACCATCTGGTACACAGATCTGCCAGACATGGGTTGCTGAAGGTCAGTGATAGACCATCTGGTACACAGATCAGCTAGACATGGGTTGCTGAAGGTCAGTGATATACCATCTGGTACACAGATCAGCCAGACATGGGTTGCTGAAGGTCAGTGATATACCATCTGGTACACAGATCTGCCAGACATGGGTTGCTGAAGGTCAGTGATATACCATCTGGTACACAGATCTGCCAGACATGGGTTGCTGAAGGTCAGTGATATACCATCTGGTACACAGATCTTCCAGACATGGGTTGCAGAAGGTCAGTGATAGACCATCTGGTACACAGATCAGACAGACATGGGTTGCTGAAGGCCAGTGATATACCATCTGGTACACAGATCTGCCTTACATGGGTTGCTGAAGGTCAGTGATATACCATCTGGTACACAGATCTGCCAGATATGGGTTGCTGAAGGTCAGTGATATACCATCTGGTACACAGATCTGCCAGACATGGGTTGCTGAAGGTCAGTGATATACCATCTGGTACACAGATCAGCCAGACATGGGTTGCTGAAGGTCAGTGATATACCATCTGGTACACAGATCAGCTAGACATGGGTTGCTGAAGGTCAGTGATAGACCATCTGGTACACAGATCAGCTAGACATGGGTTGCTGAAGGTCAGTGATATACCATCTGGTACACAGATCAGCCAGACATGGGTTGCTGAAGGTCAGTGATATACCATCTGGTACACAGATCTGCCAGACATGGGTTGCTGAAGGTCAGTGATATACCATCTGGTACACAGATCTGCCAGACATGGGTTGCTGAAGGTCAGTGATATACCATCTGGTACACAGATCTTCCAGACATGGGTTGCAGAAGGTCAGTGATATACCATCTGATGCACAGATCTGCCAGACATGGATTGCTGAAGGTCAGTGATATACCATCTGGTACACAGATCTGCCAGACATGGGTTGCTGAAGGTCAGTGATATACCATCTGGTACACAGATCTGCCAGACATGGGTTGCTGAAGGTCAGTGATAGACCATCTGGTACACAGATCTGCCAGACATGGGTTGCTGAAGGTCAGTGATAGACCATCTGGTACACAGATCAGCCAGACATGGGTTGCTGAAGGTCAGTGATATACCATCTGGTACACAGATCAGCCTTACATGGGTTGCTGAAGGTCAGTGATATACCATCTGGTACACAGATCTGCCAGACATGGGTTGCTGAAGGTCAGTGATATACCATCTGGTACACAGATCTGCCAGACATGGGTTGCTGAAGGTCAGTGATATACCATCTGGTACACAGATCAGCTAGACATGGGTTGCTGAAGGTCAGTGATATACCATCTGGTACACAGATCAGCTAGACATGGGTTGCTGAAGGTCAGTGATATACCATCTGGTACACAGATCAGCTAGACATGGGTTGCTGAAGGTCAGTGATATACCATCTGGTACACAGATCAGCCAGACATGGGTTGCTGAAGGTCAGTGATATACCATCTGATGCACAGATCTGCCAGACATGGGTTGCTGAAGGTCAGTGATATACCATCTGATGCACAGATCTTCCAGACATGGGTTGCTGAAGGTCAGTGATATACCATCTGGTACACAGATCTGCCAGACATGGGTTGCTGAAGGTCAGTGATATACCATCTGGTACACAGATCAGCCAGACATGGGTTGCTGAAGGTCAGTGATATACCATCTGGTACACAGATCAGCCAGACATGGTTTGCTGAAGGAAATCCAAATGCAGATCTTCATGGGACAAACGTGGCTCTCATGGAATCAATACATTGGTATATATGTTTGTCTAGAGTGAGTGAGTGCCCCTTTAACTAGTTCATCAACATATCAGCTTGATATAGGGGGAAGCATGGAGCGGTCTTACCTTTTTTTCATGAAACCCAGAAAACCCACAAGCACAGGCTTTGTGCTGACAAAACTAGAAACATGATCTGGGACTTAAACCCAGACATTGATTTCAGGCATGAGTAAGGGACATAACTCTTCACAGCATATTGTGGCACTAAGCCTGAGTTGCCCATGATCAATCTTTGCCCTGGGACTGTTGTTTACAGTACAGAGACAAACACATAGCAATAACCAGCAATAATCACATTGACTGTCAAGAAGATATTCGAGTAAAAAATATGAGAAAAATGTTTTCCAAACAGACATATATAAAGAAGCAAAACATTGACAGATAGTTTGGGAAATAACAGTGAATTTGTTGAGAGGTTGAGAAAATAGCCGCCAGAAGCGAGACAGGGTGTGTGCCATGTGTCTGTTGTGAGGCGTTATAGAACCATGTAACAAAGACCAGATTACTTACAAACAGTGTCAATATGAACGTCCTCCAGGACAGAGGATAATATTTCACACATAAATGCCATACAAGTTCAAATATTGGAATAAGTTGTGCTTTGAAGATTACATTTGACAATGCAGTAAAAGAACATAAAGGAACAGCTTGAGATTGTTGGGCCGGAAAAGCTTGGTATGCTTCACTATTAGTTCTATATATGCTTCACCTTTAGTTTTATGTATTTCACCTTTAGTTTGATGTAACAGTTGCTTCTATGTGCTTCATTTCTATATATGCTTCACCTTTAGTTTTATGTATTTCACCTTTAGTTTGATGTAACAGTATGCTTCACCTTTAGTTCTATATGTGCTTCACTATTAGTTCTATGTGCTTCACCATTAGTTCTATGTATTTCACCTTTAGTTCTATATGTGCTTCACTGTTAGTTCCATGTATGCTTCACTATTAGTTCTATGTATGCTTCACTATTAGTTCTATGTATGCTTCACTATTAGTTCTATGTATGCTTCACCATTAGTTCTATGTATGCTTCACTATTAGTTCTATGTATGCTTCACTATTAGTTCTATGTATGCTTCACTATTAGTTCTCTATGTGCTTCACCATTAGTTCTATGTGGTTCACTATTAGTTCTATGTTCTATGTGCTTCACCATTAGTTCTATGTATGCTTCACTATTAGTTCTATGTATGCTTCACCATTAGTTCTATGTGCTTCACCATTAGTTCTATGTGGTTCACTATTAGTTCTATGTATGCTTCACCATTAGTTCTATGTATGCTTCACCATTAGTTCTATGTTCTATATGTGCTTCACCATTAGTTCTATGTGCTTCACCATTAGTTCTATGTGGTTCACTATTAGTTCTATGTATGCTTCACCATTAGTTCTATGTGCTTCACTATTAGTTCTATGTATGCTTCACCATTAGTTCTATGTGCTTCACTATTAGTTTCACTATTAGTTCTATGGTTCTACTATTAGTTCTATGTATGCTTCACCATTAGTTCTATGTGGTTCACTATTAGTTCTATGTATGCTTCACCATTAGTTCTATGTATGCTTCACTATTAGTTCTATGTGCTTCACTATTAGTTCTATGTATGCTTCACCATTAGTTCTATGTATGCTTCACCATTAGTTCTATGTGCTTCACTATTAGTTCTATATGTGCTTCACTATTAGTTCTATGTATGCTTCACCATTAGTTCTATGTGGTTCACTATTAGTTCTATGTATGCTTCACCATTAGTTCTATGTGTTTCACTATTAGTTCTATGTGCTTCACTATTAGTTCTATGTATGCTTCACCATTAGTTCTATGTATGCTTCACCATTAGTTCTATGTATGCTTCACTATTAGTTCTATGTGCTTCACCATTAGTTCTATGTATGCTTCACTATTAGTTCTATGTATGCTTCACTATTAGTTCTATGTATGCTTCACCATTAGTTCTATGTGCTTCACCATTAGTTCTATGTGGTTCACTATTAGTTCTATGTATGCTTCACCATTAGTTCTATGTATGCTTCACTATTAGTTCTATGTGCTTCACCATTAGTTCTATGTATGCTTCACCATTAGTTCTATGTGGCTTCACCATTAGTTCTATGTATGCTTCACCATTAGTTCTATGTATGCTTCACTATTAGTTCTATGTATGCTTCACCATTAGTTCTATGTGCTTCACTATTAGTTCTATGTATGCTTCACCATAGTTCTATGTGCTTCACTATTAGTTCTATGTATGCTTCACCATTAGTTCTATGTGCTTCACCATTAGTTCTATGTGCTTCATCATTAGTTCACCATTACTGGTTTCAGCTAACAGTCTCTCTAATCTATTAGTGGTTTCTGCTGAACTGGCAGTCTCCCTCCATTAAGCCTTGGCGTCAAGTTATTTGGACTCCTCCTTTCAAACAATAGATCGTACCAGGGAAGGAGCACCCTGATAACACACCTCTCACACTGCACTGGTCACAATGTCATTTCCTATCATTTTCACGGATTTGAGTTAAGCAGGTGATATTTCAATGACAAAAGCTAATAAAAGCCCTACTTAGCACAGTGATAAATGCTCCATTTAAACACAAGAAAAGCATTTAAGGCAGAGTCAGTCAGAAGGTATTCAGGTTAACATTATCACAAACATAATGGTCATAGAGAAATAGTCATTTCTTTTTCAAGTGTGACTCAAGGCATTAATAGTTCCCGCTCCGTGGCCACACAACAGTAATCATCACATTAAAACCATCCAGTTTTTATCCACACTTCAGGCCTTTTTCCAAAATACAGAGCCTTCATCTACACCACAAAGCCAAGCATTGCCATCACTGCTGTATCTTCCAACAATTCCCCACATGGATACAATGTGTAAAGCCCGATTCTGGTGTCGAACACATTGATAATGTATAAGACGAGTATATGGATGGCAACTTCTTCTTTATTGTATAACATGATGTTTCTGGGCTACTTTTTGCCCCTTCTTCAAGAAGTAGCGCAGAAACGTTGTGCTATGCAGTAAAGAAGAAGTTGCCATCCATATGCTCATCTTAGATATTCACCAAGTTTAAATGCCTCTCAAGAATCTCACCTCGATAAGTCTCAGAAATCCAGATGCACTCTATCCCACCTCAACCTGTCTTAGGGTTTACTTGGTTCCCGCTCTACATCATTATTTTTTTATGTTCTCATTCAGGTTTCCTCTGCACTCAGAAACCTTGTTCAAAATCATTAAATTGAGAGTGGCATTGTATTTGCATCCAAGTTCCAAATATCAAAATATCAGTGGTATTTGTAGATAAAATCACATTCATCTGCCACAAAACGATGACCCCCACAATGCACTGTTTCTTGTTAGAAGAAACAAACTTGACCTCACCCTAAGAAATTAACATTGTGGCAAGAGACACGTCATGCTCCATTTAAATTCCTAATTTTCACTAAATTCCATAACATATCTTAAATCCGCTTCGGGAAAATAGTTGCAATATACTTGTTAGAATTCTTAAAATTGTAGGCATGTTGTAAAAGCAACGGCAGATTTCACCCAAGGGATTCTCAACATCGTGTGCACTGATCCCATTTGATTAGAGTAAACACCATTGCCCCCAGATAGTATTGGATGGATCCACCTGCCCCAGCTAAAACTGGATGGATCCACCTGTCCCAGCTAAAACTGGGTGGATCCACCTGCCCCAGCTAAAACTGGATGGATCCACCTGTCCCAGCTAAAACTGGGTGGATCCACCTGCCCCAGCTAAAACTGGATGGATCCACCTGTCCCAGCTAAAACTGGGTGGATCCACCTTCCCCAGCTAAAACTAGATGGATCCACGTCCTAGCTAAAACTGGATGGATCCACCTGCCCCCAGCTAAAACTGGATGGATCCACCTGTCCTTGCTAAAACTGGATGGATCCACCTGCCCCAGCTAAAACTAGACGGATCCATGTCCCAGCTAAAACTGGATGGATCCACCTGCCCCCAGCTAAAACTGGATGGATCCACCTGTCCTTGCTAAAACTGGATGGATCCACCTGTCCTTGCTAAAACTGGATGTATCCACCTGCCCCAGCTAAAACTGGATGGATCCACCTGCCCCAGCTAAAACTGGATGGATCCACCTGTCCTTGCTAAAACTGGATGTATCCACCTGCCCCCAGCTAGAACTGGATGGATCCACCAGATGCCAGCTAGAACTGGATGGATCCACCAGATGCCAGCTAGAACTGGATGGATCCACATGTCCCTATTACACAACATACACTGAGGCTGCTGCGAACACCTCCTGACTCGACAGCCAATCAACACTGAGTTATATTTAAGCTGTTGTTTTCACACTGTAATCAGTGTAATAAATGAATACATAATTGGAAAGCTGAGCTATCACAAATAGATGGGTACAGTTTTTGTTAAAAACACAGAAGACAAATGACAAATTTTCACTCAGATAAAATAAACTACTGCTGCTCATTATGGTGATATCTTGCGTTATTTGTGCATTCTGAAAATATTCTTACAAATCCAGATTTTACAAACATAAATGAATGATACTGGAAAAAGGTACTCGTGAAGTAAAAATATATTAAAGTAAATTCTTAAATACTTGAAATTGACTTTAAAAAAAAATTCATATTAACTTATTTTGGGTCATAAATGACTTTCTGTGCATGAACCCATCTGTTTGTGGTGCGACAGATGGAGAGAGAAGTAAGCTAGCCCACACACCAAGGGTTTCATGCTCAAACGCCGAAGTCATACCGGCGCCCTCTACAGTCAATGCATCCGTCAAACGCTCGTCCGTCCCGATGGAGGTTAACTTGTCCCTGAGATGACAATGAGAGTATTCCCCATCATTAGTCTCCTCCTCAATCACAGCGCTGTCCACCGACAGCTTGGTCACAACCACACTCCTCTCCACACTCCCCTCACGATCAGGTTTGGAAATGTCTGTCGCCTCGGAATCCACAGAATCGTACTTGGACCTATCGGTGAGAGAACCTCCTCGTGCTATAGAGTCGCCCAAACCATCGTCAGGGCTGTCTGCAAGGGAGCTAATCCTGCGATGGTGGGCTGGCGAGTCAGTCTGCACAATAGTGTCAACTCTTGTTAGTTCTATACTTGGCTTACGTTCGGGGGGTTGGTGTGGTCAATGCTGTAGAACTCTCCTCCATAACAGTGTCGGGGTGGGAATATTCCTCAGAGTCAAATGACTCGAACACCTCGTTACTCAAACTCGAGTCTTTTCTCACAAGTGGAATATGTCCGTCGGTGCTCTCCTGAGAGAGCTTGGCGAGGTTGGCTGCCATTATTTCCTTGTCCCTCTGCCGGACAATGGCCTCTACTGCCAGCCACTCGGACATGACTCGCTCATATTCATTCCTCACATGAGCGTCTCTGGCTTCTCGCTCCTCCAGCTTGCTGTCAAACTTGTAGTGCCCCAACAGGTAGGGCCACACCTGCAATCAGGCAATAGCACACTGATGATGAATACAGTCTAGTGGTATGCACTGAGTAGGGCTGGTGAATTATCTCCCTTATTTAATGGCCACCTTAAAAATCAGCCTTCTGAACTGAACTTGAGTTTCATTTTTGCTACCAGTGACATTCAAGGCACAATTCAAGTTTTAACAATACAAAATGTATGCAAATGAAAACAACATTATGTCATAGATATCTTTTCCAAACAGTCAGATTGGGTAACAATCACACATTCACACAAGCATTTATGAAATGTACTTTCCAGGTTACTGAATAAAAACACACGCAGAAGTCTGAGATATGACAACACAATGGGCGACACAAGACTTCCAAATACTCACATCTTTCCTCAGTTCCTGCGATATGCCGCCATAATACACGAGTCTGTAGATCTCTCCTGCATTCTGCACCTGCAACACAGGACCGGCAGAGACTGTAACTCTTTCACTGCGTGAGATCAACACCTAATTGAACACTGTGTGTTCGCTGCTTCATGATACATTTTATACCAATATTCATGGCATGACAGCTGCTTGTAAATAAACTAATCTGGACCAGACAATTCAGTGATTTATATTATGAGGTACAATCCATGAACATGGGATTAATCAAGAAACTGATTCCAGAGATCCCAACACACACTGCCTCTTGTGACGACCAACCTGGAAATCTATGCTATGAAGTGCTAGTATTGGCCTCAACACTCACATCACTTTATATGTCAAGGTCCAGACCTATTGTAACCTGACACAAACATCAGTATCCATGGTAACCAGCCATCATTAACCATGGTAACCAGCCATCAGTAGCCATGGTAACCAGCCATCAGTAGCCATGGTAATCAGCCATCAGTAGCCATGGTTATCAGCCATGGTAATCAGTAGCCATGGTAATGGTTATAGCCATCAGTAGCCATGGTAATCAACAGCATCAGTAGCCATGTAGCCATGGTAATCAGCCATCAGTAGCCATGGTTATAAGCCATCAGTAGCCATGGTAATCAGCCATCAGTAGACATAGTAATCAGCCATCAACCATTGCAAGAAATTCAAACCTATCTGTTATGACATCCATTCCTAATATGAGCCTACTGTCATCCTATATTCCTTCAACGTTGAACCCATTGTACCTGGGACAAGGTAGACATGACAGAAAGGAACTATAGACGTGAGAAAACATACCACTCCATCGACGTTCAGCTCCTCCCATTTCTCTGGCGTGAGTCCCTGGCTGGCATCACACGGGTCGTCTGCTGCCACGATGGTGTTGTGTACGAGTCCCGACAAGTGGGTGCGCACCGTCTTTAGGTGGCGGCAATGGGCCAGCCCTGACCAGGTGATACATTGTGTACTTTAGTATAATAGTTCAACACTACTCCATTAGTTCAATAATACTTATTAGTTTAATATGACTTCAGGTCAAACATACTTCGATACTTACCTAATTCAATTCAACCCTACGTCTGTTGAACACTACCCTACTTCAGTAGAACTGGGATACACTGACATGTGTCAACCAAGTCAGCGAAATACTGCTGAATATATTCTAACATTGTATCCTCCTTACTTCAACTGTACTTACATCCGTAAAATGCTCGTGATATGATCTGTTTCCTCATCGTGTCACATAGCTGCTTGATGTGGGCCCTGCAACAGACAACAAACAACTCACCTCCACATTGCTCAAAACAAACTGCTCATTTACGGACTTGTAGCAGCTACCAGAAATTATGGATTATCTCTTCAAATGAAATAAGGAAGTATGTTGTGAACTTTTGTGTGCAGCTTTCAACACTTATTGACAGGGGAAATATAGTACGTAAATCTGAGTAGGTTATTTCTCTTATAACCTTGGCTTTACTGTCTGGGACAATGTGCAACATTGACCGATTTCTTGGTCCCAGTTGTTACAGGGTTCTCCTCAGCAAGACAAGACTTCATCAATATTATACTCTACATTTTTAATGAAGTAAGTAAAGATCTTTTAGATGTTGAATTTCCATGGATACCTGCTCATGTTGGACTACTTGGACATGAAAAAGCTGATATATTGGCAAAAGCTGCATTAGACTTTGATGGATCAGAAAAGGATGAGATAATATTGCCCTCTCCTGCAGAATTATGCATCGTCAGTAACATCCATGCTCAAATGAAATGGAAACAGAGATGGACCTCATCCTTACAAGGACGCCATCTCAATGGCATCGAGATTTTTGTAACTAAATCAAAATTATCCAGAAGCAATCGTAGAGAAGAGGTTTGTGATGCCAGGAACAATGGAGGACTCAAGTATATGCAACAATGTAAACATATTGAGTAACATTGCTAAAGGACTCTTTATGTAAAACTGAAGGGATTAGAATGAAGTATTAAGTACAACTCATAATGGTCTGTGAGAACTACTGAATGTAAGTACACTGCCATCGATGGTCTGTCACAGATACCACAGACAACAGTGGATCTGAGTTACATCAGTGTGGTAGGATCCCAGATGGGGGTCAAAGTCACTGAACACCTTGTTGACGGCCACAAGCAGGGTATCACATCCGCACTAAGGGACCGTTCATAATTTATGGCTAGGGTGGTGTTGATGATTTATAAGGGGTGGGGGTGGGGCACAACCCAATTTTGTACATAAAGTTATGTTTAAAATTATGCTTAGAAATTATGGGAAGGGAGGGGGTCATTGATGTTGTACATGACATGCAGAGGGGTCACGTATTTTGTACATATATATTAGGGGGGGGGGGGGTTGTCATTTACATTGTACATGCCTCTCCATAACAATCATCATCATCCCCCCTAACCATAAATTATTAACGGTCCCTAAGTATCATTATCTTTGTTAGCCTGAATTTGGAACCTATAACCAGCAGATCCGGTCAAAACAAAGGGATGCAACTCTTGACAGTGATGGGAAATATAGGGGCCTGGTAAAAATTAGAGTCAATTTTGTTTCAAAGGATTCCTTAGTAATCTGAAGCACTTTTCAGTAATTATTAGTAATTCTGATCCTGATAAACGGAAGGAAGATTGTACAAGACAATACTTACAACAAAGATTGGTCGTATATGGGAAGAAAGGAACAAAGCTACAACATTGACACTATTTAATGTAAAGCATAATGACGCATAAATACGAATAAGTTGAAAAAAATAATGAACTTTTTATGTAAAAAATGTCAAAGTTCACTTGAAACAGATTTGGATGACAGGTAAAAAACTTGAAAGGGTGGACAATACGGTGGGAAATGAGATGAGTTCTCTCCCTTGCAGATATAATGGAAAGGTCATGCGGTTTGAGAGAGTGCATCCTCAGTATAGAGCAAGGTCAGTATACAACACACAGTTTCTTATAACGAGGACCTTACCTTGTTTCCCAGTTTCTAAAAAATAACAATGAAACATTAAATATCTTTACAGCCAAAAAGACACATTTTCACAAAAAAATATCACAAAATATATGTGAGGAAAACAATTCCATGCATTGAATAACACAATTTTTTACTACAATGAAATAAATTTTAAATACAGCAAAAAACAGTCAGTTCAGGGAAAGAAATGACATAATGGTCATACGCAGGGCAGACAATCTGTGGCTATAGTGAGGTTGCTCCATCCCATCTGGTGCAGTCTAATCTAGACAAGGAACTTGTTGGTGAAACAAAACTATCGAAGGCTGTCTGATGGCCGTATTCTGTAGCGAATATCACTAAAACTTCCCAAATAGACGCGAAAGGACTTTGCGATTCATGTCATTCTATACAGATAGCTAACAGAGACCTGTTCTACTCATAATATGACAAATAAACATGATAAACAGAAAGTAGTTTCACCAAATTATTCATAAATCAGTGTATGAAATAAGGCCCGTCCGACTGCCCGCGACGGGCTAGATTTCTGCTGGACGGTCTAATTTTACACCAAGCCAGCCTGATGGACGGATGAAAAAAAATATTAAGGTAACATGTCCACTAGTATTTTAGAAGGCCTGGTTAAATCTCTTCTGGGCTGGTAAGTTTTTGAAGTTACCAGCACAGATGTCTGGCTGGGTTTTCGGCTTATTTAAAAAGTCATTTAGAAAGTCATCTCAGTCCAAAACAGAAGTACTGAGAATGGTTGTCTAAACCTGTTGTCAATGGAGGACCAATGACAACTGTTTCCAACTGGTTGCTATGGAAACTAAAATTTATCATGGATGGAGAGGAACTGAATGTATTGGACAAGAGATCACTGGCAGGATTATTCCAGCAAAGTTTGAGTTGAGTCATGGGGCTGATTACAAAACTATTTCAGACAAACCTATTGGGGCCAAAGAATTCATGAACTAGCACTACAAGTGTAAAGATATATCATACAATGGTAATGCCTTGGTAAATAAATTTCATAAATAATACAGATGTCAATCTCTTTCATCTATTCCAGCATTGGCATGACAACATGTAAATCATAACAAAACTAAATGTTGACAATACAGTGACACTACATGCATGCCAACTTACAGTAACACCGTACGCCTTTCAAACAAACACCGATCAACCCACAACTAGCTGATTTGGGGTGTCAAAATTTAGATTTGAGAATTTTCACCAAATTTGGAAATTTGACAAATTTTCGACTTTTGACCAAGAATATAACTTAAAATACTAGTGTTCTTTCACTCCTTTTGAGGAGCATAAATAATTTCTCGATATCACCAATCCAGACCACACCATCTTGTGATTGCTTGAAATACAAATGCATGATTTATATATCACCTACAACAGTAGTGGAAACCCACAGTAAACGATTATGTTACTTGTAAAAGAAACATTTGGTTTCTTCAGTCACCCTGAATACTTGTAGCATGATCTGTACAGGACTAGCTACCTCAGTGTGATCAATCTTTTGTCTCAAGTAGCTTAGTAAGACTTGACAAATCGTGTGGCAACAGAAAGCGATTTTGGTACGAGAGATCAGTGAAGGGATTAGCATGACACCGTGAGAAGTTTTAGAACAGGGCACTAGCTATTGGTACGAGAGATCAATGAACGGGTTAGCATGGCACTGTGAGAAGTTTTAGAACAGGGCACTAGCCATTGGTACGAGAGATCGGTGAATGGGTTAGCACGGCACTGTGAGAAGTTTTAGAACAGGGCACTAGCTATTGGTACGAGAGATCGGTGAATGGGTTAGCATGGCACTGTGAGAAGTTTTAGAACAGGGCACTAGCTATTGGTACGAGAGATCAATGAACGGGTTAGCATGGCACTGTGAGAAGTTTTAGAACAGGGCACTCAGCCATTGGTACGAGAGAGATCAATGAACGGGTTAGCATGGCACTGTGAGAAGTTTTAGAACAGGGCACTAGCTATTGGTACGAGAGATCGGGTGAATGGGTGAGCATGGCACTGTGAGAAGTTTTAGAACAGGGCACTAGCTATTGGTAACGAGATCGGGTGAATGGGTTAGCACGGCACTGTGAGAAGTTTTAGAACAGGGCACTAGCCATTGGTACGAGAGATCGGTGAATGGGTTAGCACGGCACTGTGAGAAGTTTTAGAACAGGGCACTAGCCATTGGTACGAGAGATCAATGAACGGGTTAGCACGGCACTGTGAGAAGTTTTAGAACAGGGCACTAGCTATTGGTACGAGAGATCGGTGAATGGGTTAGCACGGCACTGTGAGAAGTTTTAGAACAGGGCACTAGCCATTGGTACGAGAGATCGGTGAACGGGTGAGCATGGCACTGTGAGAAGTTTTAGAACAGGGCACTAGCCATTGGTACGAGAGATCGGTGAATGGGTGAGCATGGCACTGTGAGAAGTTTTAGAACAGGGCACTAGCCATTGGTACGAGAGATCGGTGAACGGGTGAGCATGGCACTGTGAGAAGTTTTAGAACAGGGCACTAGCTATTGGTACGAGAGATCGGTGAATGGGTTAGCACGGCACTGTGAGAAGTTTTAGAACAGGGCACTAGCTATTGGTACGAGAGATCGGTGAATGGGTTAGCATGGCACTGTGAGAAGTTTTAGAACAGGGCACTAGCCATTGGTACGAGAGATCGGTGAATGGGTTAGCACGGCACTGTGAGAAGTTTTAGAACAGGGCACTAGCCATTGGTACGAGAGATCGGTGAATGGGTTAGCACGGCACTGTGAGAAGTTTTAGAACAGGGCACTAGCCATTGGTACGAGAGATCGGTGAACGGGTTAGCACAGCACTGTGAGAAGTTTTAGAACAGGGCACTAGCTATTGGTACGAGAGATCAATGAACGGGTTAGCACGGCACTGTGAGAAGTTTTAGAACAGGGCACTAGCTATTGGTACGAGAGATCGGTGAACGGGTGAGCATGGCACTGTGAGAAGTTTTAGAACAGGGCACTAGCCATTGGTACGAGAGATCGGTGAATGGGTTAGCACGGCACTGTGAGAAGTTTTAGAACAGGGCACTAGCCATTGGTACGAGAGATCGGTGAACGGGTTAGCACGGCACTGTGAGAAGTTTTAGAACAGGGCACTAGCCATTGGTACGAGAGATCGGTGAATGGGTTAACATGGCACTGTGAGAAGTTTTCGAACAGGGCACTAGCTATTGGTACAAGAGATCGGTGAATGGGTTAGCACGGCACTGTGAGAAGTTTTCGAACAGGGCACTAGATACGGCAGTATGGTGGTGTTCTGCAGGTTGGCATGCCGCTACGTGTGGACGTACACGTACAGGTACCTGTGATTGGCCTGGGACTGGGTCAGACACGTGTTGTTCTGCACTTCCTGGGCTCGGGCGTACGACTGCACGGAGGACTGTGCTAGTGGGCTGGGGGGAAGGTGGCGACGCACCGGCCACGGGGAACGTTCACCTGTGGGTTTGGCTTTCGGGTCCATCATTTCAGCAGCTGGTAGAAAATAATGTAATTTTTATGATAAAATTGACATTTCATACTTATCCCTACTGATGCTATATTGCTTATCTCCCTTTCCCTTTCAATGGTTATCTGGAAACTTGAATCTCTTTGTTCCCAAGAATAGTCAAAATTCACTCAGCCATGGGGAGCCCTACTTTCCCGCCAAAAGCCTCTCACGTGACCTGAGCCATGCGCTCATCACTCGAAACGGAAAGGGAGATAAGCAATATAGCATGAGTCAGGATAAGGAAAAGTATCATCGATATATAATCTAACCATCTGATTGGTCATGTCACAATTTCATCATTTGGGTAACAAAAGCTCAAACAAACAAAACAACCAGAATCTGTGCTGTTTGTAATAAATACTGAATACTTCAGACTCTTACATCCCTCAACAGGCTGGTGGCAACAACCCCCGGTCCTACTTACTGATCAGATCAGGCTTGAAGGAAGCAATGATCCTGAAGACGTAGTCAGTTGCCTCGTCCTCATCTGCGCTGGAGCTGCTGGTGCTGCCTTGGCTGCCGTGACTGCTGCCGCTCGACAGGCGACTGCCCTTACGCTTCAATTTGGGGAACACTTTGCCTGTTGGGAAAGAAACTGCAAAATTGTAAGTTTGAGTAGAGTTCCGATTAGCTCAAAGATTCACATTTATTGCATACATCCAGTATATGTAACACATCCAATGCATTAACACATTTATCACACATCCAGTGCATTAACACATTTATCACACATCAGAATATGTAACATTTATCACACATCCAGTGCATTAACACATTTATCACACATCCAGTGCATTAACACATTTATCACACATCCAGTGCATTAACACATTTATCACACATCAGAATATGTAACATTTATCACACATCCAGTGCATTAACACATTTATCACACATCCAGTGCATTAACACATTTATCACACATCAGAATATGTAACATTTATCACACATCCAGTGCATTAACACATTTATCACACATCCAGTGTATTAACACATTTATCACACATCCAGTGCATTAACACATTTATCACACATCCAGTGCATTAACAATATGTAACATTTATCACACATCCAGTGCATTAACACATTTATCACACATCCAGTGCATTAACACATTTATCACACATCAGAATATGTAACATTTATCACACATCCAGTGCATTAACACATTTATCACACATCCAGTGCATTAACACATTTATCACACATCAGAATATGTAACATTTATCACACATCCAGTGCATTAACACATTTATCACACATCCAGTGCATTAACACATTTATCACACATCCAGTGCATTAACACATTTATCACACATCCAGTGCATTAACACATTTATCACACATCAGAATATGTAACATTTATCACACATCCAGTGCATTAACACATTTATCACACATAATCAGTGCATTAACACATTTATCACACATCCAGTGCATTAACACATTTATCACACATCAGAATATGTAACATTTATCACACATCCAGTGCATTAACACATTTATCACACATCCAGTGCATTAACACATTTATCACACATCAGAATATGTAACATTTATCACACATCCAGTGCATTAACACATTTATCACACATCCAGTGTATTAACACATTTATCACACATCCAGTGCATTAACACATTTATCACACATCAGAATATGTAACATTTATCACACATCCAGTGCATTAACACATTTATCACACATCCAGTGCATTAACACATTTATCACACATCAGAATATGTAACATTTATCACACATCCAGTGCATTAACACATTTATCACACATCCAGTGCATTAACACATTTATCACACATCAGAATATGTAACATTTATCACACATCCAGTGCATTAACACATTTATCACACATCCAGTGTATTAACACATTTATCACACATCCAGTGCATTAACACATTTATCACACATCAGAATATGTAACATTTATCACACATCCAGTGCATTAACACATTTATCACACATCCAGTGCATTAACACATTTATCACACATCCAGTGCATTAACACATTTATCACACATCAGAATATGTAACATTTATCACATATCCAACATATGTAACACTTTTATCACACATTCAACATGTCATACATAATCAAACGTTTTAACCTCTAGTTGTCCCAATGCTGCTCATCTAAGTATCATTTTGGAACATTCATGAACAAAAGGTTACTAACTGATAGCTAATATAACTGCAACGACACATACCGCCTAACAAGCTCTCAAATTCCATCCCCATGATATAGGTGAGGAATGTTTTGATCACAAACTTGGTGATTACCTTTCCCCCTCTGAGACCAGAGAGGGGGGTCCAGCTGCCCATGGGGGAGAAGCCCGGTCTCCAGGCAGGACAGGAAGGCCAGCAGGTGCCCCCCCTTGGGGAAGTGGATTGGAGGGCGCTGCACCCCGTCTTGCCCCACCAGGACAATCGTACCTCCACAGTCGGCTGCAGAAACATGAAGCTGAGGGTATCAGTGAATGTTCTAAACCAATCCTTGTCAGCGGCAGGGTGTTGGTGAGAAGCAATATCATGTCGTTATTGTCGTTTACCAATGTCCCCTATGTTCCTGCTATTTCCCCCACACCTGCCAACAGTCTGGATTGAATGCAAGAGCAAAGACCTGCTAGAGGCTGTAGTTAAGAATTCTAATTCTGGAATCCTATTTACAGTATGCTGGTCCTACTCTGTGGAATTCTCTCCCTCTTCACATAAAGCAGTCTCCCACATTGGAAACTTTCAAAACTAAGTTGAAGACTTTCTTTTTTTCCAAAGCCTATCCCTAAAATCAATCTTTCTGTCATCAATTTCAATGTATACTTATTTTACTATTTTATCCTCTGTATGCATTGTATGTATGCTTTTATGTAGGGCCTTGAGCATGAATCAGTGGGTGGAAAATGGCGCGCTAAAAATATCCATTATTATTATTATTGTTAATCTGTGGCAGTATCTTACAATTAAATGAAGCAACTTACCATCATATCTTTAGATTGTAATCTATTGATTCAAATCATTTCCACATATTTATTATCTTTATGTGTCTATGTTTTCCAAATCTTTCTACAATCAGTCAAGCTGTTGGGAAACTGACCATGATTCTCTGACACGTGTAAATCAATTGAATGAATGAATGAATGAATGAATGAATGAATGAATGAATGAATGAATGAATGAATGAAGTCTAACTTACGTTGTTGGTGGCAGTGGATGTAGACAATCTCGTCAACGAAGATGGTCATGGCAAACTCCCAGTACATGCTGCAAGTAGAAGGACCAACGTGTACTGCTGTACAGAAATACAGGCTCATCGGGCACCGGTAACCATGGCAATAGGTAGTGTCAATGTTTGTGTAAGAAATATACGGAAACAAACTAACACCATAAAAAAGACATAAAATAAAAGAGAAAATTAACAGAATAGGCGTAAAATAAGAACAGGTGTTCAGGTGAATTAAATAATTAAGTATAATCCATTTCCATATGTTTACAGTTCAGCTTGAAGCTCACAACGTTCTGTGAATGTTCCTGGCATTTCACCCAGACAACTGGCAGTCCCAGCTGATGTCTGTACAATACCAATACTAACAGCTGATAATAATCATAATACCCCTCACTCACACAGTAACACATTTACTATGTCCACACCTGAAGTGGACACCCAGATCAGATCGCGGCCAAATCAAACATCTGCTCAGTGACACTGGTCCTTGGCCAATATATCTGATATGTTTTTGGCCAACTATGATGATATTGTGTTCCTATTGTTTTCCTTTATAGGACAGTTGGCTTAGAGAATTTATAAACATGCTGATATCATTCAGCAACTTAATCTTTATGTTCATAAATTTGAAATAAACTCAGTGAGGTATGATTGTTCAAGGAGTGGACTGACACTGGAGTGATGGCAATGCAAGACACTGTGGGGCTCCAGTCTGACAGTCGGGGTTTAACGTCCCACTTAAGAATATTTTACTCATATCACGACGTGCATGCGTGTGAATGTGTGGCTGCTTGTACTGGCCCAGACTTCAGCTGGTTTTATAGTGCTAGCCCACTGAGATACCATGCCACAGTGAAGCAAGAATACCTCACTCAGACACATTATATTGACTCCGAGCCGACCAGTCCTTGTTGTACCGAGTGCTAGGCAGGGACCAACAAGTACCAATTTTAACTTCTTTTGGTATGACGCGGTCGGGGATCGAACCTGTAACCTTCCGCTGCCTGGGTGGACTTTCTAACCACTACACCACAGAGGTGGTCCCAGTGAGAAAGAGGTGGTCCCAGTGAGACAGAGCTGACCTAGTTTCTATATCAGACCAAACTGCCCTGAAGGTTCTTTTGAGGCCAGAGGATATGACACAGAATGCCAATCATGACTATTGTTATAGGGAATAACAGTCCCGGAGTGTGTCAGTTCCCTGTATGTTGAACAAGGCACAGAGTAGACAGCTGGACCTGACAGCTGGAAAACTACCTCCAGTATCTATGAATTAGTGAACTAGTACCATGTGTCTACTTCCAGTATCTACTTCCAAGACACCACTGGCAGTGTACCTGTGTCATGTGGGGGATGAATCCCTGATAATAATAATAATAATAATATTAATAATATTAATAATAATGGAAATCACCCTTGAGTAATATTCATACTTTTTAGAAAAATTAACATGTAAATTCACTTTTATAAATCAAACATACTAAACTAAAACAGAAAAATGTGCAGCTCGGCAAACCGAAGTGAAAACACATGCAGTTACAGAAACCATGATACCAGTACACCGAAAGATGTCCGATCTGGTCACAGAGACGGGGACTGTAGACATCTTGGTTCGTTCAAAACACATGCAGTTACAGAAACCATGATACCAGAACACCGAAAGATGTCCGATCTGGTCACAGAGACAGGGACTTGGTTCGTTCAAAACAGGCATAGCATCAATGGAAAACTCTGCCAGTGGTGGGCACTCAAATATCTCTATGTAACTAGCATGGCTAATTTTGAAGATCATGAATTGATTCATCTGAAACTGGCCATCGAACACCTTTCACGGGTAATCAAAATCAGCTGCGGGGTCAGATCGAGGCTCAGACCCTGTTGTCTTCGGGTCTTGAGATACCCAGAAATGTTGGTTATCTTGCTGGAGAAATGGCCATGTTCAGATCAGAAACACTGGAGCTGTTACTGTTGCTAATGACTTGAGTGACGTAGGTGAATACCACACAGGTAAGTAACAGGGTTACATTCTACCCTGCTGGAACAGCTGTCAACTGCTGACAGTGACACACTTGCAGGCACGTACCATTAGATGACAACCGTGGAGACAGGTGGCGCTAACACACCAAGAACATTCTGGGATCTACAGAAGCCAACTAAGGGAAGTAACTCCTCACAACACGTTAAGATTCACACAGGGCCAAGGTCATCCGAAAGCCTTACCTACCTAGCTACCAACCTACCTACCTACATTCCTTAAGATACACAGGGGCCCCTTATCTCCCAGCCATGTCACAAGAAGAGAACAGTGTGTGATAAGCTGTGATACCCAGGCTGATGTCGGGTATAAAAATAGACTTATAAAACTAAGATACTGTGAGGTTTCTGAAAATAAGAAGTGATATACCACAGTGTAATATTTCCAAGAGTCTAGATATAGTGCAAGTCATGCAGAAGCAAGCAGGGGAGAGTAGCGAGGGTCATTGTGAATTGTTTTCAATGACTTGAAGTCAAACCATGGCCCAGAAACTGTGTGTTCCCTCCATGGCACCTCCTGAGACCTGCATGTTGCCGGGGGCTAAACCTGCCCTGGAAACCCAGGCAGCATTGCTGCGTTACGCTCCCTTATATCTAATCATAATTATATGGGTGTGAGTGAGTGTACACCCTCTATAGGGTGATTCTGTACATGATATTCAAGGCAAGGTCACTTTAGTGGTGGTCCAATTAATTGAAATAATCGAAGATTGGTCGCATTGACTGAACGACCAAGCAATCGATCATGTTTTCTCATAATCGAACACAAACAATTCTGGAAAACTTTTTGCATTAACAAGATTTTTCACAAGTTTGGTTTTGTCTGTTACATTTCATCACTACAAGTTCGTTCAAAGTCATGATTGAATTTATCTTAAAGACTCCAAGAAATTAATGTTTCTAACATACTAGTCATCCTTTAAAGATGTGCAATTTGCAACAAACAAATCAAAGAACTACATTTTTTTTCTTTTTGTTTTTGAGCAAACGAAAATGACCAGGAAAATGTCATAAATGACGCTAGCCAATTATTTTCGATGATTGATCGGTTGTAATGAGCCAATCATCAATTATGGGATTTTAACCAATTCCCAGGTCACTTACTCTTTACATAACTCTTAGGGGGGTCGTTCACATTGTCCATGCTTCTCTATAAGTCATCATCACCCCACCTTAGCCATAAAGTATGAACGTCCCCTTGGTATGAGCAGACTCATTATGTCACAGCGGCCATTGTGTTCTGTATCTGCCATGGTGACTCAGAGAATTGACAAAATATGCATTGATTTGATGCTATTAAAATGGTGCAATTTTGTAGTGTGTAAGAAATAGATTACTGTGCTCTTGCTTGTCAGATACATTATTCTCATAACTTGTTTCAAAAATTATCTGACTTGCTATGAGTCTATAGATATCTTTTAAAACAACTGGTTGTAAGGTAAATGGTATCTGACAGACAGTTGCACAATAATAATTTCAATCTACATGATGCTGGCAGCACCTCCTGTTACACAAGCAAAGTGATTATGGATACAGGATATATTGATATAGGATATATGATGCAGAGGATGGTTCCTGGTGAATCAAGGGACATAACTCCTGCAAGACCTACTCACAGCTTCGGTTTGGCTCTCCGTCGCAATAACTGGCTGTGATTGTTACCATGGTTACCAATTGAGTATTCACACAGGTAGCACCAGCAAAACAAAAATAGCAAAAGTAAGCAACAAAGCAGAAAATAAACAAGGCAGGTTCTTAGTATAGTAACATCAACTTAGTATAGTAACATCAACTTAGTATAGTAACATCAACTTAGTATAGTAACATCAACTTGTTTCTGTAAATGGACAACAGTTTATTGAATATAAGGACACTTGTACTGGAAGGTTAGTGAGTTACAGACCATGCTGGACATCTATGTAGATTACAGAGCTGGGAATGCTGAATATAGCAGCAGCAGGATTAGAAACAGTAACTGTGAACCAATCTCTGTTTACACAGGTAAGTTAGATCTCATCACAGCTTCTAGATTCAAAATGGATGGTGGCCCTGAACCAGAACATACATATGACAAACTGGTATGGACACATTTTGACTTTCTGGACTGTTCACACCATATAATTAAGGACAGTATTTCTATCATTACCAGACCATTAAGTACAAATTTTTGCAACCCTTCCTGCTCATGTCATCCAGGTCAACACAAACACTACCACCACTAGGTCCACACCTCAACCACACCACAACCACCAGGTCCACACTTCAACCACCAGGTCCACACCTCAACCACCAGGTGCGCACCTCAACCACACCACAACCACCAGGTCCACACTTCAACCACCAGGTCCACACCTCAACCACCAGGTCCACCCCTCAACCACCAGGTCCACACCTCAACCACCAGGTCCACACCTCAACCACACCTCAAAAACCAGGTCCACATTTCAACTACCAGGTCCATACCTCAACCACACCTCAACCATCAGGTCCACCCCTCAACCACCAAGTCAACAGCTCAACCACACCTCAACCACCAAGTCCACACTTCAACCACCAGGTCCACCCCTCAACCACCAGGTCCACACCTCAACCACCAGGTCCACACCTCAACCCCACATCAAAAACCAGGTCCACATCTCAACTACCAGGTCCATCCCTCAACCATCTGGTCAACCACACCTCAACCACCAGGTCCACACCTCAACCACCTGGTCCACACTTCAACCACCAGGTGCACACCTCAACACACACTCAACCACCAGGTCCACACCTCAACCACCAGGTCCACATCTCAGCCATCAGGTCCATACCTCAACCATCTGGTCAACCACACCTCAACCACCAGGTCCACACCTCAACCACACCTCAAAAACCAGGTCCACATCTCAACTACCAGGTCCATACCTCAACCACACCCCAACCACCAGGTCCACACCTCAACCACACCTCAAAAACCAGGTCCACACCTCAACTACACCTCAAAAACCAGGTCCACACCTCAAGCACCAGGTTCACACCTCAAGCACCAGGTTCACACCTTAAGCACCAGGTAAACACCACAACCACCAGGTCCAGACCTTAACCCCCAGGTCAACACCACTTTTGTAAGGACAAGTTTAGCTATTCCTATTGTGGGTTAGTAGGCTGTTACTGCTACAGTACCCGATGAAACAATTTCTTACGAGTTTTATCAACCTTCAAGAAAAGGAAAACAAAAAGCAGATAAAAATTAGGAACAACACAGAATATACAACAGCAGTACAAAGAACCAGAAATATGTCAGTGATTGATATGGGCAATATTTCACAATCACACGCGATCAGCAGAGCAGGTACTATGACAGATGGACGACCAGATTCAATAATGTCAACTCTCAGAACACAACGTCCTAATGTGGATTAGTTAGGAAATAAGTGCAAAACACAATGACATCAAATGTGTGTTGGAATATGTATATTCTTATGTTAAAATACTTCTGAGTAGGGTGAGGTGAGGTGAAATTGGGTTTAACGTCGTGCTTGAGAATATTTCGCTCATATGACGACGTGCATGCGTGTGTATGTGTATGTGCGGCTGCTTGTACTAGCCCAGACTGAAGCTGGTTTTATAGTGCTAGCCCACTGAGATACCTGCCGCAGTGAAGCATGAATACCCCACTCAGACACACTATACTGACTCCGAGCCGACCAGTCCTTGTTGTACCCATAATGTCGAGCGCCGGGCAAGGACCAACAAGTACCATATTTTAACGTCTTTTGGTATGACGCAGCCGGGGATCGAACCCGCGACCTTCCGCTCTCCGGGCGGACGCTCTAACCACTACACCACGGAGGCAGTCTTCTGAGTAGGGAGATACCTGGGTGATCATGTGACTACACGGGTCATGTGACCTACCTGCGGTCTGTCTCTTCTCCAACTTCATCACAGCATCCATTCATGAGCTGGTTAGGAGTCCACATTATCATGAGTCCCTCGCCACTCTGGTGGAGAGACAGGTAGCCCGCTAGGTGGCCGATGTCCTCCTTCTGGAAACAAACCAACATATCAGAGTCTTTCTGGTGGAGAGACAGGTAGCCCACTAGGTGGCCGATGTCCTCCTTCTGGAAACAACAAACCAACATATCAGAGTCTGTCTGGTGGAGAGACAGGTAGCCCGCTAGGTGGCCGATGTCCTCCTTCTGGAAACAAACCAACATATCAGAGTCTATCTGGTGGAGAGACAGGTAGCCCACTAGGTGGCCGATGTCCTCCTTCTGGAAACAACAAACCAACATATCAGAGTCTGTCTGGTGGAGAGACAGGTAGCCCGCTAGGTGGCCGATGTCCTCCTTCTGGAAACAACAAACCAACATATCAGAGTCTATCTGGTGGAGAGACAGGTAGCCAGCTAGGTGGCCGATGTCCTCCTTCTGGAAACAACAAACCAACATATCAGAGTCTATCTGGTGGAGAGACAGGTAGCCCACTAGGTGGCCGATGTCCTCCTTCTGGAAACAACAAACCAACATATCAGAGTCTGTCTGGTGGAGAGACAGGTAGCCCACTAGGGTGGCCGATGTCCTCCTTCTGGAAACAACAAACCAACATATCAGAGTCTGTCTGGTGGAGAGACAGGTAGCCCACTAGGTGGCCGATGTCCTCCTTCTGGAAACAACAAACCAACATATCAGAGTCTGTCTGGTGGAGAGACAGGTAGCCCACTAGGTGGCCGATGTCCTCCTTCTGGAAACAACAAACCAACATATCAGAGTCTGTCTGGTGGAGAGACAGGTAGCCCGCTAGGTGGCCCATGTCCTCCTTCTGGAAACAACAAACCAACATATCAGAGTCTGTCTGGTGGAGAGACAGGTAGCCCGCTAGGTGGCCGATGTCCTCCTTCTGGAAACAACAAACCAACATATCAGAGTCTGTCTGGTGGAGAGACAGGTAGCCCGCTAGGTGGCCGATGTCCTCCTTCTGGAAACAACAAACCAACATATCAGAGTCTGTCTGGTGGAGAGACAGGTAGCCCGCTAGGTGGCCGATGTCCTCCTTCTGGAAACAACAAACCAACATATCAGAGTCTGTCTGGTGGAGAGACAGGTAGCCCGCTAGGTGGCTGATGTCCTCCTTCTGGAAACAAACCAACATATCAGAGTCTGTCTGGTGGAGAGACAGGTAGCCCGCTAGGTGGCCGATGTCCTCCTTCTGGAAACAAACCAACATATCAGAGTCTGTCTGGTGGAGAGACAGGTAGCCCGCTAGGTGGCCGATGTCCTCCTTCTGGAAACTACAAACCAACATATCAGAGTGAGTGAGTGAGTAAGGTTTTACGCCACTTTTTGCAATATTCCAGCAATATTAATGCTGGGGAAACCAGAAATGACACTCACACATTTTACCAATGTGCGGAATTGAACCCTTGCCTTCAGCATGATGAGTGAATGTTTCCATCAATAGGCTACCCACGACCTCCCAACATATCCGAGTCTATCTGATATATACCTTCTTTACAATACATGCTATTGGCATGAAGACACTACACCATGGAGTAAGAGTGGACATACCGGTTGCACCTGCACATTGTTCTTGCCATACAGAAGTGTTGTCTTGGAGTTTTGGTGCAGCGATTCCACGTATTCCCGGGCAGACATGTGGAACGCCTTGGGGCTATCCTCACTGCTGGAGCTGGGGTTCCGCCGCAGCTGGGGACACACAGACAGACACTGTTGGTAGATTAGTAGCTGACCACAACCAGCAGGGAACATGTACACCACAGATTCTAAAACTCATCGTATACATCACACTTAATATATTTCCAAGTGAAACAATTAACAAATAATAATGAAATAGTTACGGTATTAGGCATCCTAGAGGAAGGCCTTGAGCCAAAATGTTACCTTAGCCATGACAGATGGTAATAACAGTTACAGTCTAAGCAGTAAGAAGTTCTTGACAAAGGATGAAAGTTACAATCCTAGTGATAACATCCATTTGTGGAAACGGCCTTTGACCATTCTGAATATTTTACTTATGAGAAGTGACTCTTGTCAGTTTGGTTGCATTGCCTTAATTTAACTGGAGACAGTTCTAATGCAAGATCTAATACCTGCAGCCCCGGTCGCTTGGGAGACCCGGGGGTGGTAAATGCGTGGTTGCCGCTGGAGTGTATACGGTGACGCTGTACCAGCTCATCTGCTGGGGGGTCCGTCCAGAAGTGGTCAGACGTCTTCATCTTGGTGTAGTCCAGTGCACACGGACCAACTGGAAGCAGTGAGGTGAACGCGATTTAATGTTGCATCCAACACTACTGCCCTGAATCTCAACTAATCTCAGACACACACATATTCTCCTGTCTTATATGTCACTTCTAGCAATATTCCAACAAAATCACGACAAGAGACAATAGAAATGGGCTTTACACATTGAACCTGTGTGGGGAATCAAACCCGGCTCTTTGGAGTGATGAGTGAATAACTTTAACCACAAGGCCACCAATCGCGCCTGCACACACACACACACACACACACACACACACAACCATCCAGCCACTGTGCACACATAATCTCAATTAATAACTTCACACAACACACAAAAGAAACCTGAACAATATCCCCATACAAGTTCAACAGGAACTCACCAAGTAGGGACGCAAAGATTGGTCCGTCGACTGGGTCCGCAATGAGAGCGTCCCCTTCATAGTAGCGACTGAAACACACAGTACAAACACACCATGATGTCATGGTCAACAGGAAGTTGTCACAGCGATCTTGTCAAGCGTTAAATGATGCTGTGAAAAGTTAAGCTTCTGTTCCGTGTCAGATGAGAGACACGCAAGTGTCTGAATTGGAACATTATCAACAATGATGGTAATTCTTAGATTACTACCTCTAACACTTGACTGCCTCTACCTGAAATGTCTTCTTGAATCTACATGTTAAAAAAACTTAAAGTTCAAGGATTTATGCTGTTTTCCATTTTTGTGGTCCACCATGCACTATCTGCAGGAGTTAGCTCCCCTGACAGAAGCACAGGGAAGCCTTGTAATTTTTGTCTGGGTACAAAAGTTCTTTGATATTTGTAGGTAAAGGATGCATGGGCCTTGACCTCAAATGTTGGAGGAAGGTCATGGATGCTGCTTCTATCTTTTATCAAATCTCAAAAAGGATTCACACCCGCTGACAAGGCTTCCCCGGTAACAAACTTGGGATTAACGGACAGAGGGGTGGATGGATGGCGCGTGCCAGACAGGACAGGACAGGAGGGACAACAAGCGCCCAGAGGTACAACTGATTATCTGTGATCAACTCAGCTTGGAGTCCTGGACTTTAGTTTCTTCGTCATCTTTCTTTCCTTGACCTTTTTAACGATACTGAGGGGACATTAATTTCCCACAGACTGAGCAGTTTTTTGTACCCGAGGGGGAGGATATAATGTATATAGAGCCCTCACGTAGTTTCATGACACGTAGTTTCACAGTAAAGAGATAGTTGATTTACCTGTGATTTTGTACCAGGAAGTCAAGAATCTTGGCCAGCTGTTTCTCAAAGATAGCAATTCTAAGCCACAGATACTTGGGGTTGAACGACTGGAGTGTCCGTCTTGTTTGATTCTTGTTATTGTCCAGGGATTTCCTGGAGCAGAAGGAACAGGAGTTAGATACACATGACTTGGAATAAATAAGAGTTTTACATCCCTTTCAGCAGCATTCAAACCAAAACACAGAAGGTACCCATGTGACGAACAGATGTGATGAGCCAAGCTTTAACCATCTGGTCACCTGATAGAGCTGTGGTGAGTTATCAAAGATGGCAGCACACCAGAAACCTTCAAGGTGTTGGCTCTTATTTCTTGTAATCATGAGGACTCTTACTATTAAGTAGGGGTGGGTATTGCAGAGAGTATTCATATTGCTATATATTGCGATGCGAAAGCATGTATTGCGATATGTATTGCAATATATTGCAAGAAGTATTTTTAAACAAAAAAACTACTTATAATCGAGTTACTGCTTGATTTATAGAGCAAAAACACAACAAAGTCACTATGCTTGATTAAGCTTTAATAACAACTTTTAATCATGATAAAATAAAAATGTGAATAATATTTGTCCCAAATGAAACAAGGAAATATCCAAAGATTTCCGAGTGTTACGACATTTTCCGAATGCAAGTCAAATACCGGTTTTCGATCAGCGTATCGCAATACGTATCGTTTTCATGTCTGAACTGGTAAATACCGGTAAACCAGTTATATTGCGCAGCCCTACTACTAGCTGAGCTAACTTGAAAGAATATTACCAGACCCAGGCTTCAGATAAATGGCTAACGTCACAGACTGATACAGTAACGTCTATCATGCACTTATCAACAATGTATTCTTGTCAAAGTCTGGGGCAAAGTTACCAACATGAATGTCACAATTTTTTAAATCATAAAAGAGCTAAATGTTAGCTGTTTGATCATGGAAATAAACCTTGTAGTATGACAATGCAGGTAACTGATTCTGTGATCAGAACAATATCAGGATACTCAAAACTGGGTCTATACAAATGGTATGTTTTGTACCAAGATTCAGAGACCAGTAACAACTTCAGAAACAACTCCATAAACTTCATACATAATGTATATATAATGCTTTGATATATAATGCTTTGATATATACTGCTTTTGAATGCAAATGGCAATGGTTTATCATTAGTACATATTTCCACAGACAGACATCGAGCAGCCATCACGGACTGGAGTCCGGACCAAACAAACCAGTGATTGATGTTATGAGCAACAATTCAGTCACCATGGCGACAGTCTTGAGGCAATAACTCATGGTCATGGTACTTAAGTCACTTCATGAGACCAGCTACATTGCTGTGAGGCTTGATCTGGCTCCGATTTCTCGAAAAAACTTAAGTTTTTACTCAAATTTCAAACTGAATTTGACAATTTGAAACAGCTGATTTTTTAACTCAACTGCATGATCTAACACAGAATAACCACACTTGAAATTGGCGTAAAACTAAACTCACTCACTCACACTTGAAAAGAAAATGAAGAGTTTGAACAGGTGATGGATAGAGACAGTGATCCGTCAGTCCGTAAATCCTAGAACTCATCATGTGACAATAGAGAGTAAAATATATGTCACATCTACATATCTACAATACCACTTTAGTTGGGTCATGTCTTGAACTGCTGAAATGTTTACTGTAACAGTTTTACACTAGTACATCCACAGAGTTGTATCCGAGGGGCCAACACCAGACCTTCAAAACACGGCCCAAATATCACACATCAATACAGCAGTAATCCAGTCTCATCAAAGTCTTACTCTCAGAAGAACTAAGTAATTAACTGCAATTTCAAAGCTCTAAAATCAGGACTCCCATTTGGGACGTGACATCAATATTTTCCAAACAGCTGAAGTAATTCTCAGACTGTCAGGGGATGGAGCAGGGTCCATGAAAGGCTCTTCCCTACTGCCTCAGCTGGGCAGTGGCTATATCTGGACATTAACACCAACATTAAAGTGGAATACAGGGACTGATGCTGCTTGGAACAGCATTTCAGTGTGTCCAGCTGGGTGTAGGGTGGAAGGCATGGAGGCCAGGGCTCTCTGGGTTGACACAGGAAGCAGGCCCAAAGTCACCAATTCAGACCACTATGATGAAAGCAACTGAGATGAAGGCAGACCATAGTGATGATACCAGACCATGGTGATGAGGGCAGACTACAGTGATGATAGCAGACCATGGTGATGAGGGCAGACCACAGTGATGATAGCAGACCATGGTGATAAGGCAGACCATGGTGATGAAGGCAGACCAGTGATGAAGGCAGACCATGGTGATGAAGGCAGACCATAGTGATGAAGGCAGGCCACAGGGATGAAGGCAGACTACAGGGATGAAGGCAGACCACAGTGATGATAGCAGACCACAGTGATGACAGCAGACAATGGTGATGAAGGCAGGCCACAGTGATGAAGGCAGACTACAGGGATGAAAGCAGGCTGTGGTGATGAAGGGAGACCACAGTGATGAAGGGAGACCACGGTGATGAAGGCAGACCACGGTGATGAAGGCAGACCGGTGATGAAGGCAGGCCAGTGTTGAAGGGAGACAACAGTGATGAAGGCAGACCACGGTGATGAAAGGAGACCACAGTGATGAAGGCAGACCATGATGAAGAAGGCAGACCAGTGATGAAGGCAGGCCACAGTGATGAAGGGAGACCATAGTGATGAAGGCAGACCAGTGATGAAGGCGGACCACAGTGATGAAGGGAGACCATAGTGATGAAGGCAGACCACAGTGATGAAGGCAGACCATAGTGATGAAGGCAGACCAGTGATGAAGGCAGACCACAGTGATTAAGGCAGACCACAGTGATGAAAGCAGACTACAGTGATGAAGGCAGATGACAGTAATGAAGGAAGATCACGATGATGAAGGCAGACCCTGATGATGAAGGCAGACCACAGTGATGAAGGCAGACCACGATGATGAAGGCAGACCAGTGATGAAGGCGGACGACAGTGATGAAGGCAGACTACAGTGATGAAGGCAGACCACGATGATGAAGGCAGGAAACAGTAATGAAGGCAGATGACGGTGAGGAAGGCAGATCATGAAGGAAGGCCATGGTGATGAAAGCAGAAAACAGTGATGAAAGGCGGATTAAGGTGATGAAGGAAAATAGCAGACAGACAATAGTGATGAAGGCAGGCCATGGTGATGAAGGCAGCAAACAGTGATGAAGGCAGCAAACAGTGATGAAGGCAGATCATGGTGATGATGGAAGCCAACAGCGATGAAGACAGACAACAGTGATGATAGCAGGCCATGGTGATGAAGACATATCACAGTGATGAAGTCAGGTCAGAATGATGAAGGTAGGCCACAATGATGAAGGCAGGTCACTGTGATGAAGGTAGGCCTGTGATGAAGGCACACCACGGTGATGAAGGCAGGTCACTGTGATGAAGGATGGCCAGTGAGCCAGTGATGAAGGAAGGTAACAGTGATGAAGGAAGTTCACTGTTAAGAAGGCAGTATACTGTGATGAAGGCAGGTCACTGTGATGAAGACAGGCCACAGTGATGAAGGCAGGCCAGTGATAAAAAACAGACTACAGTGATGAAGGCAGGCTACAGTGATGAAGGCAGACCATGGTGATGAAGGCAGACCACGGTGATGAAGGCAGGCTACAGTGATGAAGACAGGTCACTGTGATGAAGACAGGTCACTGTGATGAAGACAGGTCACTGTGACCAAGGCCCTACAAATGTGGGTTGATGTGACAGGGATGAACACAATCCCAATGTGCGGTGAACTGGCAGTGGTATCACCTGACATTATGAATCAAAATGATGATGAAACATTAACACTGACAGAGACAACGCAGGTCACTGATGTACGGCACCGACACACCTGACAGAGACAACACAGTGCTGCATTCAAAACCATGAATATGTCCCAGTATCTAACACACAAGTGTACATGGCTCGGCTGCAGCATTGAGTGCAGTTGGGTGTTAGCTAGATGGAGGGTGAGATGATGGGAAACTACTTAGAACATCAAACACTTAGTTTAGTTAGCCATTTACAGGATGTCTTCACACCTTAATGTAACAGTAATAGTCCTATTCACACCTTAATGTAATAGTAATAGTCCGCTTCACACCATAATGTAATCGTAATAGTCCTATTCACACCTTAATGCAGCTGAGACTGGCATTAAACAACATGCTCAACCTTTTGTGTAAACCTGTCCTTATGATAGACAAACAATTAGTGTACCTGTCCTTATGATACACGAACATCTAGTGTACACCTGTCCTTATGATACACAAATAATTAGTGTACACCTGTCCTTATGATACACAAACATCTAGTGTACACCTGTCCTTATGATACACGAACAACTATTGTACACCTGTCCTTATGATAAACGAACATCTACTGTACACCTGTCCTTATGATACAAAAACATCTAGTGTACACCTGTCCTTATGATACACGAACAATTAGTGTACACCTGTCCTTATGATACACGAACAACTAGTGTACACCTGTCCTTATGATACACAAACATCTAGTGTACACCTGTCCTCATGATACACGAACAATTAGTGTACACCTGTCCTTATGATACAAGAAGAATTAGTGTACACCTGTCCTTATGATACACGAACAACTAGTGTACACCTGTCCTTATGATACACAAACATCTAGTGTACACCTGTCCTTATGATACACGAACAATTAGTGTACACCTGTCCTTATGATACACAAACAATAAGTGTACACCTGTCCTTATGATACACGAACATCTAGTGTACACCTGTCCTTATAATACACAAACAACTAGTGTACACCTGTCCTTATGATACACAACCATCTAGTGTACACCTGTCCTTATGATACACAAACAACTAGTGTAAACCTGTCCTTATGATACACACACAACTAGTGTACACCTGTCCTTATGATACACAACCATCTAGTGTACACCTGTCCTTATGATACACAAACAATTAGTGTAAACCTGTCCTTATGATACACACACAACTAGTGTACACCTGTCCTTATGATACACACACAACTAGTGTACACCTGTCCTTATGATACACGGACATCTAGTGTACACCTGTCCTTATGATACACACACAACTAGTGTACAACTGTCCTTATGATACACGGACATCTAGTGTACACCTGTCCTTATGATACACACACAACTAGTGTACATCTGTCCTTAGGATACACACACAACTAGTGTACACCTGTCCTGATGATACACACACAACTAGTGTACACCTGTCCTTATGATACACACACAACTAGTGTACACCTGTCCTTATGATACACACACAACTAGTGTACACCTGTCCTTATGATACACGGACATCTAGTGTACACCTGTCCTTATGATACACACAACAGTGTGTACAACTGTCCTTATGATACACCTGACATCTAGTGTACACACACATACATACACAAACTAGTGTACATCTGTCCTTAGGATACACACACAACTAGTGTACACCTGTCCTGATGATACACACACAACTAGTGTACACCTGTCCTTATGATACACACACAACTAGTGTACATCTGTCCTTAGGATACACACACAACTAGTGTACACCTGACCTGATGATACACACACAACTAGTGTACACCTGTCCTTATGATACACACACAACTAGTGTACACCTGTCCTTATGATACACGGACATCTAGTGTACACCTGTCCTTATGATACACACACAACTAGTGTACACCTGACCTGATGATACACACACAACTAGTGTACACCTGTCCTTATGATACACACACAACTAGTGTACACCTGTCCTGATGATACACACACAACTAGTGTACACCTGTCCTTATGATACACACACAACTAGTGTACACCTGTCCTGATGATACACACACAACTAGTGTACACCTGTCCTGATGATACACACACAACTAGTGTACACCTGTCCTTATGATACACACACAACTAGTGTACACCTGTCCTTATGATACACGGACATCTAGTGTACACCTGTCCTGATGATACACACACAACTAACAACTTGACGGTGAAGATTCTGCATCATCTACAATGACATATATCCTGTAGCAGATAGTCTGTGGATGTGTTGATGAGGGTGTAGAAATGTGACTGGACCTATTAACTGAGTCAACCTGTGCCAGTGAGTGTGCCAAGGCCACCGATGCCGCCGCGGCAGTCAGGGAATGTGTGCCTGTCAGACAATATGTGGGTGGCTGGAGCCAGTCTGAAAACCGACTCTACAATCACCCGAATAGAACAGCTGTCATGAACTTGCTTCAGCTACTGTCATGTAGTCACTTACAGTAATTACCTTCTACAAACACATACATAGTAATAATCTATGTCTCATGTCTCGACTTTGTATTAGAAAAATGTGTCATCTGGAGTGAGTGAGTGAGTGCATTTAGTTTGATGCTGCTTTTACTGCATCGGGTAACGGAGTTTGATTTATACTGCTTTGAAAAGTTCACTTATAACCATGAGAACACAAAATGTCAGCTTGATGTTGGAGGGGTGCCAGGCAGTTAAAATACATTTCAAAATGTTAATATTTCTCTCTTCATTTGACATTGTAATATTTGTTTAGCTGACATTTTAGATGTGGCTTGAGGTTACACTATAATTCAAATCTCTTAAAGTACATTTCAGCTATTAGAACTCTCCACAGTTAAGAAACAAAAATACAGGTTATCACAGGAGTGACATGACTCAAAATCCAACTCCGACAGAGGTGCATGATATCATTTATTCATAACTTGTCGTTCTTTACTTCTGTGATGGAAAACATATTCATTCCTTGCATTGAATGAGCTGTTTTTAAAACTGGTTTTATCAATATTCCAGCCCTATCACGGCGAGGGATACCATACTTCATACATCGTACCCTTATCGGGAATCGAACCCGGGTCTTTACTTACAGTGACGAGTCAACGCTTTAACCACTAGGCTACCCCACCGTCCTTCTCATCTCGGGGTGGTGGTGGGGTAGCCTAGTGGTTAAAGCGGCCGCGCCAATCAATGGCAAGACCCGGTTCGATTCCCCACATGGGTACGTATGAAGCCCCTGCCTGCTGTCGCCCGCCGTGATATAGCTGGAATACTGCTACTCACTCACTCTCATCTCTGGCACATGATACCTTCACATTGCAAGTGTTGCTGGAATGGTGATCATTGATTGGTCAGTTGGACAGTGACAAGGGTCAGCAGGATTTCAACTAAAACTTGTTTATCATCTCGTGGCTTTGCTTATGCAGCAAATATCTGAAAGTTTGAAATTGTGGAGCCCGTGGGTCCCAGATGGGTTCCTAGATATATTAACTGCAACAAAGAGCCCTCCTGAAACCATATCAGTGCTTGGCATTACCATTCTGAGAAATACCCCATGACTTTCATCCCCAATTTAGTATGAATGCTGTGTAAATGACAAAAGGGAATATAATCAATTATTTTCTGAGTAGGACATAACGAATCTACACTGGGAGTTATTTGATAGCAATAAATCATCTGAGTGAAGTGTCTGGAAGCAGCCGAATTCCACCCGGGACAGTTGGACTGTAAACATTATTTGGCCTGGGCTGAAATCAATATCAAGAGGGCGCTCTCATCTCAGGAGATTTCTGACTTCAATCAGTTGTCAGGCAAGCAGTGTGTACACAGGCAGCTACTATAGGCTATCAATGATAAATGGCACTGCGACACAGTTGCTGAGCGCTAGGTAATTATACACCTATATCTCCCTACCTCACAGTAATCTCATGCCAGTAACCTGCATCAGGAGACAATCAGGTTTCAGATTATACAACTTTTATACTCAATTTGCATGTTTTCCACGGTACTCTGCAGGGGGTAGCAACACTTTTTCTATTTTATGGGTTCTGTGTTTTACTAACTGTAGTTAATGTGTAATTTAGGGAAATGGAAAAACAAGTTTATCTAGCTCAGTAGTTGTTTTGTTTCTGGAATAGGTCTTGTTGGTCAACACACAGGAGAAAACAGGTGTCTACTTTTTGTATAGTAACTGAAAATGTCACACTTGTCTTTTTCTGTAGATGTCTTCAGTCATGTGCACAAACAGTCATGGTTACACCTTCTTGGATGAGGAGTCATGATGACACCTTCTTGGATGAGGAGTCATGATGACACCTTGAATGAAGAGTCATGATGACACCTATTTGGATGAGGAGTCATAATGACACCTACTTCAGTTGGGAGTCATGATGTCACCTTCTTGGATGTGGAGTCATGATGACACCTACTTAGATGAAGAGTCATGATGACACCTTCTTGGATGAGGAGTCATGATGACACCTTGAATGAAGAGTCATGATGACACCTATTTTGATGAGGAGTCATAATGACACCTACTTCAGTTGGGAGTCATGATGACACCTACTTAGATGAAAAGTCATGATGACACCTTCTTGGACAAGGAGTCATGATGACACCTTCTTGGACAAGGAGTCATGATGACACCTTCTTGGATGAAGAGTCATGATGACACCTATTTGGATGAGGAGTCATAATGACACCTACTTCAGTTGGGAGTCATGATGACATTTACTTGGATGTGGAGTCATGATGACATTTACTTGGATGTGGAGTCATAATGACACCTACTTCAGATGGGGAGTCGTGATGACACCTACTTCAGATGGGGAGTTTTGATGACACCTACTTCAGATGGGGAGTCATAGTGACACCTACTTCAGATGGGGAGTCATAATGACACCTACTTCAGATGGGGAGTAGTGATGACACCTACTTCAGATGGTGAGTCGTGATGACACCTATTTCAGATGGTGAGTCATGATGACACCTACTTCAGATGGGGAGTTGTAATGACATTTACTTGGATGGGGAGTTGTAATGACATTTACTTGGATGGGAGTCATAAGGACATCTACTTCAGATGGGGAGTCATGATGACACCTACTTGGACAGGGAGTCATCACAATACCAGCTTGAAGGGGAGTTTTGACAACACTTACTTTGATGAGGAGTCACTCTGGGTCTCGATTTCAGCCAGCTGTTTTGTGACAGTGAAAGCTGAATCACAGTTTTTGGCGATCTTCTGCAGGAGTGCTGTGGTTGTGCTGTGCTTGAACAGCCCGAGGGCCCGCTTCTTGAGGCCGTGCAACAAACAGGCCTCCACAGCACCTGCAAACAAAGTACAACATTGTAATTGAGGTAAATTAACTGTCAGCGTTTCACATAGCGATAAGTGAGCACCAGGACTCTTGTACGCAGTGTACTAAAGGTCAAGGGTACTACAGGGAATGACATTAGGACTGACGTGTCACTGTACAGGCAGTTATACCACAGTCCAATACCAGACACATGTCCTAGTCACATGACAAGGCTACCACAGCCTTCCGCCTGTCAATACTTCAGCTGGTACTGTGTTTGTGATGCCTATGACACCCAAAGATATTATCCCAGGACTTTGTGCGCAGTGTTTGAGCTTATACACGTGTTGATATATCTGAAGCACGCTGTCATTCAGTTACACAACAAGTATCATGTAATGAAGTAAAGGAGACCCAGTTGTTGTTTCTCACAGTTTATACGCTCATAACACTTTCCATGGTGATAGACAGAATGGCCCAAAGGCTCAAGACAATAAGCACAGGAATAAAACATAGCAACATGATTTCAGTTCCCGTCTTGTCATTATCATGATTTACTTACATAGTACAACACTACACACTTGCTGCCATTCAGCCATAGTACAACAATACACACCTGCCCCCATTAGCCATAGTACAACACTACACACACTTGCTGCCATCAACCATAGTACAACACTACACCCTTGCTGCCATTAGCCATAGTACAACACTACACCCTTGCTGCCATTAGCCATAATACAGCACTACCCCCTTGCTGCCATTAGCCATAGTACAACACTACACCCTTGCTGCCATCAACCATAGTACAACACTACACACTTGCTGCCATTAGCCATAGTACAGCACTTCACACTTGCTGTCATTAGCCATAGTACAACACTACACACTTGCTGCCATCAACCATAGTACAACACTACACCCTTGCTGCCATTAGCCATAGTACAACACTACACTCTTGCTGCCATCAACCATAGTACAACACTACACTCTTGCTGCCATCAACCAAAGTACAACACTACACTCTTGCTGCCATCAACCATAGTACAACACTACACCCTTGCTGCCATTAACCATAGTACAACACTACACCCTTGCTGCCATTAGCCATAGTACAGCACTAAACCCTTGCTGCCATTAGCCATAGTACAACACTACACTCTTGCTGCCATCAACCATAGTACAACACTTCATACTTGCTGCCATTAGCCATAGTACAACACTACACACTTGCTGCCATCAACCATAGTACAACACTACACACTTGCTGCCATTCAGCCATAGTACAACACTACACACCTGCTGCCATTAGCCATAGAACAACACTACACACTGGCTGTCATCAACCATAGTACAACACTACACCCTTGCTGCCATTAGCCATAGTATAACATGAGACCTAAACACTTGGTGCCATTAGCCATAGTATAACATGAGACCTACACACTTCCTGCCATTATCCATAGTACAACATGGGACCTAGACACTTGCTGCCATTAGCCATAGTACAACATGGGACCTGGACACTTCCTGCCATTATCCATAGTACAACATGGGACCTGGACACTTGCTGCCATTAGCCATAGTAGAACATGAGACCTAAACACTTCCTGCCATTATCCATAGTACAACATGGGACCTAGACACTAGCTGCCATTAGCCATAGTATAACAGGAGACCTAGACACTTCCTGCCATTATCCAGAGTACAACATGGGACCTAGACACTTGCTGCCATTAGCCATAGTACAACATGGGACCTGGACACTTCCTGCCATTATCCATAGTACAACATGGGACCTGGACACTTGCTGCCATTAGCCATAGTAGAACATGAGACCTGGACACTTGCTGCCATTAGCCATAGAACAACATGGGACCTAGACACTTGCTGCCATTAGCCATAGTACAACATGGGACCTGGACACTTCCTGCCATTAGCCATAGTACAACATGGGACCTAGACACTAGCTGCCATTAGCCATAGTACAACATGAGACCTAGACACTTGCTGCCATTAGCCATAGTACAACATGGGACCTAGACACTTGCTGCCATTCAGACATAGTAACAGCAGCCAATAGACACATTAATCACACTGTTATTACACCTTATCAATTACCACTCTCGACAGCTGTCACTAATGAACACAAGAAACCCACACCAGGTCACCACTGTTTATACAGTGATGAACACAAGAAACCCTCACTAGGTCACCACTGTTTATACAGTGATGAACACAAGAGACCCGCACCAGGTCACCACTGTTTATACAGTGATGAACACAAGAGACCCACACCAGGTCACCACTGTTTATACAGTGATGAACACAAGAAACCCTCACCAGGTCACCACTGTTTATACAGTGATGAACACAAGAAACCCTCACCAGGTCACCACTGTTTATACAGTGATGAACACAAGAGACCCGCACCAGGTCACCACTGTTTATACAGTGATGAACACAAGAAACCCTCACCAGGTCACCACTGTTTATACAGTGATGAACACAAGAAACCCTCACCAGGTCACCACTGTTTATACAGTGATGAACACAAGAAACCCGCACCAGGTCTCTACTGTTTATACAGTGATGAACACAAGAAACCCTCACCAGGTCACCACTGTTTATACAGTGATGAACACAAGAAACCCTCACCAGGTCACCACTGTTTATACAGTGATGAACACAAGAAACCCTCACCAGGTCACTACTGTTTATACAGTGATGAACACAAGAAACCCCCTCACCAGGTCACCACTGTTTATACAGTGATGAACACAAGAAACCCTCACCAGGTCACCACTGTTTATACAGTGATGAACACAAGAAACCCTCACCAGGTCACCACTGTTTATACAGTGATGAACACAAGAAACCCTCACCAGGTCACCACTGTTTATACAGTGATGAACACAAGAAACCCTCACCAGGTCACCACTGTTTATACAGTGATGAACACAAGAAACCCTCACCAGGTCACCACTGTTTATACAGTGATGAACACAAGAAACCCTCACCAGGTCACCACTGTTTATACAGTGATGAACACAAGAAACCCTCACCAGGTCACCACTGTTTATACAGTGATGAACACAAGAAACCCACACCAACCACCCTCATGAACACAAGAAACCCTCACCAGGTCACCACTGTTTATACAGTGATGAACACAAGAAACCTCACCAGGTCACCACTGTTTACAGTGATGAACACAAAACCCTCACCAGGTCACCACTGTTTATACAGTGATGAACACAAGAAACCCTCACCAGGTCACCACTGTTTATACAGTGATGAACACAAGAAACCCTCACCAGGTCACCACTGTTTATACAGTGATGAACACAAGAAACCCTCACCAGGTCACCACTGTTTATACAGTGATGAACACAAGAAACCCTCATCAGGTCTCTACTGTTTATACAGTGATGAACACAAGAAACCCACACCAGGTCACCACTGTATATACAGTGATGAACACAAGAAACCCTCACCAGGTCACCACTGTTTATACAGTGATGAACACAAGAAACCCTCACCAGGTCACCACTGTTTATACAGTGATGAACACAAGAAACCCTCACCAGGTCACCACTGTTTATACAGTGATGAACACAAGAAACCCTCACCAGGTCACCACTGTTTATACAGTGATGAACACAAGAAACCCTCACCAGGTCACCACTGTTTATACAGTGATGTCAACACTGTGATAATTGATTACTATCAGATGTGATACAACTAGGCATTTATTTGACTAGCTCCTGTTTCAGAAAATATTGACAAATCGGTTCGGTGTACGGAATGTTCGTCATAGGGGATTGTGGGTAAGCAGATCACAATCTGTATCAACGTCAGTGACGATTATTTTGCCACTCCAGCCATCTAACCCATGGAATCCAGCTTTGGCCATTTGTAAGAAAAAATCAATGGCAGATTGACGCCTACGCATTGAGAGTTCCTGGCAGACTTCCCATCATGCACTGCTGTGTGCTCTTGAAGTGCAGCACAGTTTAACACCTCCAACTCTAGACACTCCTTGGGAGGGATTGAAAACATCAGCAGATTATAGTGAAACAATCATTTGAAGATAATTAGGTTGTTTGCTATTGGAAAGTTGAGAGTCAATTTACATTAAGATTTCTTGTGCAAATTGTTCCCACAAAGCCTGTAGACATGCCAAATGTCTACAAATAATTGAAAGTGGAATTTTGAAACAAAGTAGTGGAAGACACCATTTGCGAAAAAAAATTCTTTCTGAAATGCAGCTGAATCATTGAGGCCTACGTCCTTACACAAAACACCAGAGTGAGTGTCTAAAATGTACTATCTGATTGTCTCTGAAGTGAAGATATGATAGATGTTTCTGTTTGGCACAATGGAGCTTGTTTGCTGTTGGGTTTATCTGATAGAAGAGATGGACCACGTCTGATGTTGGGTTTATCTGATAGATGAGATGGACCATGTCTGATGCTGGGTTTATCTGATAGAAGAGATGGACCACGTCTGATGTTGGGTTTATCTGATAGAACAGATGGACCACGTCTGATGTTGGGTTTATCTGATAGAAGAGATGGACCACGTCTGATGTTGGGTTTATCTGATAGAACTGATGGACCATGTCTGATGTTGGGTTTATCTGATAGAAGAGATGGACCATGTCTGATGTTGGGTTTATCTGACAGAAGAGATGGACCACATCTGATGTTGGGTTTATCTGATAAAACAGATGGACCACGTCTGATATTGGGTTTATCTGACAGAAGAGATGGACCATGTCTGATGTTGGGTTTATCTGATAGCAGAGATGGACCACGTCTGCTGTTGGGTTTATCTGATAGAAGAGATGGACCATGTCTGATGTTGGGTTTATCTGACAGAACAGATGGACCACGTCTGATGTTAGGTTTATCTGATAGAAGAGATGGACCATGTCTGATGTTGGGTTTATCTGATAGAAGAGATGGACCATGTCTGAAGTTGGGTTTATCTTACAGAAGAGATGGACCACGTCTGATGTTGGGTTTATCTGATAGAAGAGATGGACCACGTCTGATGTTGGGTTTATCTGATAGAACAGATGGACCATGTCTGATGTTGGGTTTATCTTACAGAAGAGATGGACCACGTCTGATGTTGGGTTTATCTGATAGAAGAGATGGACCACGTCTGATGTTGGGTTTATCTGATAGAAGAGATGGACCATGTCTGATGTTGGGTTTATCTGATAGAAGAGATGGACCACGTCTGATGCTGGGTTTATCTGATAGAAGAGATGGACCATGTCTGATGTTGGGTTTATCTGATAGAAGAGATGGACCATGTCTGATGCTGGGTTTATCTGATAGAAGAG